AGCTCCTGTTTGGTGCGCTCCTTCCGCCGAGGCCGGCTTGCGGTCCTCGGAAACGGTGGCGAGACTCTGTCAGAGCTGACCTCTCCGCAGTGAACATCGACCACACGGAATGGTACGACCTCGCCCAGGAGCGTGGGAAATGGCGCAGTGCGTATTCCGCTCAACCAGTACCGCGATCGGCTCAGCGTGACACTTCTGTGCACTGCGATGTCTGCCAGCGTACTTTCGCCCACCAGAAATACAAGAATCGCCACAAGTGCCTGGCCGAGAGGAGGAAGCCCATATCTGAGCAGTCCGGCAGCCGACTATGTAATGCGTGCGGGAGATGGTTCTTGAGTGCTGGCGGGCTAGCTTCGCATAAGTGTCTCTCCAACTCGGCTGCTGAAGTGGCGTGGGTCTCGGCTGTGGCATCGGCAGACTCGGTCCGGAAACAGCGGGTTGCCCTGCCCTGCTGCAGAGCGCATTGTCTCGGCTGCGGTCGCTGCTGCAAGTCATCCCGTGGTTTCAACCTGCATAGCTGTGCTAATTTCCTGTCCAGGAAGTAGAGCGGCGTTTCTGGATCCAATGCTGAACTCAGTGCTGTCGACCCCTGCACAGGGGACACGTGACCATTTGATGGCAGTGTTACCAAGGACCAAGGTGTGTGTGTGTGTGTGTGTGTGTGTGTGTGTGTGTGTGTGTGTGTGTGTGTGTGTGTGTGTGTGTGTGTATGTGTGTGTGTGTGTGTGTAATGGTATATGTTTTTTTATATAATTAGTACCAGCGTACAGAGCGTACAAACAAATACAGTCCTCTGTACGTAAATACAAAATGAATTCCATTCACATCTTCTACTCACAATCCTCTTCCTGCCTGAAATCTGCGTTGCTCTGAACAACAAATTGAAAATGTGCAAGAACTTTCCCTGACGGTAATGGTTTCAACAGAAGCTGCTCGTGGAACGAATCACGTCCCTCCGCTGATACTTTCAGCTCAAGACACGCGAGGAAAACTACAAAATATCGCCACATCACTGCATGTTCCAAAGGATCGTACTAAATACGCGAGTCCTGCAAAGAATACAAGAATGAATGACCACTGATTTGAAACTAATAATAATTGTTGCTGTCTCACAAAAAAGAAGTCGTTCTTGCATCTTGCAGTTTGCCAGTTCAAAAGAGCGAGGGGTGAGGGGAATCCCCTATAATTTTTAGGCCTCAGCAGACATATGCAGGGTGGGTTGGAAAGAGTCCGGGGGGGGGGGGGGGTACTGGGGCAGATAGCCCGGGTACGGGTTGCAGTCTCCTGCGCTGTACTGTATGTGCTGCTATGCTTCCGGTTGACCGTCTAGGGTAGGGAGTTGTATAGACACCCACCCAGTGCCAAGTATAACTCCGTGGTCAAGGGCAAAGGGACAACTACACGTGTGCCAACAAGTACTACCGGTACCAAGAGTAAAATAAGCCCCAGGACTCATTACTAGCAAGAGTATAGCTAGCTAGTAATAGTAGTACACTCGGACGTCTCTTATCCGGGCACCTTGGGACCGGGCACTGCCCGTATCTCAGAATAACTCACCTACCATGTATCATATCATTTTTTGAAGAAGTTTATTTGGCACGTATTGCACATGTTGAGGATACAAAAGGAACCCATTGATAAAAATGAGTGGATTACATAGGTTGGCAGTGAAACATAAGCACTTCCACATACGGAAAAAAGTTCAAAAAACCCAACTTCGACGCATTTGTGCTATAGGAACTCAAGCTGAAGGTGCCCGGTAGAGAGACGTGCCCGTATCTGAGGCGTCCGGATAAGAGGCGTTTGAGTGTACATGTATGTATGATTCTCTGGTGCTGTCACTGATAAAGTACGACGAGCATTGAATATAAAGAGACTGCGGAGTGAATGGTAAGAGTACAATTTCATCCCTCTTGCATTGGAGACCGTGACTGGGGACTGAAGGGAAAAGAATGCTTATGCAGAAAAGGCGCCAAGAAATTATCCATTTTGATAGAGCAGAGCAGGAGCAGAGTATATATTTCAAAGTATTTGAAATACCCATACATGATTGTAACGATTGTAAAATTTAAGAAAATTTGCTTGGAATCCGATGATGCCACATGAACTGTGCCAGCACAGCATGTAGAGACATTCTCGTTTTCCAGGTATCGCACATGAATACATTCCACTGAAAGCAGAGCGATAATAAAGCCGCGGATGCCCCAGCGGCCATTAGGTGTGGAGCCTATGAGCAGCGGAATCCTTCTACCGTGTCAGTCATACATGCAGGTTTCAAATGGCAATCCTTTCGGAGTGCCCAGCATTCTCCTCATCAAGTCAAAAAAATTACTGCGGGAAATGAGAAAAGAAAGTGGACCAGCACTTTGCAACTAGACGTGCAGCTTACTAACTCTAGCCTGCACTGCTCAGTCACGGTGCTACACGTTGACAGGCAGTCAGTGCCAGTCATACATCATATCGAAAGGACACTGGAATTCATGCCACTATAAGTATAGCCAGTGCCATGCACTACAACTCAAACCGTCTGATTCAAAAATTCAGAACTTCAGTTGAAGCAATTAGTCTACTTGTAGCACACTAGCTGCAGCGAGCAGTGTCTCAAAGTCGTACCGGAAGGCAATCATTGAACTGATACAGAATCAGTCAGGGTGATATCTGAGCAGGAGCAATTGCCATGGAGCTTGCTGAGCTGATGGAACCACCGGGTGCGGCATACGGCGATGCTCGCGCCGAAACTGGGTTTTTCATCCTGGCTACCATTACGCCACTGTTCCTACTGGGCTCAGGGGTCAATCGTCCAGATGCGGTGATCGAGGTTCTGACCCTGGCATTCACCGAGCCCGACTCCAAAAGGCTGGCGCGCTCACCTGGTGATGCAGGGCGGTTGGCCAGAAGTGTTCGCCTCCGACTTGTGCCACTACCCAGTGAGCAGCAAGTGCGGAACTTGGACCGGACCTTCGGCGAGAAGCAGCAGAAAATGATGAAGTTGAAGAAGCCAGGCAAATTGTCACCAATGCCCTATATGGCACAAAGCACAACACAACACAAAGGCGTGATCTGGAACCAGTGAATATGGCAATATAATACAATGTACATGTAAAAGGTTACGGTATCACGGTGTGTGATGGGTGCTCACCGGCCTCACCGGCCTCGCACAACACTGCTCTGTGTACTCGAACGCACCACTACTATACTATCATGAGATTGGATTTCTCTGGCCAGACCTGTAGCAAGTTCAGGAATACCCGTATTGATTATCGTGACTCACATGGAGCAGTCGAAGGGTGCTGCTATGGAACCATGATTCAGGATGCGCCCCGCTGTCAGCAATATCCAGGAGAGTGCGCACTGTGCCCCATATTCTCAGCAACACAAACATGATGGGCACAAAGATCAGGCGACGATCAATCTTCTGAGCAGTTGCCAATCCGGCAGATGTTAGCAGGTTTTGGCGCCCGTGATGAGTCTGCAAGGAATGATGTGAAACCAAATTGTTAGTACAGTTTGTCCGGGAAAACAATGATGATAAAGTTGATTTTGACTGTAACTCATGACATACCGATAGATTGAACTTTTCAGACTCGTTTCAGTAACCCAGTGTGGAATAGTACTCTTCAGGAGGCCGCACTCCACCGTGTGCTGCTATGCATCTGACTGCCAAGTGCTGCCCTCTGCCGCAAGTTATCTAATTTTTCGAAGTTGTCTGTACACGGCCCTGTGTGTGTGTGTGTGTGTGTGTGTGTGTGTGTGTGTGTGTGTGTGTGTGTGTGTGTGTGTGTGCGTGTGTGCCTGTGTGTGTGTGGGGGGGGGGGGGCATTTGACACTGAGATGTACAAGCTGTGGTGGGTACAATAGGGGCTGCATGCATCCATGTCAGTCAACCGTGCTGCCGCTGACTGTCCATTGGCAAGCCACTGCCGGAACTGAGATCTTCAGTGTTGCTCAATGGATACAGAGCAGGACCAGCAGCCATTTACTTGACGCAGAGAAAAGCAGTCTATATATTATATAGACGACGTGGGTGATCTCTCCACGTAAAGCAAGCCAATGTCATGATATATCAAGGCGACATAACGGCTGGGGCCTCAGATGAACAATCTCTTAAGTTAATGTCATCTGTTAAAGCACTGCAGTGCTCCAGCAGTGCTTTCGTAATGACTTTACTGCAATGCATCGTGTAACTGCTGGAGTATGCATGCCACAGTCTCCGGACCGCAGTCAAAGAAATCCGGGCTCATGATCACTACTTGTAGTTCCCTGGGTATTCACAGGACTCTGTGGCAGCAGCGTGCCCGGGTCTCATTGACACACTGTGCAGCACTCTAGAACTTCAGGTATGTGCTGCAGTGCCGTGCAGTGTGCAAGTCTGACTTACCTCCCCGTAGACATGACACTTGATGGCCAAGTAGAATAGAGTAGTGAAAACGTAGGCCAGCAGTTCCCAGCCCTTGCCGCCCATCAGCAGCCAGAACGTGCGAGCACGGCGATCCTCAAACATCGGGTCCACACCGGCGCGTGGACTCGGAGCAAAGTGTGGTGTGCCGGGATGCCGGCGTACCCAGCACCATCCGGAGCTGTCCAGGCTATCATCATTACCCAGTGCGTCGCCAAACTGAGCTGCTAGCGTTATGGCCAGGGGAAGTCCCCAGCTAAATATGTGCAATGAGACAATTCGCCGTTCTCCCAGCACCACGTCACCGCTGCTGAACATCCAGTACAGGAATATCGCTATGCTAACGGTCCACGCAAACGAACACAGCGACGAGTACGTGGTGACGAATGCCTGTAGCTGGCAGTTGAGCGTGCCCGTTTTCATTGCTCCAGCTACACACCACTGTGCACAGGCAGCGCCGGCAGCATTGCCTGCACTGTTCATGAAGTCCGCCAGGCTCAGAAACACCAGCAGCTGTCTTGTTCTAGTTCGAATGTCTGGCCACAGTACGTAGCTCATTATAATGAATAAACAGCCTGCCATGGAAAGACTGGAAACGGCCACAATGATGGTCGTCTGCCGTGGACTATCCCCCGTTCCGGAATTGTCCGTGGTTACGACCTGCTCTAGCGTCGTCGTCGTCGCCGTCGTCGTCGCTATCTCCGCAGTCGCTGCATGCACGGCGGGCCATAGCCAGCGTTGACTCTCCATCGCTACCCCCAGCTTGCCGCTGAGCAAAACGTTGAGCCGCGCGCCTAGCAAACAGCACCACTCTCTTTCTTTCTCTCTCTCTCGCGTGCGCCTTCAGGCGTCACCCATCATAATGGTCGATACGCCATAGCGCCAGTTAGCACATTTTTCCAATTATTCTTACTTTCATGGGCCTTACTAATTTATTGAGATTCGTTTATCTCAGACTAGACTGGTACGAGTATGACCACAATGATGTTCGCTCTCCTGCGAGGGACGCACGTACTAGCAGCTTCTCGACATAATGATGCTGATGCTGATGTAGTCTTTATTGAGGTTTCTACAGAACACAACTTCACGAGTCATGAAAACTGTATCAAGGCTCCTCTTCACTTCACACGACTTCTGCTCTACTCCTACTAGTCCTAGATCCTGATCCTGTCTGTTGATTTTTTTGCCTTCGCGGCTATCGTGTATCGATTCGTGCATTCGTGGTTGCTATAGTATGCGACAATGTCATGTGACATGCAGTAGACAACACGGATCGTCGGTGCAAAGTACTGGCATACCGGTATAGTCATGTACATGTACGTACACTGATAACGACACCGTTTCATGAGACTGGAAGTGGAACGGCCACGGGCATGACGACGACACAACCGCAACTACAATTTACAAACTAACTGCACAAGTGACTTAGTCTAATAGTACCAAGAGTCCATAGTCCATAATCCCCCTGCTATTGCTAATACTATACGATACCCAGACACAATCTCAAACGACGACCTATACCGCAGAACCAAGAGCTATCCTATATCAGACACAGATGCATGTAGGCGACTACGAATGACCGGTCATTTGCTACGGATGGACACGGACACGCCACCGCAAGTAGCCATGAGCGGCTATTTTGACAAGGGCAACAAAGCACCTCGTGGACGGCCAAGGTTGACACTGGCCACAAGTCTGGTCGCTCAGCTGAATAAGCTGGGTGTGCCAATGAAGACCATGGAATACCTTTCCAGATGCCGACAACAAGCAGCGGACAAGACAGACAGGAAGAAACTGTGCAGCTCGATACCCGAGGAGAAACCAGTAAATGGCAGTATCAGCAGCTACTACACCTTGCTGATGATGCTCACAAGACAGAAGCGGAAAAACACTGAATTTCTTTATTGTGTGCTCTACTACGCGAAATGTGCTATTATTATTATTATTATTATTATTATTATTAAGAAAGGGTTTGCTCCCTACACCGGAGCTCGCGCTATTCCGCCGACTTTACTTGACACTTGACTGACTCACGACTGCCATCTAGAGCACACGAGAAGTCCATCGAACCTTCGACTCGGCAAACCTGCAAGAAAGCACCACTCCCTGCTCAATACACAGTGTTTCGGGGAATTCACCCCTCATCAGTTGAGCTTGAGTAGGCTGAGGAAGATTGTGCCTGAAGAGCACCACTTATATAGTGCTCTCCAGGTACAAACATCACCAGGGATACAAACTTACAGAGACGCTCCGCTTCCAGCGCGATAAACACCTCGTGAACACCAGATAGCAGCGTGAGTCAGTGTCGCTCCTGGACGGTGAGACCAGACGTTGAGGACCCTCGGTCATTCGCAACGCTGTCACCTCCAAACCAACTAGTCGCAAGCCCGCGCTGGGCACAACAGTACGAAGTAGTGGTTGCGACTTCGGCGATGATTTGTAAGAAAGGGTTTGCTCCCTACACCGGAGCTCGCGCTATTCCGCCGACTTTACTTGACACTTGACTGACTCACGACTGCCATCTAGAGCACACGAGAAGTCCATCGAACCTTCGACTCGGCAAACCTGCAAGAAAGCACCACTCCCTGCTCAATACACAGTGTTTCGGGGAATTCACCCCTCATCAGTTGAGCTTGAGTAGGCTGAGGAAGATTGTGCCTGAAGAGCACCACTTATATAGTGCTCTCCAGGTACAAACATCACCAGGGATACAAACTTACAGAGACGCTCCGCTTCCAGCGCGATAAACACCTCGTGAACACCAGATAGCAGCGTGAGTCAGTGTCGCTCCTGGACGGTGTTCACGAGGTGTTTATCGCGCTGGAAGCGGAGCGTCTCTGTAAGTTTGTATCCCTGGTGATGTTTGTACCTGGAGAGCACTATATAAGTGGTGCTCTTCAGGCACAATCTTCCTCAGCCTACTCAAGCTCAACTGATGAGGGGTGAATTCCCCGAAACACTGTGTATTGAGCAGGGAGTGGTGCTTTCTTGCAGGTTTGCCGAGTCGAAGGTTCGATGGACTTCTCGTGTGCTCTAGATGGCAGTCGTGAGTCAGTCAAGTGTCAAGTAAAGTCGGCGGAATAGCGCGAGCTCCGGTGTAGGGAGCAAACCCTTTCTTACAAATCATCGCCGAAGTCGCAACCACTACTTCGTATTATTATTATTATTATTATTATTATTATTGTACTAATGAAAAACAATCCAGAAAGATACTAATAAAGAGAAATGGAGTGAGAAGAAACAACACCTATGAAAATGATAATCCTATGCACTCTTGCTAGCACTATTAAAGGTTATTATTATTAGGGCTCAAACGATTAGTCCGATTAACCGGTTGCAGACCGGTTACGAAGAATTAACGGTTAACCGATAAAGATAACGGTTACGCAGTAACTTTTCAGTCAATTTTTCAAGTATCAGGTCGTTGCAAAGTGTGCACTTTCGCGGGCTGTCGCACGCGTACGCAATTTCTGGGCTGTCAACTCGGTCATATCTGGTCTCTTGGTGTGAGAGTATGTATGAATGAGCATGCAAGAGAATGTACATGTGTGCGTTGTACTGAATAGGGTACATTTTTGAATGAGTATAGTCAAATATACGGTTAAAAAAGAGTCCGCAGGATTGCCGTGGCTTATAGGTTATAACCGGTTAACCGACCGTTAGCTTAGCAGTTAACCGTCAGGGGTAAAACCGTGACCGTTTGAGCCCTAATTATTATTGCTAATACTAAAGTAATAGTATTACATCTAGCCTTGCTAGCTCGGCTGTCGACTGTTGTCCAGCTATCATCACGGAGATACCGGAGACTCCCTTTAGTAGGCTTTACTTGATTTAGGCTGATAAAGGCCTGTGGAGAATACAAAAGACTTCGTGATGAATGTATTGTCACACTGCGTCAGTCATCAAGCAGTCTGTTACTCAGTACAATCTGTCTGGTCATGCCTGGTCGACCATGCACAGCTCAGTGCCATGCCATCGCGCCAGCTGCTGTGCTAGCCGGTTGCAGACAAAAAAAGGTACAATGACGTAGTAGGGTGATCATTCCCTGGTACCGGTACATGTATGACACGTACTGTGGCCAGCGGCCAGCAAGGAGTTGTAAAATACCTGTATTTTACGACTCCCTGCTGGCCAATGCAGTGTGACACTGGCCAGCAGGGAGACTCCCTCGATTTAGGCTAAGGCCTGTGGAGAATCCAGAAAATACAAATACAAACAAGGAGTCAGGTAATCGCCTGCATGCCAGCAAGCGAAATAAAAGGCTCCAAGTCTCTGTGTTGCTCGGACTGCAACGGTCCTGATACTGGCTGAATTTTAGCTGTTGGTCAAACGTGACGCTGAGTATTTTGATGGAGGGCTACTCCTCAACAGGAGCTCGAAGACAATGAATGGGGGGGGGGGGGGGGTACTGGCCAGTCACGACGATGGTGGGAGATTGTAAGGGCCTAGGATTTGGCTGGCTCGAACTGCACTTTCTAATCCGAGCCCCAACTGGATACGAGGTCAACAGCAGCCTGGTGTGCTCTAGCGTTGTCAGGAACAGCAGCGAGAGTTGCAATTTCGGAGTATAGGGTTGTATCGTCGGCGAATGAGGCGAGATTGGAGCCGATTGGGAGGTGGTCTTCGACGTCGTTGAGTTGCAGAGGTAGTCTTGGAGCCACCGATGCAGGTCTCCCGAGATGCCATACACTCTAGCCTTAAGGCCTTGTGCAATACACCAGGGTGTGACACCGCGGTCAAATGCTTCAGCAGTGTCGAAGGCCAGCATTCGAGAAGCCCCTTTATCGCCTGCGGTGTGCACCCACTGGTGGTGAAGAGCGGTCAGCAGCCAGGTCTGCTGCACTGACAGTTGTTGTTGTTGTTGTTGTTGTTGTGCTTTTTATTCATAGTCGTTCAACCAAACAGGCAATGGTGCCTTCTCACAAGGAGACGACTTATTATTCTTTATTCCCGTAGCTATGCAGAAGACGTTACTTCAGTAACGTCTGGCGCTAGCCAGGGTCCACACAGCTTTAATTTTTTCCACGATGGCCCATGGCCAATAAGGAAGATAATATGATTCAAATCAGCCCAGAATCATATAAAATCAGTTTAGCAAGTAAGGAACTTAGAAGAGGAGAGGGCAGAAAGAAAATGGGGAGGGGAGAAAAACAGGCACGGAAGGGAGATAGAATGGAGAGGATAATGTAGTACAGCAGGAGTAAGATCCAGATCTTTGGCACAGTACAAAAAGCGGTTTAGGCAACTGGGAGAATAAGGAGATCTTGCGAGCGCAATGCATCACGCAACAGCTTCTTCTCTCCAATGGATCGAAGTTCGGCCCAGAGACTGTTCCACAATACGCTTCCCACAAACTGGATTGACGATCGGCTATACAGCAGGAAGGGTATTTGCAGGAGATTGAAGGAATGACCACGAGTTATGCGGCGGTTAATATAGGCGGGCATGCACTATTAATTAGACTAAAGAAATTGTCGAAAAGGGGACTTGTAGCAGACTGGATATACAGCTATGGACGAATACTAATAGTTTTAGCCTATATAATTATGTGGACAAGAGGAAGAATGCGTGTCTGTGCAAGCAAAGGAGCGGTAGGGGTAGCAGTTGGTGCCAGCAAAATAGACCGAACCCTGCCTTGGCCATACGCTCCAGACGACCGAGTGCATGCTGAGAAAGAGCTGGGTAGAAGGCGTTGCTAGCATAGCAGAGTGTGGTCTGAATCATGCCAATGTACCAAGTGCGGCGGGAATTCACTGTCAAGCCATGTCCATGCCGCCATAGCGTACCAATTGCTTGTCGGGCTTTCTGCGCGAGGTGATCGACATGTACAGACAGTCCTTGGCCGCGACGGAAGCCGCGTTCTGACAGGACCTGATTTATATTTGTCTCCATGAAGCTGCTGATTGCCCTGTTGACCATAGTCTCCATGACCTTGGAGAGGATGCTCAGTAGCGATACTTACTGGTCGATAGTTGGATGGCGTCATGGCGACGATTTTGACTTGCGCTTGTGGGCTGGAACAACGTTTGCAACCTTCCACTGTTGTGGCTGGATGCCGGAGCGAAGACAGCATGTAAATAGCTTTGAAAGCGGCCGTGCTATTTCTGCAGAGCAAGCTTTCAGGACGCGGGCAGGTATCCCATCTGGACTAGTAGCCTTGGAGGGGTTGAGCTGGCGGAGGGTTCGCTCGACTGTGGTGTCGCGAAACCGGACGGTGCAGAGGCGCTAGGCTGCTGTTAGTGCGTGGTCGGACGTGAGGAAATGGGGCGGATAGGTCGTTAGCCCCTAAACTGCATTTGTCTGTGAAGTGTTCGGCCATGCGCTCTGCTTTGCTGCGGTTGGTGTCGTGCTCTGTAGATCTCTACCATCACGGCATCAGTGCCGCGGAGAGTAGGTATGGATGGACGCGCTCAGTATCACTATCAGTGATCAGTTGTTACATGTACATTTGCTACGGTTTTACAGTGATGGTGTGAGTGTTGACCATGCGTGTGTTTGTTGTCTTTGGCTGGGGTTTGGTGTCACCAAGAAGTTGTGAAACTGAAAGCTTTTAGTTTTACAACTCCCTACTCAGACCCTAGCCTGGCCTAGGCCTACGCCATCTAGCCTCCCTGGCTCTGACACCATGGTCCGGACACCAGTACATGTACACTGGTCGCCAACTGTATGCACTGACTGTACTGGCCCTGAGGCTGAGTGAGTCCTGACCAGGGAGTCCGGTATGCGACTCCCTGGTCTGGTCCTGACACACAGAGTTAGTGCCCATTCGTAGATGGGCGCGTTGGGCGGCGGGGATTTGACGGAAGTGGGATCATGCGCGGTCAAACTGCTGCGGTAATGTGTGCCGCTACGGCCCGCTAGTATGCAATGCCAATGACTATTGTAGATCTACCAGATGTACGGCCGCGCCGTGGTTGTGTGACTGCGCCCGGCACATAATCATTAATTTTGTAGATCTACTTGGTACCGTTTCTTTCTACTACTAGTACTACAGACATGTACATAGACTGATATGATACATGTACAGTCTGTGATTATGATAGAGAGCTCACTCTCACCGACCGTCACTTTTTTCACAACACTCAACAGTGACACTGTCTCAGTTACAACCAGTGCACGCGTTACATGTGTACACAGTTCGGTATACGGACGTTGCGTGGGTGATTTCACTGGTTTGGACCGGTTCTCTTGTAAATGGTTCTATATCGCCTGTACACTTCACTTCACTCCTGATCCTACTAGTAGTCTTCAGCTTATATTTATAACATGACTTCCCGGTGGTTTGCCTGTTGAGTTTTCATCCGCCGTTACCATGGTTACTCAAACTCGTACTACATGTACAGCCACTGTGTTCCGACTGTAATCATGGTAATAAAATAACGGACCCTAGTCCCTAGTATTTAAATAGTATGCTAGAGTAGAGGTTTTGTTTTCGTTTGCTCTGACTACCTCACTTGATACGAGCTGTGCTGTACTTGCACTACTGGATGGTGTAGGAGAGGAGTCGAGTAGATCTACGAGTAAGGAGGGTAGATCTACACTGTACATGTGCATGTAGAAGATGTACACTAATCACTATAGTACATGTATGTAGGTGGCCTGCATGTGCAGTGCCAGTGCAGGACTAGACTCCAGGAGACATAAACAGGGAGTCACACTTGCGCGCTTTCTGCTATCAAAACAGTGTTGTGGAGTGGAGAGTTGAGTTCCAGTCCAAGTCTATGACAAGTAAATAGCTACAGAAAAACATCAGTCATACTCATCGTGCTAGTGCTGGCCTGTTATTCTTGCTGCTGCTTTCCCTGTGCCGGCGATAAAGAATCGTGTCTTCATCCTAGATCCTAGATTCTGCAGATCCCGTGCGGGTAAAATCCAGTGCACGCAACGCGCGACTGAGCGCAGCTGTTCAGCATTCCGACACCATCGGCATCGGCGCAGGGCTTGGTTCTTGCTGAAACAGAGAGGAGGCCTTCCTGCTACTGCTGCTGCTTTTCTGCCGATTCTACCTGTCTTTGTTGGGGTCACTGATCTGCTCGTGGCCACCATTCTGCAGCCACTGGTCTTACTACTGGAGGTTGTAGGTTTCTTGTACTTGTGTAAACGTTGTGGACATCGTCACCCCGACACGGCTAGCACGCATTGTGTCACATAATTATTTTTTGAATCAGCTTGTCGGTGTGTTCGCGTGTGTAAGTTGTAAAGCCTGCGCCTGTGACTAGCTGTTAGACCACGTGCTGCCCCAAACTGACCCGACCAACTACTACAGAGAGCTAGCTGTGAGACGTTGCAAGCTTGACTGAGTGTGAGTGATTGTTCCTCCGTCGGATCATTCCCCTGCTGCGTGCTGGTTGTGCTATAGTGTGCGAGTAATCGTTGTGCCATCGGCGTGGCGGTAATGCGGCCCAACTGAGTAATGTCCATCTTTATGCCCACCAACATGGATAGTTCTTCTGGAGTTGCAGCAGCGGTGCCTGCCGGACTTTCAGCCCCTACCCGGACAGGCGCAATGAACGGTACGGGCTCAACGGCCGACCCGAGCAAATCCCTCACAGAAGTTGAATTACTCGTCCAAATGCGACCGCTAAATGTTCCCAATTTTCTATCATCATCGCCGTCTACAACTCTAGCGACGTCTACTAGTGGCTCGGCATCTATGCCCATCCCTCGATCGAGCTCAGTCGGCAGTGCCCCACAATTCTCTAAGAGTGGTAGTAGTCCTACTCAAAAGAGTCGACGTCGAGCACCGGGCACCACTCCATTCAACCCGCACGCGTCCATCACAGCGGAGGAGCTGCGGGAGTACAAGGATCCGAGCAAGAAGCCACCTTTTAGTTTCCTGACGTTATGCACGTACGCTATTAACCAGGGTTCGGTCCGAGAGACTGGTGATGTGGACGCTGAGGGAAATCCACTCAGGTCGAAAATGCTGTCGTTGAACGAAATCTACTCGTACATATCGGACAACTTTCCTTTCTTCAAGCACGTAGTGCAGACCGGTCAGGGCTCTTGGAAGGTATGGTGATAAGCTTGGAGAGGAGCGGAAGTATCTACTTTTGACTTTTGTGCACTACATTTAGAACGTTACACCTGCTGCAATGCTGTTGTGTAAACAACCAGACTAATAGCTACTAATAGTAATACGTATCTAATATTGACTGAGTACGAGGTCAATATAGGAAATAAAAGCCGAGTAAAAGACCGAGGCGAAGCCGAGGTCTTTTACGAGGTTTTTATTTCCTATACTAACCAAGTACGAAGTCAATATTAGATTTATCACGACAAACAGTCCGTATTTCAAATTCCAGAACGATAACCTCATGAATCCCGGTTTTATGATTGCAGAACCGTTGCACCACCACCTACTGCGCAACCCCTAAGCAGTCAAATATAAGCAGTCAATATAGCCCTAAGGAGTGAAATATGCAGGAATATTTGACTGCTTAGATATGGCAAAAATCTATGTGAGTCAATACTAAGGGAGTGATAAAGTACAGCAAGACATTACTGGCATTAGACAAAAATCACAATCCCAGGCGACATCATGTGTCGAACCATGTAGTATTTTTTGTACATGTAGAGGTCTACCCCAATGATTGTGTAAAACTAACTTCAAGGCAGGTTGGGGCCTACATGATTCTACTGTACTACAGAACTAGCAAGGGGTCAACTGAAGAGTACACCTACTGTACTAGCCTGGTACTGATCATGGTAGATCTACTAATCTGTCTGCTAGTGTTATCCCTAGGGGAGGGGGAGGGGAGGAGCACTTATGGAGTCATGTCAAGCAGTTGATTGGGAGTGGCCAGTTAGTGATGCACTTGGCTTTGTCTGACTGAGGAGGAGTGATGCACTATCACTGGATCAGGTAGACAGGTGGAGAGATTGTGTAGGATGTGATGTGAAACTGTGATGATGGCCTGCATGGTAGTCGGGTAACGGGCGACACCATGCTGGTTCTTTTTCACATTCCTCACCAGCAGTATCGTAAAGCCACGTCTCCCAACCATTATCTTTCCAACGTCTCCGTGTGGCAGCACAGTGCAAACATTCTTAATAGGAGACAAGTGAGCTCCACCCTTGGCCCCTGCTGACTAATTGCCCACTAAAGACTTTGTCTAAGCAGTATAGTTGGCTACATGACTGTGCTGTCAGAAGCAGAGGCTGCACGATGATGCTGCTCCGCGGTCATGTCTGTGCTTGTCTGTACGGAAGGGCTGACCGTAGTGAGCAGCGTTGCCAGGTCGTGCACGCATGACTGCGCATCCACTATGCACGTATACATGCTGTTGCATGTGTTCCATGCATATGTGGCGGCTCTCAACGTTATCCAGGTCTCTGAAAACAATGCGGTTCTCATCTAGTGTAAACGGGTGGCGACGTTCCTACGGATGCGGAAAACTCATTCTGGCCGAGTCTCACACGAACCGTGATTTGTTCTGTGTTTTTTCTTCGTCTCACTAGAATTCTGTTCGTCACAATCTGTCGCTAAGCCCAGGCTTCAAGAAGGTCAAACGTCCGGCTGATGATCCCGGAAAGGTGAGAACTTAGGGGCCATCCGCAAATATCGATGTTTTTCACGAAGAGAAAAAAAGTTTCGTTTATGGGTGGGTGGCTTGAGGAGAGTTTCGTTTTGAAAATTATTGATAGCTGAAACATCAATCCATTCTAGCTGTCAAGTCAATAATATTATATTTTTCGTTGAAGGGGGTGGGTGGGGGAGGGTCATAACTAAACTTTTCGTTCCGTGAAAATTATCGATAATGCCGGGTGGCCCCTTAGAAACCTATCCAAGAAAGCGGCCAGCAGGGTTATGTCCGTAGCATTGGACTTCACTATGCTTCGTTTCATGACTTGTGTTGCGGCCAGCAGCAGTTCACAGGTAAGCACTCAGCAGCATGCACTACAGCACTGAGGATCAGGACAAGGAGTTGGAGTTTACTCTGTTGATGGAGTTGCACGACCTGATACACACTGCGGGGTGATTTTGTTGGAGTACCCCAGCTGGCTAGTTGTATAGTGTGTGTGCAGGGGAATAGCACTCGTATTTTCTAAGAAGCTAACACAGGCTGATAGGTTTGATCTTCGGCTGGGACACGGCCACCGTATAGGATTGAAGCGTTGGTGCGGGGAGTAGTAGCATCAGCAGAACCGAGCCATTAGTTGTTGATGCTCCGAGAGTCCGATTTTGTGTGGTAAATGTTTGCTTGACTTCAGTTGTGAATCTTGAAGCATGTTCTCTCTCTCTCTCTCTCTCTCTCTCTCTCTCTTTCTCTCTCCCTCCTCCCCCCCCCCCCTCTCTCTCTCTCTCTCTATCAACCGAACCTTGTTGTTTTGTGTTCATTAGGGCCAGTATTGGATGATTGAGTTGAACCCACCGAATGGAGACTACACACCACGTAGGAATCGACGAAAGCAGAATCGAAGTGCTCGGGTAAGGTAATCCTATTGCTTTTTCAATGGTCAGTGTTTACTTATTATTATAAATGTCAGTTATTGTTAGGAAAGGGTTTGCTCCTCACACTGGAGCTCGTGCTATTCCGCCGACTTGACTTGACACTTGACTGACTCACGACTGCCATCCAGAGCACACGGAAAGTCCATCAAACCTTTGACTCGGCAAACCTGCAAGAAAGCACCACTCCCTGCTCAATACACAGTGTTTCGGGGAAGTCACTCCTAATCAGTTCAATCAACCATCGCCGAAGTCGCAACCACTATTTCGTCTTTTATTGGTACTGTAAATTTGCAAAATTTCGGTGCAGCTATATTTCGGCAGGTTTTCGACATTTCGGCAGTGATTTATTTTCGGAACGGGTTAACCCTACAGTGCTGTCGTGTCACTCAAGTTTGCGCCTTGCATCATATCGCAGCCTAGTGTTCGCAGGCCTATGGCTGCGCAACGACCGGCGCGTACTTGAGTCGCGCGACTGAATTTCATTGAGCAGTACTGTAGTACATCATCAAAGCCGATGTGAAACATTTCATCAGCGTTTTAATTTCGTCGTTTTAGGGTTGGTGCCGAATCTAGCCAAACTAAATTGCTGCCGAAATTTTGTATATTTACAATACTGTATTGGGCCGCTCAAAGAATTTCAGTGATATCGGTGAATTGTGTTGCTCTTCGTGCTATGATTTCTCACAAAGCAGCCAAATAATGACGGTATGGATCTGCCGAATATACCATTGGTTAGCTACAGCACTGATGGGGTGAAAATGCCAGATTTCTACCAGTATTGCTGTACGTTATTTAACAAAAAGGGCTGCTTCAAGTAAGACTAGTAGCTGCACACATCAAACCCTCTTTTGGTTTCATACTGTTGTGTGGTGTGCAGCACTATTCCCTATCGCCATATCGATGCGTAGTGGGAACGTCTCCTTCACCATCCGGCATCTCCGACCACAGCAGTGACGATGCGCACCGCGGTAGAAGTCGCTCTCTGACGCATGGCCGCAGCCAGCAATCAAGGGAGACCTCGCCGGCATTATCAGGCACGTTCCGCTCATCATCAAGCCTTTCGAACCTGGAATTTGGGTCTGGTGAGTCAGTTGGTAGGCGTATGCTCGTGTAGAAGTACTTGCATGGCTTGTTTGTCTGAGGAAGTTCATTAATCTTTACCTGCAGCACTTACATTGTCATGATGTTGTGCACTGCATATATGAGGAATCTTTCGCACAGCTTCAGCACGCAATGCTGAAATGGAAACTAAAAGGTCTTTAATGCTGCTCAAAGTTGCATCAGTGCCCATTAGCTTTACAATCATCATGTATTTCTGAAAGAGTCTTAGTCTGATTGTCTGTGGCTATGGTTGTGTTGCTCTGGACAAATTCCAGGATCAAATGACTTCAGTACACTGGACTTTGGCGAGTCAGCTTCTCCGAACATAGCGAGGATGAACACAAACCCACAATTCCTGGCTCCTGCACACAGCTACGTTTCACGCAGCATGGACAACCTGCAGACTACTCCGCGCTACGTGTTTCAGCCGGCAACTTTCGTGACTCAGCAACTTAGTGGTCTCGAACCAGAGACGGCTAGCATGCTTGCCCCGTATGTAGATCGCACGCGAAGCGTTAGTGATCCGCTGAGTGTTGTGGGCAGTAGATATGGCTTGCTGAGTGCTATGGACCTATCTGGTCAATCCTCTGCTGCTGCCACCAGTGCGGGTGTCAGTCAAGCAACAGATCCTGCTTATCGGCGTGCCACGGTAGGCACAGGTGCTCCGTTCTTGACGGGATTTCAGACTATGGTAAGCTAAACTCAAGGGAAACATACTGCCATGCTCCTGCACACAAAGTGTCAAGTGTATATCGTCACCCAGAGTGTGAAACTCTTGGGTCAGACTGTGGGTGGACTTGGGGACAACTAATTTCAGATTGCGGGGTCAACATGCATACGGCAAAGCTTGATGAAACCGAAGAGGCAAAGACCCAAGCTGCTGAAGTGGGCATCCATAATCCCTGGGAACCTTCACAGGTCAGACCGGAGCCTACACGAGTGGATTACAGAACTCTTTGTTCATGCTGTTCTCGATGATTTTGCGTCGGAATCTGAGGACGTGGAAGTCTTGTGCTGCAGGCTGTGGTGCCGTAAAAGTCCGTAAATAAGTACCTGCCCGAAATAAATACCCTCTTCATTCTTTTGGCTCTGTCTGTTGAAGTCAAGTCAAGCCCGATGAACATACTGCCCGAAATTAGTACCGGTACGATGCACACATGCAGCACGTAACATGTACATCTACATGAAAATGACTTCTCCACTACACACAAGTCAGGTCCGAAAGTTAGTTCGTGCCCGAAAGTCTGTACCCGCCCGAAAGTTAGTACGGGTGTGGCCACTAAATTCGAAAGTAAATACGTACTTATTTACGGACTTTTACGGTAGTATATGTAGGCGTGATTTCAATGCCTTGGATAGGGCTACAATAGTGTGTGCGTGGATGTGTGTGTGTGTATTTGTGTTTGTGTGTGTGTGTGTATGTGTGTGTGTGTGTGTGTGTGTGTGTTTGTGTGTGTGTGCGCATATGTGTGGATGGTTCTGTGGGCGTGCGTGCATGTGTGGGTGCATGTATACATATGTGATTATTTAGCACGCCGACGGTGCTCACGGAGGCAAGGTTTCTGAAGACATGACAAGCGCGCAACAGTACAATCATGTTAGAAGCAAGAGCGAAGAAATCCAGCGCATGCGATCATTGGCGAATCCACTCTGGGATACTACCGGGTCTGGTGGGCCTGACGCCTTGCTAACTCAACACCTTCAGAAGCGGGACACATCTCCCAGCTCATCGACCGGTGGACAAGTGGACATGGGTACAAATGGTCAGTACACCACTTCAGCGGCAGGCTTTCCGCAGGTAATTCTAGGTGCAAACGGCACACCACAGCAGCCACTACTTTCTCCGTCATCGACAATGAGAGCACGTTTCAAGTTACCGACAGTCAGTGTTACTGATGATAGCAACAATGAACACGAACCCACATCTCTCGACAGCAATTTCGACATAACAACAGCCATTGCAACTGATGGAAATGGCCTGCCAATTGCGTCCCACTCGAATGTTGGACAGGCACCTGCCAGTGCAAGTGGTGGTGGGTCAAATGCGACTATACACATGCAACTCATGCGACAGAATCAGCAGCACTATGACTACAACCAGCAGCAGTTGCAGGCACAACTGCAGACAGCGATGCAGGATCCACAGCAGCAATCGCCACAGCAAGCAGCATCTCTGCGACAGCATTTAGATCATTTACAGCAGCAGCAGCAACAGCAGCAGCTACAACAACAACAACAACAACAACAACAACAACAACAACAACAACAACAACAACAACAACAACAACAACAACAACAACAACAGCAGCAGCAGCAGCAAGGAGCAACCGCCCCTATAGACCAGCAACAGCAGTCTTTACCAAAAAGTATCATTCAGCAAACTGCACATGGTTTGCCGCAGCAGTCGCCAGTTGTGCCTCTGCTGCAGTACCAACAGCCAACGCAACCAGAATTAGATCTGAATCAAATACATTTACAGCCTGAGAGTGGTTTTGATATGCTGACGTCGCAGGATTTTTCAGCAATGCAATCACTTCACTCTACTGGACCGGTAAGTGGTCCGATCACGCAGCTAGCAGAAGAACTGGCATCCAGCTATGGGCAGCAGTCAGCTAGTGAGTCAATACTCTCCACCAGTCCCCTCTCTAATGCTGACTCTGCTGGTGCAATGGCAGGAGATTCAGGCTGGTTGGCGTCCGGTGGCGGCGACCTTTCACACATAGATGTACACATGCAACATCAGTTACAGCTGGCAGTTCAAGCTGATGCGCAGCGTGCTGGTCAGCTTGCACAGCATGAGAATATTCAGCAATTGCAGCAGCAGCAGGCACACTGGCAGCAGCAGTAGTCGCTTCTGCTGCGTTATAACCATAATTCTAGTGCTCATCATGGCTTGATGGTGGGAGTTCTGTGAGGTCAGTTCTAAAAACCCACCATTATCAGCTACCAAGGAGAACTTACCTGCCGGCAAGCACCGTCCTCAAAGCTTCTTTGCAGCACATTGTTGTGTGAGTGGCACAGCGGTCAGTGTAGTTATACCTGCGTGTCTACAACTGCACTATATCCTATACCCCTGTACATAGCAATCCGTGGGTGCGGCAATCTTCAAGTATGCAGTGCCGTGTGTCAGGCCCATGGCATGTCACAATTTGACCTGAGTTCAATGTATTCGATAATTGCTGATCCTTACCAATCCATTGGTTATAGTGTTGATGCTTGTCCAATAGTCTTCCATCCATACAATCCCATGCTGTTGTTGCTCCACCCTTGTCACCCTTTGTGCTCCTGTTGCCGCTGTGGTCGCTGCTCGGGCGACTGCCTCTGCCGTAGCTGCCTGATGCTGCAATCATTTTGACTACTGTTGGCCGCAGTCAGCTTCTATTTCGCTTTTTAACAAGTCGCTACCGAATGAACTCGTCAAAACGACTGACCGAAAATCCTTTGACATACTTTCCCCATTCCTTTCCAGCTATCAGCAGATGCCTTTCTCATGATTTGAGCAGCTTGGCACTCAACCTTCCACAGCCTCGTCTTGTTGAAGTTAAATAATTATATTGATTGTGTCCCATAGCTAAATTTTCATGGCTAAAGAAGAGTGAAGCCTGGCATTCTATGCACCACTTATTTTGATTATATCAGTGAACTGCACAATGCCTGGTGTCATTGATCATTCGGCCAACAAGTCGAAATATGCTATGACTGTTTAGATCCACCATTGGCATACATGCATGTGATGATCTGAGAAGAGTTGAAACTTGAAAGTATGCAAAACATGTACCAAGCATATCCGATGATTCTGATAATGACATGACCGCCTTTGCTTTTAGTAGTATATTCTAGGGTAGTCCTGGTTTACGTGTTTAGTCCCACTGACTGGCCGTAGCAGTGTTGTTCTCTGGCCAATTTTGATAACTTGGGCTTCTTGGAAAGCTTTGGGTGAGAGGAACTCATTGATAACACCCGGTGATGACAACGCATGTTGAAAATAGTTCTGTCATATGGGACTTCTAGGGCTTCAGAGTGTGTTCAGGGTGCTTCGCGCAAACGCTTTTTAAAACAGAAGGAATCATGTTGCTTTCAGGAGTAAACACCATGATTGCCATTGCATCACATACAGTGTGCTTCAATTAACACCACCGGCATACTGTTACCCTGGCTAGACTTGGCAAAGAAACATTCGGCCTTACTTACAGGCAACGTGCACATCACACACTTTTGTTGAAATGTGAGAAGGGTACCAAAGAACCATAATACAATGTACTCCAAAAGTGTGTGATGAAAACATTCAATGGTTTGCCTCATAGTGACAAAGTGCCGGGCAAGGACGGTAAAAAGCAGAGCTCGGGATGTTCAACAACTGTGTTTTGACCGATTCCGTCAACAATCTAATAATTGCTAAAATGGACAGTTAATTAACTAAATACTAGCATACTCGGGTGAAGGAAGATATTGCTAAAATTCTCTAGGTGGAAGGAAACTGTCAATAAACTCAGCGAAACACTAAAATTCATAACCAATAATAAACGGTAATTGGTTGTGCCAGAAACATATTCTCCAGAATTCATCTCTGTAATGCTTATGGTGCAAGGCGCAAAGAAAAAGACAAGATAAACCACCGTGAACGGCATTGAACTAAAGATGTCCAAGCAGTGAGGGTAGGGACAACCGAAGAGTAGAGAGAGTACTAATCTGGATACTGTCTCTCTAACTTTAGTACTCTCCCATCTGCCCCCCCCCCCCCCTCTGTTGGCACTGTTTATACCATTCACTGTTGTAAGTACGCCTCTTTCACTTTAAAAGCTACTTTCTCTTACAACCTTTCAGCAGAAATGGTACACAGAGGAAGTTTGCACGAGAGAATGTTTGCAACCTTTGCATCAAGACCAATTGGTGACTGGTAGTTGTGCAATATGGTGTTGTTTCTAAACAATGATGCAATATATTTTATGTGCATTGGTAGAGTATGCTATCGCTTTGGTAGCCATGCAATACTGTTTTATGGCTCTTGTACATATACATGTTGAGATCATAAATACCTGGACATACCTTTCCAGTTCATGCGCCCCGCAGAGGACAATCTGAAACGCATTCAATATTCAGGTGAGTCTGGAGCTTCCATCTCTGTCCAAGGCACTTCAGGAGACGGAGCATTCTCAAATCCTTCACTTGCGCAGAAGCTAGTGTCCTCAGAGTGAGAGCTGCGACTTTTCTTTGCCGATGGACTGCCGGCGCCGGCTGAGTCTGTAACCAAATAGAAAACAATTTCAGTGTTAAAAAATAATTTTCTTATGGAATTGTCTCCTAAACGACTGCTCACAGTTTGAAGACTAATAGAAAGACGCATTATTAAAATGGTAAAAATGATAGCCATGCCAAGTATACTTACCAAAAGAAGCATTATGGCTGGACCGTCGCTTTTTCGATCTTGACCTCATAGAAACCTCATGACCAAACTTTGCCAGTCGATCCTGAGCCAACAATGATTTAAAAAAAAGATCGCAGGATGTTGTGAACATGGAATCTCTCGAGCAAGAACAACTGCTCGTTGGAATAACAATAGAGAAGCAGTATACAAAAACACTGTACACGTACAAGCAAGTGCAAGCAAGTAGCGGAGATAATCAGCTATTGCAGACAGGTATTCATACGCACTGTATCACGAGTCATGACAATGAATACACAGACAGTGTCAGCCCATCACCAATACCTACTAAAAGCAAGATACTGCTTCCCTCCGCAACCTTTCTGCGCTCGGGTTTCTTTCAAAATATGAGCATGAAACCAAAGTGTTGACACCCCGAAATGCTACAGGGCTCATGGAAGCACCAATGGGAATCAGTTCACCTTCCACCAAGCGGAAATAGACTGCAAGAAGTTATACAACGTAGCTAAAAATAGAGGAGAAAATCTTACATCTATGGAGTATGTGAGGCAGTCACATGCTATTGCAGCAGCTCTCTTCAGTTGCTTCTTCTGAGTGAGCTTGATCTGCAGTCAGACGGGCCATCAAAGCAGATTCAAATCTGCCAGATGGTTGTCCTGAACAGGCCAGTTTGTATGTGATACGGCCAGTGCAAGAAACAACAGTCGCTATGTATCTACAGCAGAAGGTACTGCAGGCATACTTGACTGTACATCATTGTGCGTAGTATCATTGGCGCATGCACATGTAGTCAATGTGTTAGGATTAGGAATACACAATTGAACGGTATTTCTAGGAGTTCACATGCATATCCAGTTTATCCACAAGCTCTTTTTTGCCTTTCATGCATGTTATTCGAACAGATGGAAACTTTTTACAATACAATGATGTAGCCGATCAGTTCGTTATGGTATGGTTGGGCATTGTAGCCGTCATGGTCAACGTAAAACACTATAAGACCGCAACGAAGTTGCGGCCAAAGAGAAAGTTCCATCAGTTCTAATAACATGCATGATGAGCTAGGCAAAAAAGCATAGAGTAGGGCCCTGAGCTTCCAAGCTCTCTCGTTTTAACGAAGGAATGCCATAACAGTTAGAACCTTAGATTTACCATTCCTCAATATAATTTCATGCCCAAATCTGTGGACAGCAACTGTTTCGCCCTGTTAGAGCTCCTCAGCACAGCTCAGAGGACCGAAGCGCAGCTCTTCACAATGAAATACGTTTCCGTGAAGCAAAGTATTTTTATAAAGAGCTGCAAACCCCGCCAAGAGTGCTCGAAATGCTCCAAGAGCAGTGAGCGTTGCACAAGGCGAGCGGCAAGGGTTCGCGCTAAGGTAAGAGTGCTCAACCTAACGACATTGCTGACTGCTAGGGAGCATAATACTCAAATCTGTGGACAGCAACTGTTTCGCACTGTTAGATGCCTTACAGTATGCTCTTTTCGGTAATGTCCTCGGTGTACATGTACACTGTATACACCTTGAAGTATGGGACTTGTACGCAATTTTTCATCAATTTTTTAATTGGGGCCCGGGCTTTCTACTGCATATTAAAGGGGAAGTTACGACTACAGTGCTTTTTTTAAATAATACTTGGACTGAAAACGTTGAGAACGTACTCAAGGCCACTTTTGAGAAAATGTAGTGTGAGTTGCGTCACGAAAATCTGCGCGCGAAATTCAAAAAACCGGGTGTGACTCGTTCCATTTGTTCAGATCAGAGTGTTCTTCGAGCTCCACGTACATGGCCGGAGGAATCATTTTGTTGTTGACTGCTCTGTGGCCCTATTTTGTTTCTCTTGAGTGTCTTTGTGTTCGTGGCAACTAACGTGTTACTTGTTCTCTCGACATGCCACATTTGACAAAACGCGAACGTGCCAAGGTGGTGTCTGTGTTGCAATTTTGCGAAGACGAGAAGACCAATGGGTATCGAATTGATCTCAAGCACTCCGTTCGTCGTGCTGCTGTTGCGTGTGGCGTCAGCATTTCCACCATGAACAGATGTGCCAGGGATGCTGACAACGGAAATCACCGTGCTGCATCAGCCTTGTCTCCAGTGATGAAGGTGACGAGAGTGGCACTGATCCCCAAGGTGAGACTCGTGGCAGGAAACCACTCAACCCTGACGGATTTGCTTTGGACTGTATAAGACAAGTAATTCACGGATCCTATGCTGCGAAGGAGCACCCAACACTGGACAAAGCTCTTGCTCGCTGCAGAGAAACCATCGACGATTTTCCAGACATGAGCAAAACTAGCTTTGGAAAATATTGCGTTCCATGGGATTCCGGTATGGCAAGACCAGATGTATCACCCACATAATGATGCAACGCCCCGAGATAGTGTGGCGGCATCGCTACCTGCGAGACATTAGAGAAGTTCGTTCTCAAGGCAAGCCGATTGTGTACCTGGATGAGACGTGGGTCAATGCACACCACACAGTTACTAGGAGGTGGTACGACAATGGCGACAAGAGTGTAGCCAAGCAACCAAATGAAGCACCATCAGGTAAAGGCAAGCGCGTTATTGTTCTGCATGCTGGTGGACGGGACGGATTCGTGAACAATTGCGCCAATGTGTTCATTGGCAACACGTCCTCAGCAGACTACCGCGACGAAATGAATGGCAAGCACTTTCAAGAGTGGTGGAAAGACTCTGCTTCCAAATTTGAAGGAAGGTTCGGTAATCGTTATGGACAATGCTCCTTACCACACCGTTAAAACGGATGCATCTCGCTGCCCGATGTCCTCAACGCGGAAGGCCGATATGCAAGCATGGCTAACTGCGAAAGGGATTCCCCGGAGCAGTACCATGTTAAAAAGCCAGCCTTGTACAAGCTCATTCAGCTTCACAAGCCACAAGCGAAGTATGAGTGCAACAAGCTTGCGGCAGAGCGTGGGTTCCGTGTGATCCGACTTCTCCTGTACCATTGCGTTTTTAACCCAATTGAGTTGATTTGGGCCTGGGTAAAGCGGGAAGTCGGACCACGGACCAAGACGTACAAGATCGGTGATGTGAAGACCTTGGTTCTAGAAACGATGGAAGCAGTGCCACAGGACCTCTGGCCGAACTCATGTCGCCACTGTGACGAGGATGTTGACAAAGCCTGGCTAGCTGACGGGCTTCAGCAGGAGCATGTGGCCAGCATTGTCATTTCCTTGAGTGACAACGAATCCTCAAGTGAGTTGGAAGACGATGACAATGAGTAGTGTCCATAACGATTACCACCCCGGAAGCAGAGAGTCTGGACCTGGAAACAATTTGTCGTGGTAGAGTGACGTGTTGGCAGTGAACACCAAGGTTCAACTCAAAGGTCCAAAGGTTCAACTCGAGTGACAGGAACGCTGTAAAAGTTGTAGCCTGCAGGCACGGTGACCCACAGGTGACTAGTATACGCATGAGCACGTGACCGCTTACTCACCTGTGTTGGATTGGGAATAAGGGCTGAATGCTGCATCGCAGCCTTTTCGGACCAAAACCAGTCGACTCAGCATCCAAAAGACTACAACATATGGACCAATCACGGTCGTCCGTGCTTTTATAAGAACGAAACGGCGCTTTTAGTGACTTTTTGCATACAAATCCCCATCTAGTAGGGCGCAGTTTCGGTGGAAGTGCGCGAGTTCGATTGGGAATAAAGGAGGAAGGAAGCGTCTCAGCTTCCTCTGACCAAGACCATTCTACTCAGCACCCCGAAGACTACAACTGGTGAAAATTTGATTTTAGGCTTACTGAGTACTCTAATTTCAGAAATTTTCAGTGCTCAATATTTTCGGTATGAGGGCAAAAGGCCAGGTTAATATTCGCGGGATCCGCGTCGGCATCGCTTGAATGTTCAGAAACACACAAACTAGCCTTCGCATCCGCAGGCCACCACTATGCCTGTTCACCTTAGTGGCGAATGCAGACCTCACAAGTGAGTCAGGGGAGAGGAGGTTAGTCTCTCAACCAATTGGGCGTGTAACGGCCCATAACCCTGTAAACTGCATCCTTGTTATTCTCACTCCGAGCTGTGAGTACCCAGTTGACCGTGGGTGTCGGCGCAGTTCCACACGCGTAAAAAAGTCTTTTTTACACGCTCCCTACTACCAGCGCGGGTTTTGAACTCGGGACCTCATGATTCGCAGGCAGGCCTGCAAACCAATCGGCCATATGCGTTGGTGTGAAGGCCAGGTTAGGTGAACAGAAACTTTAGGTACAGAGAAGCAGTTCCCTATTGGATTATGTGTGTTAGTGTTTGTTCGCTGTTTTGAAATTTCAGGTATGAAACAGAGGCACCGAAAGTACCGAAAATTTGTGAAATTACAGTAACTCAAAGTTCCCTTGTAACAAATTAATTATTTGGGTAAGGACACAAAATTACTGCATGTCAAAGTGATGCCTCCCAAATCAACAATCGTGGCAGGGTTCCCTTGTCAGGATAAATCCTTACATGTAATCCCTGGCTCTGCTGGCTGGTGTAGCACAAAGATTACAAGTACAATGTACATGTACTTGATATCAATACTACAGCAATGCTTCGAACAACAACAACAACAACAACGTGAGAATAAAAGAATTCAAACAACAACAACAACAACTATCTCTTATTGGCGATGGTGCCATCGTGAGAATAAAGAATTCAAAAACAACAACAACAACAACAACAACAACAACAACAACAACAACAACAACAACAACAACAACAACAACAACAACAACAACAACAACAACAACAACAACAACAACAACAACAACAACAACAACAACAACAACCACAACAACAACCACAACAACAACAACAACAACAACAACAACAACAACTCTCTCTTATTGGCCACTGGCTATCGTGAGAATAAAGATTTGAACAACAACAACAACAACAACAACAACAACAACAACAACAACAACAACAACAACAACAACAACAACAACAACAACAACAACAACAACAACAACAACAACAACAATCCCTGGGTATTCGTGCCCAGATCTAGCTGATGCCAAATCATGTAAAAAGTACAATGCACAGTACCATTCACAACTTACTTGCCCCGTGTCTGATGGTTTGCTGTTCTTATCGAAGGCCTTGACATTACTTCTGTCCACCCAGGCACGAGTGGGAGCGGTGTCAAACCCAAATACAACATGAAACGCATTCTGCAAGAACACATAGGGCCAAGTACCACCACATACACACAGATAGAACAGGCAGTATATTGAATTTTCTCAGAGACAGAAATGTAAAAGTCGACATATATTTGGCCTACATTCAGCAAAAGATGAATTTGTGTGGGCCTGCAATAGTTCCTTTTCAGACAACTATGTGAGATGCTGGAATTACGGAAACGAAATCATTAAGACACCAAAAATCCGCTACTGCTACACTTCCAGAAGCCACCTTTGAGACGGTCTTTTTGAAGAATGTGTATTTGCACCTGCATACCTGTAATGCACTGGAAGTGTCTTGCATCTCTAAACAACAAGGGAAGAAGGCTAGGCAGCGTAGCGTTGGGCCTGTTGGGGAGTTTTGAAGTATTTTTTTGCTCGAGAACAGCCAAAATCTTCCGTTTTGGTGGGGAATTAGCATGACTCACGGGCTCGTATATTCTGTCAATGGCATGATCATCATCGTCCTCAAAGTTGGCAAAAGATCCATAATCTGGATCAACATCAACCAAGCCAGGCCACCTATAATGTAAAAAAAAACATGCAAACACGCAGCCATCATAACAATACAAAATGTACTTCAGAAGATGATGTAGCGTAAACGTGGGTCATTTAACCAACACAGGCAGCACACGTATCTCAGGTGCCTTGGACATGGGCCGACGGCATAACAGCATGATAGCATTCTAGAGATCCTTGCAGCTTCGCACACATATTGTGAGCAAGCGACCAGGGCCCACCGTGCTCAACACAAACTCTTACCATGGATAGCCATTGACTCTTGCCCAAACAACACTACCAAGAGTGACATGGCAGGGAGCAAATGTGTAGGACTCGTGCATCTCATCCCAGTTCTCTTCAGGTATATCACACGTGTTGCGCTTGCTATCTGCAACACAAGAATTATTGGAAAGACATGAACTGTTCTGCAAAGATGTCTTGAAACGTTCGCACAGCAAGACCTTGAGTGAAACCGGACGCCTCAGAGGCCAAGAAAGCATATCACTGTTCTTCATCATACAGACTGGGCCCTTATGATGCATCCGGGATTTCTATCTATAATCTGGCACATGGACTAATCCACTAATCCACCATGTTCTGCACATGTGCAAGGGACTGGAGAACCGCTGTTTGCTGTGTGTTCTCTCTCTCTCTCTCTCTCTCTCTCTCTCTCTCTCTCTCTCTCTCTCTCTCTCTCTCTCTCTCTCTCTCTCTCTTTCTCTGTCTCTCTGTCTGTCTGTCAGTGTGTCAGTGCAAATCGTATCATGACATCTAATCACAACCGATAGTTAGGAGGACAGCGTCTCAAAAGAAAGTGTGCATTATGCAAAATTCGTCATTTCAGTATTGCTGCCAATATCACTCACCGTTGCTCATACTGCACTGCCAGTCACCAGGTACGCTACTTGCATCCACATTGCCCTGCATGCGGCGCCATTTAGAGCATAGTGTGCACTCGACCCACACCTCTCCATTGTTCTCAAAGCCTGACATCATGGAAGGCATACTGTACTCATCATCATCATTATGATGTGATTTCTTTCCCTTTGTCTTCACACGCTTTCGTTTCTCTTTATTCTTGTTCCCCGATGGTGGTTGCGCATCGTCCGTCCAACGGTTACAGACCTCATTCCACTCCTCTTCCAAGTTGTACACGCTAAGAGACTCGGCGATGCTTCTCAGGTCACCAGCATCATCACTTTCTTGATGTATTGTGATGTTAACTGTTTCAACAGCGTCAGTAGTGTCGGGCTGTTCAGCATCGCCGAGGGACTCAATATCTGAGAAGCAGACATCGGTCTCCTTCAGACTTTGAACAACTTTCTCCAGTGAAGTGACACTGCCAGTATCGCTGTCATCAACACCAGTGTCATCCCCTTCATCCGCTATTGTATTTTTGGGAGCTTGCAACTCGACCTCAGTAGTGACTGGATCATCTGGTGAGGCTTGACTATCTACAGTATGATTGTGATCCCGGTCTGCCATGTTTCTCCTGCGCTCAACAGCCATTTTGCCAGCTTTGCTATAGCGCTTGTCTGCTTTCATTTGCTTCTTCTCTTCAGCATTCTTCTTTTTCTCTTCGGCATTCTTCTTTTTCTCTTCCTGCAGCATAGCTCTTTCTTGCTTATGCTGGAGTTTTTCTGCTTTCTTTTGCAGCCTTCCTTCTTTGGCTTTATTCTTCTCTTCCAACTTAGCAACCCGGGCAGCTTTCAGCTCTTCCTTCTTCGTCGATTTTGCACTATCATTCTTCCTTTGTGAGTTCAGCTTCTCCGCTTTCCCGTCACTGCTCTTCTTAGGTTTTGCTGTTGGTAGCTGTTTGGATGGTTGCTGGCTCTTGCTAGTAGCAGCCGAAACCTGAGGTCGCTGCTTGACACTAAATGATGGCTTGGTACTTTTGTTGACTGTGGGCGGAATGACAGCCGGTGTAGATTCATTGCTCCCGTCATTGCTCTCAGGACTCACAACAGGTGAAGATGGTTCAGTTGCATCGTCGATGGTTTTATTCGTGTCACCTCTCTTGCTAAGCTCAGCTGGAGAATTTGCTTTGGCGGATGCAGGCTCTGTTTTTGACTTCGCTTCATCGGGCAGTCGCCTGTTGGTCCCTTCAGATGGTTTGCTTGCAGTAGCGGCCACAGCTTTGACCGCAGCTGGAGTGGCCTTTGACGTGCCAAACTTCGGTGCTCGTTTGGCAGCGGAGTCCGGCGTTTTTGCTGCCTTCGCTTTCGATGCTACCGCGAAGGAGGGTTTTCGTTTGCTAGCTGATAGAGATCCACGTTGGACGTCTGGATTATTCTCAGAGGTGGACGATGCAATAGACGTCGATGAAACACTGGGCTTGCATGACTCAATAGACGTTGATGAAACACTGGGCTTGCATGGCTCTTCATTGCCAACGTCGGGATGCGTCCCCTCTGCTCTCGGTTCGTGACTTTCTTCAGCTACACCTACGTCGCTTTCTGGAGTCGCTGGAAGTTCAGTATAGTTTACCAAGGAACTTGTAGGTCCGACATCAGTTGAAGCAGCAGCAGTTGTGGCAATGTTATTTCTCTGGGGTGGTTTCTCCGCTGGCCAGGAATCTACTTCGTTCTCACATTCTTCCAAGAGGTCATCAAGGTCATCATAATCCATTGCCGTTTACTGCCAAACTGAAGATGTAGCTTCACAAGGCGAACTACTTCTTAGCTCTTACAGCAAAAAGGTGCAGCAGCAATTTGTTTAGGTATTGTCCAACCTATGGAATGCACATCCCCACATTGACAAACAACATTCTGAGAAGAAAAATCAGCTAGCCCAAAATCAAAGGCCTGAAATGGGTGGCATTATTCACAAAGAGAGAACAGTCCGTGATCGTGAGTCGAACGGAACACCGACCGGGAGAGTTTGTATCGATTCGCGTGATAGTAAAAGAAGTAGCAGTAAAGGTCAAAGAGAAAGGTCATAGGTTCATGGGTTCAAATACCGCGCGATCTAGCGAGACAAATGTTAAAGGGGAAGTATACCCTAAAATCAAATTTTCACCAGTTGTAGTCTTCTGGGTGCTGAGTCGAATGGTCTTGGTCCGAGGAAGCTGCGACGCTCCCTTCCTACTTGAATCCCAATCGAACTCGCGCACTTCCACCGAAACTGGGTGACTGCGCCCTACTAGATGGGGATTTGTATGCAAAATGTCACTAAAAGCGCCATTTCGTTCTTATAAAAGCACGGATGACCGCGATTGGCCCATATGTTGTAGTCTTTTGGACGCTGAGTCGACTGGTTTTGGTCCGAAAAGGCTGCGATGCAGCGTTCCTCCTTTATTCCCAATCGAACATGGTTGAACAAGCGGTCACGTGCTCCTGGGTGCCCAAATCACCTGGTCACCGCGCCAGCAGGCGACAACTTTCACACCAAGGTTCAACTCGAGTTCAACTCGAGTGACAGGACTGCACCCAAAAAAGGTCAAACAGGCTAGTAAGTTGTACCCTGCAGGCACGGTGACCAGCTGACTGGTGTACGCAGGAGCACGTGACCGCTTCTTCAACCATGTTCGATTGGGAATAAAGGAGGAACGCTGCATCGCAGCCTTTTCGGACCAAAACCAGTCGACTCAGCGTCCAAAAGACTACAACATATGGGCCAATCGCGGTCATCCGTGCTTTTATAAGAACGAAATGGCGCTTTTAGTGACATTTTGCATACAAATCCCCATCTAGTAGGGCGCAGTCACCCAGTTTCGGTGGAAGTGCGCGAGTTCGATTGGGATTCAAGTAGGAAGGGAGCGCCGCAGCTTCCTCGGACCAAGACCATTCGACTCAGCACCCAGAAGACTACAACTGGTGAAAATTTGATTTTAGGGTATACTTCCCCTTTAATCGCGTGTTGTCGAATCCCAGCTGAACCACAGAATACTAGAAAAGCCCGAGTTGTAGCGACGCCTTTCCATGTAGATCTACCGGTAGTTCTGCATAGAAATTAGAAACTGCAGCGGAAACAGCGACCACCTGCGTTGCGCAAATCAGCGACCGACTTTTAGATGCTTATAGTACTAGTGTGCCAAATGCCATTATCCGACAGGCATACAGCGACCACAACTGAAATAAAAAGTGACATTGACGGACTCAGTGCAGGGTGCACTGCGCTGAGCCAAGGCTGAAGCCTTTTCTGTTCAGAAACATGTATGTCTATGAACAGTACATGTTTGTGCACATGCACACGCGCATGCACACACGCGCACGCACACACACACACACACACACACACACACACACACACACACACACACACACACACACACACACGTGTAAATGACTGTACATACTCGAAACCATAGAAAATAGTTCACACTGCGATAGTGACGTGCAGGCGATCAGTTCATTTCAAGAGAATGCTGCTGATTAGGAAATCTGGCTGTGGAATTCGGTGAAGTCAATGTAGCCAAGGCAGGTTAGGATAAAGAAAAAAGTACCTAATATCTAGCATTAGGTAAGGATGTATATTGGTTGTTACACAGTCAGTGTATAAAGTGGCTGTTAGAGAATAATGACAGTATGCTGTTTTCATGAGTTTCATGCTACTTGCCTATTACATGTATGGGCAACCACATGGTGGCATGGTAGGCTCTGGACATGCTGGACGTAAATTGTCATGCATATGCACACACACACACACACACACACACACACACACACACACACACACACACACACACACACACACACACACACACACACACACACACACACACACACACACACACACACACACACACACACACACACACACAGTGATACACACACGCGCGCACACGCGCGCACACACACACACACACACACACACACACACACACACACACGGTGACACATGCACACACACACGCACGCACACACATGCATATATGCATGGTATACATGCACACATACATGCGCGCAAAAGGGATAGGAGTGGCGGGGGCGCAGAGAGATGCAGCGAGAAGATGCAGCAGGTTGCCAGGAGACAACCGCATTACTGCTATGTACAAAGAAAGAAGATATTTACAACAGAAGTATAACACAATAACCGACAACAACATGCTGCTGCTGTAGCTACATAGTGAGCGACTAAGAACATCATAGCATACCGGTTCCCGTGCATGGAGCTGTAGAGATGTCCATACAGACTGGTAGGTTTGTTGCCTTTTGCCGGGTGCACAGCGCAGTGTACTATACTGCCTTAGTTCCCAGGATAAAGAGACTAGGCTTTCGTACTTGGTGTGTCAGCAAGGCTCAGTCTCTTGAGACCAGGATCGATATTTTCAACAAGCTCGTCATCAACGCCCGTGACATCGAAGTCCTCATCGTCTTCGCTAGACAAAACCAAAACACGCCGCCTGCTTGATTTAGGCTTTCGAGTGATTTCGGGCGAGGAGTTGTTCCCTGTTGCCGCGCGGGTTTGGGCCGGTTTCCTGTGAGATGCCAATGGCGATTCATGGACGTTGTCGGACGCTCTCCTGACAGTGCGCCGCTGCGTACGCCTTGTTTTCGATGATGCCGGGGGTACTCTGGGCGTAGTGCCATCTACAAGCGATACATGTACAGACAAACACACAGCACAGCTGTGGTAAGCAACCATGCAGTGTAGCAAGAGATCGCCCGTGTTTAGAGACCGGGTCTTCTCACACCCCACGCCACGCCATGCATGCCCCAGCGTACACTCAGATTCGCACAGAAAACGTAAAGCAGTGTTCTGTGCACCATGGGGTGATCGCAAAAGCCTGGAAAAGGCAGCTTTGACTGGTTGCGAAAAAGTATTAAAAAACTGACAGCATCGGTGTCTGTTCACTTGCCGGCTGTCATGTTCATGGAGGGGCAAGAATATGTTCCACATACACTCGGTGGTACGACAATTTTTGTTGGAAATCAAAGTTGCTTGACACCATCTGCAAAGTCAAGATTCTAAAAGAGGCGTACACCACAGGATATTAAAATTGTCGTACCACTGAGTGTATGGGGAACATATTCTTGTCCCTCCATGAAAATGACAGCCAGCAAGTAAACAGACACCGCAGCGCACACTGTCCACGTCACTGTTCTCCCAGAAGTGTTGCCCATCGCAAAGCCACGAGGCAAAGTCTTGCCATACAGTGAGAGACTTCGTAGGCCTTTTAAGTTTCAACAGCAAGAAAAACCCTGAAAAAGGCTTCAGACATGACTCTGATCAGTACAGTGAATATCAGTCGGGCGCCGAAGAACGGAGAGTCGAAGAACGAACAGACTAGGATTTCACCAAGCACAGCATACCGATGTAAACATGGTGACTCAACTGTGCATAGACTGTAGTACATGAAAAATAAGAACGGCCTAGGCTAGGAGGCTGACCCACAGTTCTTCGGCATCCAATAGTACGGTAGCCTAGTGTAGGGCGTTACATGAAGAACAACTGAAAACTACGGCGGTTATGGTGCTTACCTGGCTCTTGCACCTCTTTTAAGACGGTGCTTTTGTTGGATGCAGCGGCGGCAGCAGCTGACTTAGACGAGTGTGAACTGGCTTTTACAGCAGTTTCCTCATCCTGTGCAGCCTTGTCATGGCATTCAACAAGCTTAGATTCCAGCTCATCAACGACCACCTAGAGAGAATGCACAAAGGACAAGATCCAAGTTTAGTTATTTAAAAGGATTCGTTCACCTGGGACTGGCCTGAGCTGGCTACAACAGAATGTTATTACTTGCGATTAATGTCAACGCAATGCTTTGGAAGCATACGTGTACGAGGTGAAGAGCAATTTACGGACATTTTGAGTGCACTAATTTTTCGTAGCGAGTAGAGCAAGTCACTCGAGTGGATGAAGTGTTTTCCTGCTGTAGTTGACAGCTGGTTAGTGGTAGTTTCTCCTGGTGTCGGTGCCTTGATGACAGCCTTTGCTTGTGCAGCATTTCGAAGTGTTTTTTTTTTTTGGTACGGTGTCGCATTAGAGTAATAATAAAAAGTAAAATATTACGCAATGGACACATCGTTGCCTTCCCCACCCTCCACTCCTCGTTGCCTTCCCCACCCTCCACTCCAGTCGCGGAGAGCTCTTCTGATGCTCATCACATTTCTCCTCCCTGTGTGAAGACTTCTGCAGTGTCCCCACAATTTCCCCCGGCATCCCAGTGTTGCCACATCATTATAGCCAAATATCAGTAGGATGAAAATAAATATATGCATCGTCCGGGGGCTTTGCCCCCGCCCCCCCCCCCCCTTTATAATAACCCCAATATACACACACACACACACACATACAGCGCAAAGCAACCTTTCACGGCTTTGCGTGAGACGGCTGAGTTTGCCGATTTTCCCCAGACAGCTGATTATTCGCTTAGCGCCTTGGGAGAGAGCTATAGAAACACTCACGAAGAGCAGTAAAAGCCAAAAATGTGGACCATGATTTCTAAACCAAGCACAAGGTCAAACTTGGACACTTTCATGGCTGTAATCGGCAGGGGAAGGCCAATTGTCGGCAGGTCATAACAGGCCTCAAAAATCGGCAGGATCCTGACATGTCGGCAGGTGTGGCAACACAGCATCCCCATGTTCTGGGGCTGCTGGTATCGCTCGATTTGGGAGAGGTCAAGGCCAGCAAAAAGCCCTGCTCGCTGTGAGAGCCTACTATCCGCTAGTGATGCAATGGATGGCGTTTTCTTGGAACAAAAGAGAGCTGAGATGCAGAGGTAGGTGCTGTGCACAACATATAATCCACTCTCCCTACTACTACACAGAAGTACATGGCATCTATATTTTCACGAATATTGCTTTGGCGAACGAACGAATATTCTTGGAAGCTCAGGGCCCTACGCTATGCGTTTTGCCTAGCTCATCATTAGGGCTGAAACAATTATACCGATAACTCGCATATCGATTGTTAAGAGTGCAATCGATAATCGTTAGTGTTTAAAACGAGTGCTAACGATTTTTTATGCATGTATATGAGTGACAGTATTCTAACCCTTGCACTCCATCCAATAGTGAATACGAGTACGTGTACAATCATGTACTTTCAAGCGCAGTCAAATTGATTTGTGGTTTTGAAAGAGATCGGAAGAGAATACTCTTTGTCTTTTCAGTTCATTTGCGGGAAAGGTCAGAGATAAGAGCAGTTGCCGGAGGGTGATGACAAGGTTCTTCGCTCTAGAAACAACATGAAACTCTCTAGGTCATGTTGATAAACCAGCCAGATGTCTACAGATGTCAACAGTGCGGTGCCACAAATTTCTAACGTAGCAAAGGTATCGTGGAATTTTTTTCATAAACTGGTGTTCGAGGTACACGGGTAGAGCCAACAAGAAATCGATAAAACCAATATATCGATCGTTAATGATATTGGTTGATCGTTAAGAGTTATTGAATGATCGTTTCAGCCCTACTCATCATGCATGTTATTAGAACTGATGGAAATGTTTTTTTCTTCCATTGATTGGATACATCATTGTCGTTTACCACCTAAGTCCTAAATGACCTAGGCCAAAAAAGCATAGGGATGTTAAAAAAATTTCATTTCTCCTATTTTTTTTTCAAGGCATACTGTAACCTGAGAGTCGAACCCGCACTATCGACCTGCATACATTCCCCCGATACACTTTGCATACATACTCATTCATCCAAGCTGCTTCACGTTATGGTCTTGCATTTGAAAGCCCCATTTGAATTTTGGGGCCAGCTGTCTTTGATGGTATGGTGCGGTACGGTACAGGTACGGGATAGCGCCAGGCATGCCGACGGCACAAACAAACAAACACGGAATTAAAGCTGTGTGGACCTGGCTAGCGCCAGACGTTACTGAAGTAACGTCTTTTGCATAGCTACGGGAATTAAAACCAACATTCATGCTGCATACGATCACATGCATTATCATTGGCCACTTAATAGTACTTGGGAAGAGCAGAAATGACCAAAAAACAAGCTTCACAGGTTTCAGAACATAATTTCTACACTATTTTCCTCCACACTGCTCAGGAGATCAAAGTTGGAGCTGGATAATACAACCGTACAGTGCGAACGTTCGAATTTTCAAATATTCTCTCCGGTATCAATATTCTACAGGGTTCTAGCCAAAGGGGGGGGGGGGGGGGGAAGCGCCATCCTACTGTAATGGAGCCCCCTGCTGCGAAAAAGTGGCACCCTCCTACTCATTTGCCGATTTTGTGTGTTTTCATGCCATTTAATGAAAATGCAGCCGATAGTCAGTAACAGAGGGTTCATAAAGGCACACTTGTCTCGGGTGAAGCCGGTGGTTCGCTCCTGTACGTTGCATGGCAATACAATTTTGGAAAATGAAAAAGAGAAGTGCTAGTGGCATATGTACTGTGGTACATAACATTCAGTAGCCATACTACTACTCCCCGGCCCGTCGTGTTGCCAACACTGTCTTGCAGCTGGACTTGAAGTGGCGAGAGCTAGAGTGTCAGACTCACTGTGGCAGGACGATTCGTCTACTCGATCGTGGATGGCGGTGTTGACACGTGGGGCATGGCTTTTTTTGTTTGTTTGCCTAACCGAACTTTTTATGGCTGGTTGTTTCCTTCACTAACTTTTTTTTCTTTGTGGGCATTCTTCCCTTCTGTCAACGCTGGGGGATTGAAGTGAAGAACCAAACGCGTCTAGAGATGGATCGTGCCCGATGATCCACACGTTCTCATCTGGGAGACTGGTATAAAGTTGTTGCAGGTGCAAGTGGTGTCTAACCCAAGCAACAGGACTCCGACCGAACAACTGGGGCCAAGTTGCTGCTCAAGGTCTTGTGAAGTGTGGCATTGCTGTTCACAACCCAACATTCAATTCCGAAAAGCCAAATGACACCATATGCACCGCGACGGACCCTGATATGATCTTTGAATTGAATCAAACTGGCTTTATTCTCGATCAGACCGATGACAGCCGCGGTCCTACAGAAGAGACAATGGTCCTGGATGCGAATGATGATGGAGAGTGTGGTGCGAATAGGTCAAATGTGCACTGTGACTGGCAGCTCATGAATGGAGAGTCTCAGCCTGGATATGCCACTCCGCCAACTAAAAGTGTCCAACTTGCTCTCATGATGAACCAGCCGCTTTCAACCATCATGGATCCGGAGACTGGCAAAGGGAAACCTTGTCAGTTCTACCCACAACATTCCGGCGACTTTTCGTATGATCTCACCCCGCTGTGGCTGAAGGAGGTTGTTGTTCCCTGCTTACCCAAGAAGGATGGCAAGAGAGCATACGGCCTCCGTAATGGATAAGGTGCCCACACCGCTATGCCAATGATTCACGCGGCAGATGAAGTTGGCTGCGACCTTCAACCATGAGTGCCCCGTACGAGCCACGTTTCCCAGGTGGCTGATGTTGCCAACTTCCCCAGCTTCAAACGGGAGGCCAAGCATGTATCAGAAACGGAAGGAGCAAGAGACATTGAGGAAAGAGCACCCTGCAAAGAAGTTGTAGAAGAAGCAGGGCCAAGCTGAGCTGCATCAGGTAGTTGTGAAGGAAGCTGCTGGGATCCTTTACAAGTGGTGACAGCATGGTCTGAAGGTGGCTATAGGCAAGCTTCAGAAGAAACACGTGAGCGCCCTTGATAATGCTGGCACAAACATCGGGTAGCAAAGGTGATGAGACAAACGAAGTGCTTGTCTCTGCGATGGAGAAAAGGCTCCTGCCTCAAGGCGATGCCAAGTCTGCACCAGATGCTCTGATTCATCTCACGTCCCTGGTGGCACTGTTTATCGCTGTCGAAGCTTGATTTAGATTGCCAAATCTATTTAATATGTATTGCCCTATTGAGCTTTCACAGGATTTTTTTACTGATATCGATAACCCAAACAACGGTGCTTATGTCAAGAGGTGGATCTGGATATTACAAGTCCCACCGCTTTTCATCGCCGATAGCTAAGGAATCTGCTCGGAATTAATCCTACTATCATCTCAAACACTGATCTATACGCCAGGTGTCAGGCAGTGCCGGTTTCCCGGATGATTCGGAAACGCTGTATGTCCATGCTGGGACATGTGCTTCGACTGGATGACGATACCCCTCCACGAAAAGCAATGGAGAGCTATCTGGCGCATACCGGGCCAGGCAAGAGGGGCCGACCACTCACCACCCTCGCTACAACAATTAACACAGGACCTGGCAGGGAAGGATATTGCCATGGCGAATACGAAAGATTTGCAGAACTTGAGGGAGATGGCTGGCGATAAGCGTGCCTGGAGCCAGTTGTGGACGTGAACGATAGGGCATTAGTTTGTAGAACTCCACTCCATGATCACCAGCTGTGTTCAATATTCAACAATAGAATTTCATTTCTATCAAACCAGCCGTGTTTTAATATTTTAATATTTACATATTTAAATTTTACCGCTAGCTCATTACGATAAGCTTCTCGGCAATCAGAAATGCAGAAGCGGAACGAGGTATTACTTTTGCTACACAAAATATTTTATCTCTATTACGCAAACCTGTACAATAATAATAATAATAATAATAATGCCCGCTATTATTGCAAAATGAATAGCTTGGAACTGCCCACTTTTCTGTTGCAGATACAGGTCTACCCTCGTCAGTAGATAACACCGGGGATTTCAAATTGTTTGTCCCATAACGAGTATTATCTACAATCCAGACGTGAATGCAAGTGTTTCAGGCGTCAGGGGATTTTTGATCATTGTCTACTAATGAGGTTACCGTATTATCTCGAATATAAGCACGGTCCTTTATTTTTTCAATGTACCTCCGCCCTGTGCTATTAATGGAGACGTTCCTTTATTGGAGACTGTTCCATTATTATTTCAACCTCATTTCAGAGGCATGTTGCCATGCCAAATTCATGTCAGACACACACATTTCAGGGTTTTTTCCGCCGGTACTGCATTCTAGAGATAATACGGTACATGCATTTTACCAGGTACCGATAGACAGTGTGCTTATAATGGAGACTGAGCACTTTATTTTTTGAATGCCGCCCCAAGGTGTTCTATTATTGGAGACGTGCTATTATTGGAGACTGTGCTTATATTAGAGATAATACGGTACTCAGGTTAGTCTTGTATCCGATGTCGAAATAACGAGGGTAGACCTGTATACAACTGGCCTGGTATGTTCAACGAAGACTTGCTGTGTGGACCTGTGTTATGGAGTGTTATTGACTGAATGAGAGCATTCCGGACTTGGAACACTCCAAGCTGCACGTATGAGTACATGTAGATGTGCATTGCACTTCAGGTGCTGTATAGTCTTGGAACCGGAAGCTTATCAAACAAATGTCTTCCTATCAAGTCTATGGTATCACAGCATGAGCAAAGGCAGCATATTTGGAAAGATGAACGATTATGCCATATGAGAAATAGAAAATGACCTAAAAACATTTGAAACTTGAAACCAGCAGGACTCTTTTTATTTCCATATCCAGAAATTGCTATTCACCTCGTACAAGTACATGTCCGTTACCTACGACAAGTAACAAACGATAGGCTGCAAGACAAACAACTTACAAGGAGCAGGACTTACTTTTTGGTCAGCTTTGAGTGCTTTCCGTGTCTTGTTGATAATGGACATGAAGTCAGAAAACACCTCGCTGCTAGCAAGTTTGTTCTGGAAGCAGCCGAAGTTCTCCATCAGTCGCCGGATACCCTTCTCGCTGTACGACAATAGCGACAGGCAGAACGACAGATCGCGATACTGCCGCTCCACGGTCATGGAGCGGAACCTATGGCAGAGCTTCTCCACCAAACTTTCACACTGGCGATCCTTTTGAATGAAGGAGAATAAATACCTGTTCAGAACAACACGCACACGCACGTGTTCACACACGCATGTACAAGCACACACACACACACACACACACACACACACACACACACACACACACACACACACACACACACACACACACACACACACACACACACACACACACATGCACACACATGCACTGAGGAAATTAGCATTCAGCAGCATAACTAGTAACACAGTGAACTATATTTGGCAGTCTTTCAAGAACCCTTACCCATCAACCCATTTTGCAAGGTTGAAAAATTATTGCACATACGCATACGCTTGTACTAGTACACCAAACACACAGTGCAGAACTGCAACTGCCCTCTTCAGCATATCAAATCTGTATCTATCGTGCTGGTTCACGAAGGCACAACCAATGATGGCCCCTGCCAACTTGCAGCTGCAATGATATCCACTACCACCTAGCATCTGATCACCCCCCCCCCCCCCCCCCCTTGAGCGGTACATGTAGGATGGCTTTACAGAAGAAGTGGTGGCCAGTGACACATGACCTAATCAATGTACAGTATTAGCACCACCACGTTCTAGTGCACAGTCTAGTGTTCGTACAGCTCGTACCGGGTATATTCGCATGCGTATAGGGTTTGATTTTTATTTGTTCCAGTGTGGTCAAGGATAAAGCAGTGGTGACAAGGAATATATCGAATGCTCGTTTGTTGGGTCGATAAGAGCGGGCAAACAAATAAATAATCCAATTCGAATATCCGTTTCGTGCCCACTGGCCAAGCACTGTGTGTGTGTGTGTGTGTGTGTGTGTGTGTGTGTGTGTGTGTGTGTGTGTGTGTGTGTGTGTGTGTGTGTGTGTGTGTGTGTGTGTGTGCATATACACACCATGTGAAAACTCGAGCATGAATGCCCATAGACGGTCGGCCGCATGAGATTTGAGATGAAGTCTGTGTTAGTGGCAGCACCAAGCGTTATGTTCAGCCAAAAATAACTATTCTTGAACGTATCATAGATTGCCACTGCCTTGTGATGGTTCGATCTGCCGACTCTTACGATGAATACAGAGCCTGTTTTAATTAAACCGTACAGTGCATTGGAAAAAATATTCGTTCTTCCAAAAACGAAAGGAACATTCCAACAATAGATTTTAGCATTCGTTCACCACTAGAAAAAACACACTGGTCGAAATTTTTCTTTCTTCGGAAATGCCACAAACACTGACTTCATGATCTGACGGAAGGCCTTCGCGTCAACTCCAACTTTCACATCTGATAGACGGCTGATGATGTCAGGCAGAATGTTGTAAATGGCATTACCCTGGAATGCATAGAAAATGTAGACACACATGCGTGCACGCACACACAAATGCACACACACACACACACACACACACACACACACACACACACACATCACGTGACACACACACAGTACATGACGCACACACGCACGCACAGACACACACACGCACACACACACACACGCACAGACACACACATTCATAACTACAGTGCATACATACAAAGGTGCGATGACTACTGCTAGTACTGGCTAATACCTGTAATGTTCATGATCGCCGCCTTAGAAAGTCCTCCGTGAGATCTGAGAGTCAAACGACTTGTCTCAGCGTACATACATTCAATTACTAGTACAGGTAGACTCCCTTTAATTCGAACCTCAAATTGCCAGGCCCTAACTTCGAATTATCCGGAACTTCTAATTATCCAAATGCAGCCCCATGCAATGATATGTATGTCAAAATGCTTGAAATCGCATGCTGAATATTTTTTGCCTATTTTTATTTGCATCAACGAAACATAGGTGGTCGTACCGGTTATGTACAACGGATCATCAAAACACTGGATCGACAAAAAATCATTTGACATTATCTTCATCTTCTAGTGAAGAAGTTGTCAGTCACTGCAGCTTTCCTGAAACATATTTCAACGGAAAAGAACTGCTCTGCCTAATCCGCGTCATGAAAGGCCGTCGGACACCAGCACGTCGTTCTGAAGAACCGAAGTGGAGCATAGGCATAGACAATATTTACAACAATAGTGTTGTTGTGCGCCAACATCTCCGCGCACGAGCTGGCGCGGCAAGCAAGGCCATCGAGATCCGCGAAGAGAATCAGCCACCAGGAAGAAGTCGTCTTCAATCAAACCTTTGCAATTTGCCTCGCACGGGCTTGAATCAAATTTCGAGAGAAGGTGGGTTTCTTGAACGCTATAGTCGATCCTGCAGCGGACCATCGATCGATTTTTGAGCTACTCTTGGCTAGAGAAGGAGAAAAGAATGAACTTCGAATTACAAGGATAGCAACTCAATCTCACTTCGAAATAAGCGTTCAAAAGACATAGCTAATGTACTGCAAACAGCTCTTCTGTACGAAGACTGGGTTCGAATTATCCAACCGGCGCACTTTTCGTACTTCGAATTATGCATTCGATTTTGACTTGAAGTGACTTGCAGAAGATCGGTACAACGAAAAAGTTCGAATTACGCGGAATGTTCGAATTATACCGTATTCGAATTAGAGGGAGTCTACCTGTACAAGTAATCCTGTCAGTAGCCCAGTACTTCTCCATGAGCAGATATTTCTACACACCAGACCACCATGATCACCATTCATAGCCATCATGGTCACCATGGTCACCATTCATAGCCATCCTGGTCACCATGGTCACCATGTAACATTACACACAGAATGGATGACTACAAGCGTGTACAGGATTCTATGGATACCGATAGAAAATGGAGTTAGTACATCACTCCACAGCAACGTGATCGTGAAGAATGTGTTCCGCATTCACCAGTGAGTTTTTCACATTGCTCAAAGATCAACAAAATGCCAGGGCGATGCACATGTCTTGCCTAGGCTGGATGGGAAGACTGAAGACAAAAAGCAATGGGAATACTGCTCACCTTCCTTGCCAGCTCCATGAAGAAAAGCTTTGCCAAATTAGAAATTTGCTCATTCTCGTCCTCTAAGCACAATGCCATTTCGCTAATTTGACCCTGAAGCCAGCAGTGGAAAATAATTTAAAACACACATACACACGCACACACACACACACAACATTGCATCGCTCATCATAATCATGTCCAATGAACACCATTGTGTGGTGTGCAAGAACTAGTTGGTCAGCAAAACAAGAAGACGGAGAGAAAGAAGGAAAGAAAGAGAGAGAGAGGCATGGGATGAAGGAGGTGGTGGTGGCAGTGGCGGCGGCGGCGGAGGAGGAGGGTAGAGAGTAGAGGAGCAAGAGGAAGATGGGGAGGAGGGTGAGGATGAGGGTAGAGGAGAGGGAAAAGAAGGAGAGGCAGTAAGAACACTTGATGGTACATCCACTCCAAGCACAGAGACAGAATGCACATGCAAACCATACAGCTCCTCATACAGGCGTACACCTAAGTGCATTGCATCCCACAATTCTCTCTCCGGCCGTATTCACAGCTACAGTACCGTGAGGAAATGATAAAGGTTGCAAGTGCAGTGGAACGAACCTTGGTCTACTGCGGCATAACCATACAAGAGTATTGGATGCGTGTTGGTGGATAAAAGAAAGAACAGAATGTGATAAAGAGCTAACCTTGACTTTGACCATGTCGTTCAGAATCAAATGAGTCAACACCATAACCGTGTGCTTACGAACATGCGCTGATGTGTCGCGCAGCCTGCAATGACATACAAATAGAGACAAACAGACGCATGCAGCACACATGTCCAGCACAGGAAAACAGCTTCAACATGGACCGCATGCACGTAGTTCACAATGAACGTACGAGTATCTGCGATGGAAATAGCTGCGAAGAGTACGAGGTGCAAGATGTCAGTGCCACTAGCAAACCATACCACAAGAGTACTGTAATTTCACAAACTTTCGGTGTATTTTTTATTTTCGGTTCTTTCCGTGCACCCGTTTCATACCTAAATTTCCGATGGCCGCACAGGCACTGACATACATCATCCAATAAGGAACGGCTTCTCTGTATCCATATTTCTGTTCAACTAACCTGGTGCTTTGCCCTCACACCTAAAATGTTGATCACCTAAACTTGTGAAACTAGAGTAAGTGCAAAACATCAGTACCATTAGCAAATCATACTACATGCACTCAAGTACACATATTCTGATATTCATGTACTCACAACACAGCTGGCACGAAGGACTCTTTCATGCGGATGTGTCTTTGCCCTAGAACCCACTCGCTGCTTCCTACTAGTGCTGTTTTTGCTGTGTACTGTAAAAGCAGAATTTTTTGGCGGTGTTATGTTTTCGGTATTCTCCAAAATCGGCGGTTCGGTGGAGGGAATTTTTTCGGTAAACTCGTTTTCCAGGTAAGTATACTGTTCGTGCGTTTTATTTTCGGTAAAAATTTCGGCACCGGAAATTACCGAAAATTTCTGCTTTTACAGTATTGTGACTACAGTCCTGCACTTGCAGCTGGCAAGATTGCACCTAAGAACTAGATGGGAGTCGAAAGCAGGCGGATCTTGCACCCGGAGTGGATGTAGTGGTTGTCGTCGATCAAGCCACTCTGGGAGGCAGATAGCCTCTGTCGCATATCAAGTTTGTGAATCTGGGCCAAGATGGTCAAGTTGACATGTAGTCTCCATGTGTACACAGTGTCTCTGTCTGTGCTCTTGCTTCCTTTGCATTTCAACCAGAGAATGTTCTTGTCTCCTATTTCCCCCAATTTGTCATCATTTTTGCTTGTTGCTGGAAATGCAAAAATGGCTTGCTGCCTCTACACATTTTATCATCAACTGGAAAAGTATCAAACCAGTCGAGTCTACTAACTGTTTTCTGTATAGCACCAGCCAACCTCTGATAAGAAGCACACTCGTGTGAAACAGGAAAAGATACTTGAAGTATCCAAGCAAGCTGGGTTTTTTTTTACGGAGGGCAATCTGTGCGCGTGCGTCGATGAAAGACTAAGTACCAGTAACTTAGGCAGTAAGTAGGTACTGAGCAGGGCATGTACTATGCGAGTTCCACTGCATCACTGTAAGCAATAAGCACACCATGGCAGCAGGCCGAAAGGAAAACCTTACCTGGCATAAAGGTTTGGAGTCCACGGCTCGATCAGATTAGGAAATCGGAATGTCAAATCACCAGCTGCGATGATGCTATTGGCACGAATGACAGCCTCCGGTGACTACATGATAACACCCGTATGTACACACAGACACAGACACACACAGACACACACACAAAACTTAGCACAATATGGATAATAAAGGGGCAACGTGTTTTTAGGAGGTTGTAAATTGTGACGGGTTCTTGCAGTGCCTGCCTTCCTATCGTCCAAATGAAGAATTTGAATCTGTGACTGTGGTGTGTAGGTTGAATGTGCATGATACAGTGTTGCATTGAGTCTTTGGAAGTGATTGCGCACAACGCTCGTGGATTAGTCTAGCTGTTCAGCTACAGTGTTTTTCCAAACTCCAGAGATTATTATTGTCTACGTATATTTTATAGCGCTGACCGAGTACATTTATATGAACAGACCTTCTCCATGACGGTGAAAAACAGTCTTAGATGTTCCTCGCACACATCAGCACTGAAACAGTAACAAAACACAATATACACACACAGCAGCAGCAGCAGCAACATATTGCAAAATAGTTAGGGCGATTGCAGAAAACAGGACCACTGCGCTGACATGTTCTCAAGTGCAAATCTCTAATACAGCTGTTGCTTAGCTGAGGTAGATCCCCCACGTTCATACAGACAGCTGTTGCTCAGCTAAGTTAGTGCTCCAACGCATACACTGTCCACACGGACAGCAAGAGTTCCGACTAGCCCATGTGCTTGTGAAGGTTCGCAAGTCCACTAGCCTGAACTACGAGTATACCTGACAAGTGGTGTGAACACAAAGGATCGATTGATTTTGCGGGATCCAGTGGATCTTGGATTCGGACCTGGATCAGACCAAATGGTCATAGGCCCGTGCTACTGTTCTGGCATCGCTGGTGTACAATGTCATGTTCCAATGGCTAGCTACACGGTGGTCTACAGGCGTGTGTAACAACACACCTACACTAGTCACCTACACCTGGTACTCACCTGACTAGCATGAACTTGGAGAGGGTGAGTGCGGCGGCCGTCTGCAGGCGTGTGTCCGGGAACATGGCCGGATTGGTGCAGATGTAGACGAGCAGTGGGCGTACACGTGACAGCATGGCACGCTCTCCACACACCAGCTGCCCGTCGCACACACGCCGTATTGCCTCAGCCTCGGCATCGTCAGCAGTGGCACCACTCAAGCCCATCTCCTCCTCGGCCGTGGTGGCTTCTGCTGCCGTGGAGAAGGATGACTAGAAACATGCAAATGCAGCAAAAATAGCAAGTGCTACTAAAGCTATTGGCAATGAAAAAAGAAATTCAATGCACTGTAGATCATTCACAATGCACACACACACACACACACACACACACACACACACACACACACACACACACACACACACACACACACACACACACACACACACACACACACACACAAACGAATACACACACGAGTACAAATGTCTTGTTCTTTTTCGTTATCTGAGTTTCAAGAATGACAGCGGCAAGGGACAAAAACAAAAACAAGTACGGCAGGGCCAGGACCTCAGTTGATTCTTTTGTCCCTCGTCAGTGTGGCAACATGACTGTGCAGTTGAGTGTTGATTCTCTCCAGGTAATTTCTCAATTGGTTTGATTTTGCTTTCCAGAATGGAGTTCAGAAAGAACGTTTGAGTGAACTTTCTCACACATGTTGTCTTCGTTTTTGCACACTCTGGAAATAAAAATTTGGACAGCGTGTATACCTCACTACATCCCTGCCCCGCTAGCTGCATTGTGCAAGTACAGGTTGGGGTCAAGGATAACACAAGGCCAAGCATAGCCGGTGCTTACCTTAGATAACTCAAGACCTGGCGAAACACTCTTGTCGACATCGTTCTTTGCAGCGGCTTTCTTCTCTTCTTCGTCTCCTTCCTTTTGGAGACGCCGTCGCTTGAGTTCATTCAATAAAGAATACTCCAAATGGACAAGTTGTTTCAGTGCAACGTGTCCAGCAAATGCTGTGAAGCGTGCCAGACCAAGGGAGGAACACTGAAGGAGTTTGGTGGAGGCTAGAGTCTCCTTGGTTAGTAGGGATTCACTGCTGTCATCCTCTGTGATCGATGTCAGACAAAGACATGTGTGCGAGCAAACACACACACACATGCACACACATGCACACACATGCGCACACACATGCACACACACACACACACACACACACACACACACACACACACACACACACACACACACACACACACACACACACACACACACAGTGGGCACATGCAGAACAGATGATGATAACTAACACACCTGACATGAACACACATTCAGCCACACCGTTCTCCGACCAAATGGTAAACGGGCTACTACTAAAAGCACAATGTGATGTGAAGTCGCCTGTATACTTTTTTCTGAACTAAATGGGTGCGCCACGACCTACATAAATTAATTCAATCATTGTGCGCTCGGTTTATCCCTTCTCCATTGCAGGATATGAGTTATTGTGCACTGGACCAGAACATGCAGTAGTGTTACGAAAGCCGCAGTAGCACAGTCACGATGACATCACTTTAGCAGCCATGATGACATCACTTTAGCAGCCATGATGACATCACTTTAGCAGCCATCATGTCACCACTAAAGAAGCCATGGTGAAATCATCATACCTCGTTGTGAAGACTCCGCAAGGGGAGCACCGAGAGAGAAGTCGAGCTGGGATGCATTCGGTGATTCCAAACCGTCCAGGGCTGCACCGACAACTTGTGTAGATATTGCATTGAGTATGCGTCCGCTGAGGTGATCTGGCTGCTCAGCCAGTGCATAGATAGCACTGACGGCATGCTCTGCCATGCTTATCCAGCCGTCACAGGCGCATTCGTTTACGCCTGCAAGTGTCAACACAAAGAGGTACACGGGAAGAAAGCAAACACTATGTACTGAGTGTGTTGTACACATGGAAATATAGTACAATGAGCTCTCTGGATATCACTGAGTCCTTGGTGTTCCTACAGTGGACAAACGAGGTCAGAACTAGGTGAGAGTCCAGCAGAAATCTACGATCAAAAAGAAGTTCACAGACTACGCATGACCTTGGTTGGTTGTGCAAGTCTTCACACTGCATTTGAGGTGGTTGCTCCAGCAGTGCTGGCGCCATCACAACTACACCTTGAGTACAAAGTATGTGGCTTTGTAAAGTACAGATCTGCACGGCCGATGGCAGTGTGTCACACTGAAGTTCCACTGTAAGTTATTACTAGGGGTGTACATGCTATTCCAACATAGCCTTCAGGCTCTCTTGTCCCCACACGGTAGAAGTTCTGAATCTTACTGGACACCAGTATGGAGTGAAGGCACTGGAAAATCTTGTGTGCGGCCGGGTAACGCATGGGCTTGGCAAACGTGCCCTTTCTCTGCACGATAAAGTCAAGAAACAAACACACAACAGGTCCTTACACGGTCGCAGTACACTCTGCTCTCTGAATGACAATGTGCAAGGCAGTACTATAGTATTTGCTGTGCACTGGTCAACACATGTAATAATGTTATGCCATACTGAGGGCACAAGCCAGGATATATAACACAAAATGCACACGAGTCACAGAGCACCACACGTCTGGTAAGTTGTAACTAAGAGTTTCATGCCATATCCTGCTGGCAATCTTCAGACAACTGAACACAAAATGCATACACATGGACACACAAAATAAAATACACGCACACACACACACACGCACACACACGCACATATACACATACACGTACACACATACATACACATATGCACACACATGCACACACATGCACACACATGCACACACACACACACACACACACACACACACACACACACACACACACACACACACACACACACACACACATGGACAAACAGATCACAATACCTTGGCAACAGGCACCAGTTTGACAAGTGCCTGGCATGCGTTGGATACTTTCGTGCAGTCCACGTTACCAGCGCTGTTAGGGGTAAGGGTGTGTTCTATCAGAATGTCGAGGTTGTTCCGGACAATGGCTGGCTCATGCCTAAGAGTAATACAATAAAAGATAGAGTACCCAGGCCACACAGGCATTGCTCACAATCATGCAAGGGTCATAGCAGCAAGTCCGGCTGATTAGCCATGTGTCGCACATCTTTTCAGTAAATCAACAAACAAAAAACCCTGATAATTACGATACAAGCTGGATCGACATTTGTGTACACTTTATTCATGTAATGTAAAACTGTGGAGACAATATGCAATAAAACGATGAAAATGTGAAGAAATGGTGTAGAGAAAAATGAAGATTCAAACAAGTTTCGTACAACACTCATCAGGAATCTTCGAATCTTCAGAATTCATAAAAAATCAATTTAAATCGTAACGTTTGGGGCAGCTTCCTTCACAGCAGGGTAACACATTTGCCAGTACTGACTGGACTGGGCCATCCTGACTGGGGACCCACTGCTGCTGGCACAGAAAAAGGCACAGCAGAGTGTGACATGAGGGGACTACCCATCAGATGCTACATGTATACTTAGCTACAGTCAAAGTGGATCCAATAATTTGACCCAGACATCGTTATTTGTTGACTTTTGACGCCCACAGTTTCAGGCCCTGCTGGCTGCTATTTCCTCACTTTCAGGCCCTGTTGGCTGCTACGCCCTCACTTGACAGGTACCAGTGCCACAAAAAGAGTGATGCACGCCCAGATCCCGTGCAGATCTATTGAAAGAAACTAGTTAGCAGTGCAGCTTACCCAGCAGCCATGGCCAGTAATAGCAGCGCTACACGCGAATCATTCACACTGACCGACGATGACTGCAAGCAAAGGGGACAGAGTACAGACAACAAGCCTGAAACTCTGAAAATAATCGCACATGGAAGGGAAGTCTTTGGATAGTAAATCTCGCTCCAATTCACAACGATAACGTGACGGGTACATGTACTTACAAATTGAAGTTACAATGCAAGGAACTACTCAGCGTACCTTGCAAGGAAACAGGTGTAACACAATTCCAGCCCAGGCAGGCACCCAGAATGTAACTGCATTACTGTAAACAGGTGTAACACAATTCCAGCCCAGGCACCCAGAATGTAACTGCATTACTGTAATGTCTCTAGAATCTGCTGTATACAGCATGATCATGATGATAAAATCTAGTTTGTGCATCCATTTGGGTGCGGCAACAGCTTGTCTTTAGCTTATTTTGTGCTGAGTGCTACATGTAGCTTGTTAGTTCACATCATGGGGAACAAGTTCTTTCTTACGGGTATGATCCCCATGATCCCCAACAAGTTCTTTCTAAGGGCCTGGTCACACATGCATTGGGGTTTCGCTTCGGCGACGAGGTTCAGCGGCAGCGAGCCTGGTGTCGCTCCAGCGAAACCACGTGTGTGTGGTCACACATGCAAACAGGGCACAACTCCTACTTTGGCGGAAAATGAGAGTAAAGTGGACTGTGGTACATACGGTACGGAGAATAGACGAGGTCTCGACTATCTTCCACGCATTTTTGTTGCATGGACATCATACGCATACAAATTTCTCGTAGCAAGTCCATATACAGCAGACCGTGGTGTTTTCCGCGGAAGCGAATCCGCAGAAGCGACAGTCTCGCTTCGAAAATTTTGGCGGAAGCGGATTGGAGTTTCCGCTGAAGCGGAAGTTCCGCTTTTCGCCGTTGCCATGCCATTTTTCGCTCCTGCGACCTTGCTGAAGCGTATACGCTACTTTCGAGTGCATGTGTGACCGGGCCCTTATGATCTCCATCTTGGAAACATCTTGGGAACGAGCTACAGATCAGGGAGCGTGCTTTGGTTATAATTATCGGACAGATTGCATGTGTCCACTATTTCAATACTAAGAGAAGCTAGCAACAACCTCGGTCATTATAAAACTATCAGTAACTCCACCACTCCACTCCGAGTGGGTCAGAAGAGAGTGCGTGTTGTGGAGTTTCAATAACACTTCAAGCATTACGTCCACTTTATCTGATCGTAACCCTGGTGTCCTTTGACCGATTTCGGTGATATTGGGCTTTCTGGAAAGCTCTTGGCCAAAGGGACACAGCGATAGCCAGCAATCCATCAGTAGAACCGCTGGACCAGCGCCGCAGCGTGATTTGGTGCTCCAGAGCCAGCATGGCAAGCGCCTAACTCAAATTGTCTGCCATTTCAACAAATAGCATCGCAGATTGCTCAATATTTTTACATGAGAGCTGGGAAACATGCCTTTGCGATGATGTGAACTAACCGTCGCTGCGTGGGTCGTGAGTCAGGAAAACTCCAAAAATGAGTTAACATAACTCCGCTCTCCGACCTCAGATCGCCTTCGGGTTTTTTTCGAGCCAATAGCGGAGAACATTCTAATGCCGGTAGACCTTTCGATCTTCCAATTTGGCCAAGGGACAGCCGAGTTACACCAGGTTGCGCTTTGAAACTTATGCGCTGAACACTGGTACAGATAAATCGGTGAGAGTGGTACAAATATGGTCAAAAAAGACATGGACACTATACTACCTTGCATGGCGAATACTAGACATGAAAATGCGGTGTGCAACAGAAAATTGTCTGATCATGGATAAACCTCACCTTTCCCGATACTTTGTCCCAAAGAACATTCAAAACTCCAACTGGCAGAGAGTTAGACTTCATCCACTCCATGATCTTATCAGTGTGTACCAAAACATGCAAAGGCACACACACACGTACACACACATACACACAGACACACACAGGCACGCTCACATATGCACATGCACATGCACACGCACACACCCACACATCCACATAGAGGTTAGGCTTCAGTCCTGGCAATTTATATCAGTGTGTCGGCAGTTTAGCTTGCCTTACACAAACTTTTCTAACTGTTGCAGTGGAGACTATTGACTTATCTTGCTACAAGAATGCGTTCCATGCAAAAATAATAATATTATGTTGACATGGCTGGCAAGTACTTGTAATGTACATGTAGTTTTTGTCATCAAACTGATCAACACCTGAGTGGAAAGAACTGTGGCAGTGTCCAGAGGTATGCTACTATGCAGGAGACCAATATGCCACCAATCACAGTAACACACTTTGTAATTGCAATAAAGTCTTTCGAAATTCAGCATGGTGGCAGCAGTGGTGTTTTACTTCAGTAGATAAGCGTCCCTGGTCTCCAGTCTCCCTCAAGCCCGGCGTTCTTCATTAGCCTCACCTCCGTGAGCATCTCCTGGTGACTACTGACATTGTCATACTGTAGCAAAAGATTTGAACTTTAGTGTGGCAGCTAGCTTTGCTTTGCTCATCAGTAGCCCTGCACTATCGCTGACTGGAACATATTGTCTGCTTACCAATGCTTCTAATGACGTCACTTCACCCAATGTCATGTCTGACGTCAGCTGAATCAAATTGTTGGCAATGGTAGCATTGAATGACCTGCAGGAAAGTATGGCGGAGTGAGAGAGAGAGAGAGAGAGAGAGAGAGAGAGATGAGGGGGAGAGAGATACAAGTACCAACATAAAAGGGTCGATACCCCAAGACATGTATGTGTGCATCGCGTCCAAGAGGGTCTGGGTCTGTACGAATAAGGATGCTTCTTCGGGTTTCCAGAAAACACAAGACTCAGCACTTGCTACGGGGACCACACATCTCAAAAAGATACATGCCTGTTGGGTGTCATGAGCTTGAATAGCGCAGTTCTGCTCAATGAAATACAATCAAGTGAGTCAGCTTTGCGCCCTGTACGAGTGAAAATCCCAGGGTTCACAAGTCTAGGGCTGCACAGCAGAGAGCCCTGAACAAGCACTGAACATTGCAACAGCTTACTTGACGCGGTGACCATTGATGTCCATAGGCTGTAGGTACAGTCGACGGTACGCCTCCACGGCAGCAGTCTTGACATTCTCCTCACTGCTCCACATCAACATGATCATCTTGCGCACGCCCTGGGACGCAGCAGCTAAGCCGAACTGATGGGCTGCCACGAAGAACTCCACGGCTTCCATGATGTCGGTGGTGGACTTTGAACCAAGTAGCTGACACAGGATTGGTATTGCATTCTGCATCTTCTCAGAGAATATCACAGCGTCCTAAGCAAATAGCAAGCATACACAAAGGTACACTTAGCAAATAGCAAGCATACACAAAGGTACACTTAGTACTACTACATGTGAACTCGCGAGTTTACACTCCACTTACGGAAAGTTGTCTACGGAGAGTACGTAGATAGGGCTCTGATAACGTAGCTGGTCCGTAAGTGGATTGGGGTACAAATTTATGACTCTCTCCCCATGTCGATCTGGTCGTACACTGCCGCATTCGGAGTTGCCAAGGGCAGCTACGTGATTTGAAAACTCTGTATGGCGGAACCCAGATGCGCATGCAGTTTACGTAAGACTTTCCGTAGATCGACTACGTTTTTTACTAACGTAATTACGTTATGCGGAACCTCTCTAATGTCACCTGCGCATGCATGTGTGCATCAGCTTTGCATCACATTGCAGTGTTGCCACATCATTATAGCCAAATATCAGTAGGATAGAAAAAACAAAATGCATCATCCGGGGACTTCGCCCCCGGACCCCTACCCTATGTAGCGACCTCGATACACACACACACGCGCGCGGCACTGATAAGAAAACTGATAAGAAAAAAATTTCACGTTTTACGTGAGACTCGGGCTGAGTTTGCCGATTTTTCTCGAGACAGATGATGATTTCGCTTAGCGCCTTAGAAGAGAGCTATGGAAACACGCGTAATGAGCAGTAAAGGCCAAAAATCTGGACCATGACTTCTAAACCACGCATAAGATCAAACTTGGACGCTTTCATGGCTGTTGTCGGCAGGAGAAGGTCAATTGTCGGCAGGTCGTGACATGCCTCAAAAATTGGCAGGCTACTGACATGTCGGCAGGTGTGGCAACACAGCATTGTGATTAGAATACTAGTAGCAGCCTGGTTGTATGAATAAACATTACGTCTAAACATGGCTTCTGTGGCCATGAGCACTGCTTTCCGGTATGCGGGAGTGAGCTGGACGTCCAGATGTCAACATGCACGCACGGACAATATGATACAGTCTACTCGCGATAAGTCACACACTTTTAACGACGTGTACTTTTGTATAATAATACTTTATGTAAGTCATGCCATCGCGATAAGTCACGCATTTTTGTCTTCAAAATCGGGCTCGCGACTTATCGAGAATAAACCGTACAACAAAGTACATTGGATACTCACAGCTAGATACTTGACGATCATAGCTTGTTTGGTGAGCTGCTCGGCGGAGATGGCCGACATAGCACCCTGCGCACACTGCTCGCCCGTGCGTGCAATCAGCTCCTCCAAGTCCACTTGCACATTACCATCCTGATCTGAACAGGCGGCTACAGCAGTATAGGGTATAGACAAAGACAATACAATCTAGTACAGAGATCTGTCTTCCAACTGACATACATCTGGTAGTCTTATGCAGCATATAAATTTATGATGAACACAGTTCAAGAGTGACAAAAGCAGGTACAGCTGCATTGGAGTATAGTCCTCCTCTCCCCCCCTGCTCTTGCAGGCAACTGTCAAATTCCGGTTTGTAGGAAATGAATGCCTGGAGTATAAGTCGCAAGGGCAACTTTGGCTCAAGTTCCGTGCAGAGTGCGGCCCTGATCCCTGAAATACGATACACTCATACAGAAGGCATAGCACACAGAAGTATCCATTAGCTAGCATAGACTACATTAGTCATAAACACTATTTACCAAGGAAGACGGTACGGAGCTTCTCGATGGCGATGCGAAGCACTTTACTCTGTGTTCCTGAACTTTCTTCGCCTTCCCTATAAAGTGCAGCAGCACAATGACAGAAAGCCAATGCAACCGTATCTTAGTTTCTCTGGAAATCACAGTAGAGAGAGTAGACAGCAGAACATTGGGCGGACACTGACAGTCACTCATCTGTGCAGGAAGTTCAGGTTCAAACATCCGCATATCTGTACCTCCTCCAATAGATGTAACAGCTGGTTTAGAGCCGTGGCACTCTGTATCCTAGTTAATTCCCGTAGCTATGCAGAAGACGTTACTTCAGTAACGTCTGGCGCTAGCCAGGGTCCACACAGCTTTAATTTGGTGTTTGTGTGTTTGTGTCACGCCTGGCGCTATCCCGTATCTGTCCCGTACCGTACCGTACTATCAAACACAGCTGGCCACGTACAGCTGGCCGCACTATTCAAATAGGGCTTTCAAACGCAAGATCATAACGTGAAGCAACTTGGAAGAATGAGTATGAATGCGAAGTGTATGGGGGAATGCATGTAGGGCGATAGTGCGGTTCGAATCCCAGGTAAGGCCACCCTTTGTTAATTCATTGTTTAACGTCCTTTTTTCCGCGAAAAGGTACGCGGGAGGGCGAAAAAAAAGCCCATTCCAAAAACTGGAAACCCCAATCAAACATTTTGACCAGTAAAGCATGTGATATATACAATATTTCTGGGTCTAACGGCACTTGCAGGCATAGAACAACACTCTTTGATGGTACATTGGAGCACATGCCTGATGAATCCAACAAAACAGGTACATAGCATGGAGTTAGCATGTCATGAATTCATTACATCTGGATTTTTACTAGGACACACACCGTACGATATTTAAAAGGCAACAAAAAAAGAAAAAGAACACAAGACAAAGGCATGCCCGGGAGGCAAGATTATAAGTTTAAGGTCATGATCGGCACACTGTGAAACTACACAATCATGTATTTACAACTTCGCATATTATTGGTACTACTACTTTCTTGTTTTTATTCCGGTCGGAGGCAAAAAGGTACGCGGGCGCGGACGTTAAACAACGAAAAAAGAAAGGGTGGCCTAATGCCTGAAAAAAAGGAAAATTGAAAAATTTATAACATCCCTATTCTTTTTTTGCCGTCATCAAGGCGGTAGATGGTGTCGTATTACCCTGTCCCGTACCTGTCCCGTACCGTACAATCAAAGACGGCTGGCCACAATGCATATTCAAATAGGGCTTTCAAATACAAGATCATAACGTGAAGCAACTTGGAAGAATGAGTATGAATGCGAAGTGTATGGGGAATGCATGTAGGGCGATAGTGCGGGTTCGAATCCCAGGTAATGCCTGAAAAAAAATAGGAAATTTGAAAAATTTATAACATCCCTATTCTTTTTTTGCCGTCATCAAGGCGGTAGATGGTGTCGTATTACCCTCGGCCGTACCTGTCCAGTACCGTACAACCAAAGACGGCTGGCCACAATGCACATTCAAATAGGGCTTTCAAATACAAGATCATAACGTGAAGCAACTTGGAAGAATTAGTATGTATGCGAAGTGTATCGGGGGATGCATGCAGGGCGATAGTGCGGGTTCGAATCCCAGGTTATGTCTAAAAACAAAAAGTAGAAATTTATAAGAATTTATAACATCCCTATGCTTTTTTTGTCTAGGTCATCAAGGCAAAAAAGCATAGCGTAGGGCCCTGAGCTTCCAAGCTCTCTCGTTAAACAGTATTCTTTATCCGATGCAAGGGGAAAGTATACATGTACACACCGGGTACTTTACATTAAGTTAGTGTAACGTTCCACTGTATAACGGTAGCATTAGCAGAAGTAACAGCAGCAGCAGCAGCGCCGGCATAAGCATCAGAAGCAGCAGCAGTGAAATTGAGGCAAGACAACAAAGATTACTGAGACTGAAACACAGTAGAAGTACAGACATTGCCGAAAAGGCATTCTAGTGATTCTACCATGCAAGCCTGTACAAGTACATGTAAGCAGGCACAATCCACTGCCAAGAACACACAAGATCTTCATCACATGACCATCAATAGCAAAAAGATGCCATGTAGCCTCGGAGGGCGGTCAAGAAACCTTTAGCTAGGTGTGCCACCATAGCTCTCTGTCAGACTAAGGGTGTAGGTAATAGTTGTAACACAATTGAACTAACCCTGGTAGTGGTGAGGAGGATGACCAGTCAAACGCATCCATGTCCGGCCAGGTTTGATGTGCCCTGACTAGCAAACAGCATGCCTCCCTGATCTTGCCACTGGACAGTGATTGTGTCATTTCCTCAATGACCCTGTTGCACACAAACGCACACCCATACACACCCACACACACACGCAGAGTTTTATTTGTAGCAAGTCAACTGCATACACAATTCACTGACAATCTACCAGGAAGAATTCACAATCTGAAAGTTTGTCCAATGCACAGTGCAGGGTGGCATGGAGAATAATCATAACAGGCGAGCATAACTCACCGTTCAGCATTCTTCTCACACTCTGGGTCAAACAGGAAATCAAGTTGCTGGTCCATTCTTAGAACATCAGCATCAGCATGCATTGTGTCATCACCAGACTCCTCGCCTTCTTCCTCTTCCTTCTCCTCCTCTCCCTCGCTGCCATCATCACCAATGGATATCTTCATCTTGTCCATGGCCTCGACAAGATTCTTCTCCACGTCCGACGACATGACCTCCCACTGGCGCTCCGGCAACATGACTGAAAAAAAAAAAAAAAAAAAAAACAATTTTTGAAACGTGTTCATTTACACTAGGACTTCATCGGAGCAAATTAGCAAATTCTTCTCCTGACCCATAGTCGCATACATACACACATACATACATACATGCGCGCGCGCACACACACACACGCGCGTGCGCGCACACACACACACACACACACACACGTGCGCGCATGCACACGCACACACACACACACACACACACACACACACACACACACTACTACTACTACTACTAGCAGCATGACTGCCCAGAGGGGCAAGTGTCACCCCTATGGAAAGGGGACCAGAAAACGGGACACGGATCACAAGCAGGACCGCGAATGTCTGGCTAGATCCTGCTGCCGGCGGAAATTGCGTTTACAACGTGGGCAGCTGAGGGGCAGAGCTGCTCTCTCAGCAGCAGATGGTCTCGCACCACGATTGCAGTTGTGACGCTTGAACCCGGCCGCAGAACGGAAGCATCGCTGACATGTTGGGCAGTGCTGCTGGCAACAAGCTGAAAGTGGCACAGACAGACTGACTGTTGGTGTAGGAGAACTCGTGACAGGCTGGCATCGATGAACAGAGTAGCCACCCTTGCTGCGGAACCACCTCTGGCAGTTCTGGCATTGCACTGATCCACGCTGGAGCTGGATGGGAAGCCGTCTCTGAGTGGTGCACTTGTGCCGCGTTCTATCTGAGACCCGTGAGAAGTTCCGGTCACACACTGCGCAATGCACAGACTTGGGCATGGTGGAACTCGACTGAGGGGCAACCCGTACTTCCCTCCACTGTTGGCGGTCCTGAGCAAGGATGAACCACTGAGATGGCTGTTGCAGTGCAACCTTGAGGTCGGTCATCACCGTGTCTTTCCACCGTCGCCGGGGACCACAAAACGGCCGAGGCACAGGTAGCCACCCAAAGAGGAGTTGGAGGGGGGTGCGATCCTCATCCATACGCGCAACGTGCCCAGTCCATTCCAGACGCCGATTGCGGAGGCGTGTAGACATCAGTACTGGGTCTCCCCAACGGTTCCGCAGGTCTGTGGATGACAGCCGCTCGGACCACTGACGAGGCTTGGTGATGCTGAGGACAGTCCGGATGCATTGATGGTGGAATTTATCCAAACTTCTGATATCCCGTTGGAGTGGGGTCCAACACTCTCCGCCATACAGTAATATTGAGGAAACGCAGGCCATGTACAGGTGGCGTTTACTAGAGAGGGACAGAGATCTGTCAGTGAATACCTTCTGGAGGGCTCCGAAGGCTTTTGAGGCTTCGGCAATACGGCGCTTGATGTCGGATGAAGAACGACTGTCAGGGGTCACTATGGATCCTAGGTAGGTGAACTTCGGCACGGCTTCGATAGTGCCAAGGGGGAGAACGATGTCAGCCGAGTCTTCAGCAGAGACCCCATGGCCCGCCGTCATGATCTTCGTCTTGGCGATGCTCACAGTTAGTCCAAATTCTCGGGCAACACTACAGAAGAGCTCCACACCAAACTCAGCATCACTACGGCATTCAGACACGAGAACGGCATCATCAGCATACTCCAGGTCACTAACAGACAGTGACTCGCCAGCCCTGCGCGATGATGAGCGGGGGTAGAGTTGGCCATCGATGGAAAACTGGATGCTGACAGAGTGACTACGACCTGCATCCTTTAGTCGGGTACGCCATGTCTCAACAACCGCCCCGAAGTACAGGTTAAAGAGAACGGGTGCCATGACACATCCTTGTCGGAGACCATTAACCACAGGGAACTCATCAGAGGTGGAGTTGCCAACTCGGACCGAGGCAGAGGTAGAGGTGTGGAAAGCCTTAATCAGGGCCACTAGCTGTTGCGGGACCCCAAGTCGGCCCAAGGCCACCCAGAGAGCAGCGCGTGGTACAGAATCGTACGCCTTTTTCAAATCCACAAACACACAGAAGAGCTGCTGACGATGTTCGTATGCTTTCTCGATTAGCTGGCGGAGCGAGAAGATGGCATCAACACAGCCCCTGCCTGGCCGAAAGCCGCTCTGGGACTCTGGGAGTTCCGACTCAGCCAACAACTGCAGGCGATCTTGAATCATGCGGCCACACACCTTGCCAACAACATCAAGAAGGGCAATACCCCGCCAATTATCACATTTGGACAGGTCGCCCTTCTTGGGAACAGGAACCAACTCGGCATCGCGCCATTCCTGCGGAACAGTGGCCGTCGTCCAAGCAAGTTGGACGAGATCCAGCAATGCGTCCAGGGAATCATGGCCACCTGCTTTCACAAGCTCGGGGACTATACGCGAGGAACCTCCAGCTTTGCCATTTGCAAGGTGTCTGATGGCGACGACAAGGTCTTCCATTGTTGGTGTGACTGCCAGAGACTCGTCAGGCTCACGTTGAGGGATGTTAGCAACGGTGGAGGCATTGAAGGTACTGGGGACATTGAGCAAGTTCGAGAAGTGAGTGGACCAGCAGTCTTCCTGCTCCTCCAAAGACGTGCAAACTATGCCCTCAGCATTACGGACCGGATGGATGGTGACGGATCGGAGTCCTGAATAGCACCGTTGAATGTCTCGGATGGCGGACCAAACGTGCTTACCACTAAATTTGCCACGCTCCACAGTGCTAGCTCTCTGCTCCAACCATGCACTCTTCGCTGCACCAACTGCGGTACGACATCTACCTCGGACATCGAGGAAGCGGCGGTGGTCCGCTGGCAGCTCTGATTGATGCCACTGTTGATGGAGGCGTGTGCGCTCAGCAAAAAGAGGTTGGAGGATGTCTGCTGCTGCTAGGAACCAGTCTGGTTGTAGTCGAACGGGTTTGCCCAGGTGTGCCTCAGCGCTGGAGGTCAAGGCAGATTTGTATGCCGACCACTTGGCATCAACGGTATCAGCTGGCCCAGATGATTGCAGATGGTGTTGCACACCGGAGGCGAATTGGAGCCGAGTAGCCTGCACGGCATTAGATTGTTCGTCGGTCATACCAGGGCGGGTCATGAGAGCTTGGATATTAAAGCGTGAACGCCGTGCTACTCCGGTGCGAAAGTTGACGGTGTACGACAGACAGAACGATAAGCATACAAGATTGTGGTCGGTACTACACTCCGCACTACGGATAACGCGGCAGTCTGTGCAGGCTAGCAGATCTTGCCGCCTGACAATGGCATAATCGATACAGTGCCACTTCTTCGACCGTGGGTGCTGCCATGTATACTTGTGGATACGCTTCTTGGCAAACCAGGTGTTGCACACAGTGAGGCTGTTGCATGTCAAGAACTGGAGCAGTTCCAGTCCAGCGTGGTTCGTTTCCCCTATCCCATTATCTCCACAAGTCCCATACCATGGATCAGCACTCTGGATGAGACCAACCCGTGCATTGAAGTCGCCAAGGATAATCAATTGTTGACTTGGTGGCACTGAGTTTACGCTCGCTTGCAGGGATGCAAAAAATTCATTTTTGGACTCCCTACTTGATCTGAAAGTTGGAGCGTAGCATGCAATCACATTGATCCAGGTGTTTTTGTTTCCGTGGTGGACGAACTTCAACTTGCATTGTGCAATTCTCGACGATACCGCCGTCCATTGGTTTCCTCCTGCCGAGAAAGCGTTCCGTGCACGGCCTCTCAGGACGATGCAGACTCCTTCTCCGCGTTTGAAATTTTCAGATGGTACGGGACGTCCAGACGACAATACGATCGAATCCGCGACATTGTAGATCTCAGCTCCAAACCACTTCGATTCCTGAAGTCCAGCCACTTCGATGTCGAGTCTCTTCAGCTCATTTATGACAGTATTGATCTTCCTGTCCTCGACTACTCTATGTCCAGACGCAGCAGTTTCGATTGGGCCGTCAGCATTCACGAGAGTTCTGACATTCCACGAAGCGAATTTTAGTAGAGAATCGCTTCTGCGGGGGGGATCCTGCCTGCGACGACGTCGCCCATTTTCTGGTTGCTGAAAAGCTGAGGATGGTAGAGGCGACATCCGAGGGGTAGCTAGCCCACTGCGGATGGAGGACGGAGAGCGGCGCGCCAGTGACAATATCAAAATTTAAATTGTCCTGGAAGACGCGCCGTGAGCCTCTCCGACCTGTATTTCTATCTGGACGCCAGGGGCTCTCCTAGCAAGGCTAGGAGAGCCCTGGGGGGCGAGAACTAACTTAGGGAGAGCTCCAAGTAAGTAGAAGACGGGAACTAGACAGAGCCTCAAAAGATCAAACTGACCTCAAGAGACTCAACTCAACACACACACACACACACACACACACACACACACACACACACACACACACACACACACACACACACACACACACACACTGAGCGACTGCAGATTGGGAAGAGCAGAGCCAATATTAATGGGATTGATACACACCAAATTCTACATTCATGGCAATCAGAAACCTAACGACTACAATTTTTTTAAAGTGAACTCACCTGGTGCATCATCAGATTCTTTCGAATTTGCTGCCTGCTCCAAGTCCAACAAACGTTTCTTTTCTCGAGTCTCTTGTTGCTTCAATTCATCGATAGACAACTGCAAGAGACCAGCCACACAACAAAGAAAAGCAAAGATACCCATGTACAAACAGTTGTTCCAACAGGAGAAGAATTTGTTCTCGTATTCCCCATCAAACAAACACGTCATACTGTACATCAGGAGATGATTATCATTATATGAGAGCAGTGTATCCTGCAGATGAACTCTTGTTGAACTGTGGACACAGCCAGCAGAACCAAACAGATCCAGTCAAGATGCCAACTAAATCGCTAATCATTCTGCCAAGAGCTGGCAAGTGTGTGTGTGTGTGTGTGTGTGTGTGTGTGTGTGTGTGTGTGTGTGTGTGTGAACGAAGACTCAGTTTGTAGTTGTTGGCCCCGGCATCACGCCTACTGACCGCGCTCCCCTCCAACTTGGTCAAGCGGAGGTGGAATGCGTACCGCATTTCAAATACCTCGGTTCTGTAGTGGACAGCGGTTGCCGTTCGTCCCGGGACATCGCCGCAAGGATTGCCCAAGCCTCCAGGGCCTGCGGTGCTCTTCGGAGGTCTGTATTCTCCAATCCACATCTGCTGATGCACACCAAGCGGTGCGTATTCAATGCTTGCGTTCTGTCCCTGCTGTTGTATGGCTCTGAGTGCTGGACGCCCCTTCAACATGACCTGCAGAAGCTCTCAACCTTCAGCATGAGGTGCATCCGATCCATCCTCGGGGTCTCTCGAAGCCGGATGTGGGACAAACACATCACCAACGAAGAGCTGCTGGTGCGCTGGGGAGACTCCGAGACGATTAAAGACAAAATTGCACATCGGCGGTTGGAGTGGTTGGGGCATGTGGCGCGGATGCCGGACAACCGCATCCCAAAACAGGTACTGTTTGGCTCCTTCTTGCAGCGTCGCCCAGCACATGGCCCACGCCGCAGATGGAAGGACTGTGCTGTCCGGGATCTACGTGCCCGTGGCGTGGAGGCATCATGGTATGATGTTGCATGTGAGTCCCGCGCGGGGTGGCGCAACACCTACCAAGAGCCTGACAATGTGCCTGAGCCTCCGCCCCGAGTGGTATGTACGGTATGCGGACGGGATTTTGCACGGAAAGGAGACATGGCTCGGCATAAGTGTCTGGAGGAGCGTGCGCGGCCTGTGTCTGAGCAGCGGGGCGCCAGTCAGTGCGGGCGGTGTGGGCGGTGGCTGAGAAGCCGCGGTGGCTTGGTCCGGCATGTGTGTGCCTCAACGGTGGATGCCGCAGTGCCACCTGGAACTACCGGAACGTCGGCACCGGCGGAGGGATGTTGTGCCGCGCATTGTGACGGGTGTGGTCGCTGCTTTCGCGGTGTCCGGGGACGGGGAAGGCATCGCTGTTCAAGGGTGGCGCATAGACCAACAGCAGAGGAGCGCTCAGCCTTTCAGCACGTGTGCATATGCGGCAAGCGGATGCGACTACCCGTGCACCTGGAGCGTCATCGGGCGTCGTGTCCTCTCTCTCTCTCTTCTCAAGTTTCCCAGTGATGGGATCACGTGACCCTTTTGCGGCAGTGACTCTACAGGACAGGGACAGGTGTGTGTGTGTGTGTGTGTGTGTGGGTGTGTGTGTGTGTGTGTGTGTGTGTAGGGACACACTGGCCAGAAAAAGCCACTTCATAGCTGTGCGGTGTAGACCAGGCTGAATAGTGGCGGTCAATTGTTCAGCCTTGCAAGCTGTTGAATGGTGCAATCCCAGCACAAGTTGCTATGGCTCTGCTGTAGCATCGCTATCATCGCCTCCGGCGATGGGCGTGAAAAGGTGAAAAAGTGTGTGTACGAGTGTGTTGGAGTGTGTTTGTGTGTAAACTGGACAGACATCTGATGTGTGGCTTACAAGTACATGTACAATGTAGTATACCCCGGATATTTTGTCTTAGTACAGGAATGTGACATTTTGACTCTGAGAGCGGGCACAGCTTACACCCTGGAAAGTTCGGTACAATCAGCGCAGTCAAGAGTACATAACCCCCAAGAGTGTGCAACTCCAGCTATGGGGTCTGCGACGGCAGAACTTCACATCACGTGATGAACCCGTACACATTATTTGCACTCTGTGCATGATAGATACAGGGTTGTACGCAACCCAGCTTTGGGTACAACTCTCTTGTGGTCACTTTGCACTGTTTGCCAGCATAACCTTTTGAACCATGTCACGTGATGTGAAGTTCTGCCGTCGCAGCACACCATAGAGGTTGTGCAGGCAGTTGCACACTCTTGGGGGTTATGTACTCTTGGCGCAGTCAATGATGCACACACACACACACCTTTGCGGCGAACGGGTTCCCTCTTAGCATGGCAGTAAGCAGTTGAACAGCGGAGCGACGAACAAACGCTGACTTGTCCTGAAGCCTGCCAATAGTTAGATCCAAGAGTGTTTGCTGGCGAGAAAGTGGTATCACCTAAATATATCAAGAAAATCAAGAAGAAACGGAAGCAAATTCTGAAAATTATCAAGGAGGGAGCCTGCAACTAGCCAAGAGTGTCTGCATTTCAAGAGTGTCGCCAATGATGAAGGGAAGAGAAACGAAACTGGTATGACTTCAAAGGATTGGTGCCGCAAGCCACCTGCTCTTGTATTGTTGTAGCTAACTACCTACAGCTGTAGCCAACTATCACACACAATACATTGAGATCAACTATCACACACAATACATTGAGATCAACTATCACACACAATACATTGAGATCAACTATCACACACAATACATTGAGATCAACTATCACACACAATACATTGAGATCAAAAAGCACCGGATAAAACTGGCAACCCTCTTCAACAAACAGCTACACGTACTTCAAATCCTCCATTTGTCTGCCATGGCAACGAGCAGCCAGAACCCCTACAAGAAGTAGTGCAAATGATCGCCACTAGTGCAAAGATACAGATCAGGTTAACCCTAGTTTCAACAACTGCCCATGAGACCAGTCTATCACAGTCTTCGGATGCAGGCAGTGGCAGGCTCAGAAACCAGAGCAAACCTTGCACATTCCACACATGATGTCCTAAAGAATAACGGTCTTATGTAGACCAAGTGGTTGCGGAAACCAGGTGGTCTCTTGACCTGGATTCGCATGTACTTCGCAATTACACTTTCCAATGTACATGTACTCATGCTAGCAGCTTATCTCACCTTGCCATTGCAAAGCTTCAGCCAGAGCTGCAGGCACTTGCTGCGTACAAAAGCATGTACGTCGTGAATGTGTTCCTGGCATCAGCAAGCAACGACAACACCACACAATCAGAATCTGAATTCGTAGAATAAAAGCTACGTATGTTGGAATTTGTGAATTGCTGTCATTCTCAATGACAATCTAACCATCCAACTGCTGCATCGCCAACACAGGGTATAGTCGTGACTCGTGACTCATGATAAAGTTTAAAGCACCCTCCAATTACTAGATGTATTCCTCGACGAGGTCACACAAACCGAGGTAGGTATGAAATGAGGTTCTGCGGTATGACATCTTGCACAAAGCAAGTGCAGGTAGTGTGGTGAAGTACCTGCAAGACTCCTGCTCTGTTACTGAGCAGATAAGTCACTCTCTTGGTGATCGAGAGGCACAGCACCAAGTGGGTGGCGCAGTGCGAGTAAAGGACATATCTGGACCCAATGACATGTACCTACGCACACATACCTCCAACTTATCCAGGAACTGGTCACGGGTGTTGCGCTGTGATAGATCTCCTCCAGGTTGACTTAGAACTTGAAGTGAGATTTCACACATCGTAGATAGGACAGCATTGCGCATTCCATACGCCTGTAGTGCCACCAGAAGCACAGCATACTGGTGGTTACCAATCAACCATTTTAATGTGCACATATACAGTGTACATCAGGACATTCAATAACAAAATGGATCAGACACAGACAGCTACAAGTACACACAACACACAAACACACACACACACACACACACAGCAGCAGCAGCAGCAGCAGCTTACCTCTTCATCTAGCAACGGCAGCAGAATGCTGATTGATGGCAGAATAACAGCTGGGACACGTTCGGCGGTCTCAATGAGGAAGATACCCAGCGCTCTGCTACTGCTTGTGTCTCTACCCAGTTCACTGCCATCCATACGAGTGATTTCTCTACAGTCACAACAGCCACGCCACACACATGCAAAGCACAGACACAGACACACATACACACATGTGTACACAAACACACACACACACACACGCGCGCCCGCACGCATGCACACACACACACACACATGGAGATGCAGACAGACATACAGAGATTACAGACAGACAAACACACACATACTTCAAAGTACACAAACAGACATACGCACATATGAAGGCAGTAATTGTGATAGTAATCAGAACACGGGATAGCTGGCAGTTCATCTCAACGCTTCACAGACCCGCTAAATACAATTACATGAACTATATAGTAGTGGCGCGAGCCAGCGCACACAAAAAGGGGGCTGACGTACTTGCACTTGAAACTGAGAAAAAGCACTTCAAAGTTTGAAGTGCGTTTTGGGTGGATTTTGAAGTTGAGTCGCTGCGATTCTGTATAATCTCGCGCGTTTTCGCAATTTTGCGCAGGTCGATGACACGAGAATGGGGCTGACGGTCTAAGCTTTCCACCAGTCTTTAGATTTTGCAAATCGGTCCTCGCGTTGCTGAGATTCGTTTGTTTGAAGCTGCGCTTGTTTTCTTGAGAGAGCTTCTTTCTCAACCTTTTTTTATCTCGCTCTTGCCATGAGTCGAAGAATAGTCTTCACTGTCGATGAAGCTCTTGCTGACGTGCTCAGGGAGTGCGAAGATGAGTTTCATGGCGATCCTGAGAGTAGCTCTGACAGCTCTGTCGCTCCACTTCAAGATTCTGGTCAGGAAATTGCTGAACAGGGCGTAGAATCGCAAGTTGACACTGACGACGCAGACCAACTCCACTACCTCAACTCCAGGGTGAACTCCGATGTTGCAACAGCGAACTACCTGCATGTAGAGCCTCAAAGCGACTCTGATGAGGCTGGAGTTATCGCTGATGAAGAAAATCTAACAGTGGAAGACGAAGCAATAGTGGAGAACGTCCCTGCTGCTGCTGCTGCTCCTGAATTTGCTCAGCTCCAGAATTGTGGATGCAGCAAGAACTGCCTCCGTAAGTTTGACAGAGTAACTCTTGAGCAGTCAACACTAAACATGAGGGAAATGGAGAAAAGTGAGAGCGATACCGTGCTATTGGGAATTTAGGAGTCCTGCCGCCACAATACCAGTCAGAACGCGCACGGGGGAAAGCGTCGCCGCGAGTCCTTCGCCTACAGCTTCCACGGTGTCGAGGTGTGTGTTAGTGCGTTTCGCTACGCGTACGACATCGGCAAGAAGCATTTGTATGGTCTGCAGTAGCACCTGGAGAAACACGGACTGGTGCCCAGGGTCCATGGCAATACAGGCAGGCGACCACATAATGCGCTCATGTACGCTAACGTGAAGAGATGCGTTCAGTTCATCAACAACCATGCAGAAGTCAACGGTGGAGAAAAGTGAGAGCGATACCGTGCTATTGGGAATTTTGGAGTCCTGCCGCCACAATACCAGTCAGAACGCGCACGGGGGAAAGTGTCGCCGCGAGTCCTTCGCCTACAGCTTCCACGGTGTCGAGGTGTATGTTAGTGCGTTTCGCTACGCGTACGACATCGGCAAGAAGCGTTTGTATGGTCTGCAGTAGCACCTGGAGAAACACGGACTGGTGCCCAGGGTCCATGGCAATACAGGCAGGCGACCACATAATGCGCTCATGTACGCTAACGTGAAGAGATGCGTTCAGTTCATCAACAACCATGCAGAAGTCAACGGCATTCCGCATCCAGCCCCGCTGCGTGGACGTGATGATGCTCATCCAGTGTTCTTGCCTGCTACCCAAACATACAAGAGCGTACATGCCTTGTACAAGGAATCTTGCGCGGCAGCCCAAGTTGAGATCATCGGTGAATCATCGTTCCGCTCCATTTGGCATAGTTGTTTGCCCAACATCAAGTTTATGACGCCACGCACCGATGTATGCTCGACGTGCAAGCAGCTGCGCAGAGCCGTTATGTCAGCAGTCTCAGAAGCGGACAAATTGAAGGCCTGTGACACTCTCTCCAGCCACATCACCCATGCGCAAGCTGAGCGGCAATACTACAAAACAAAAAAACATTGGATGCCAGGGCTGAAATGGAACAGCCAACAGGAGAGCAGCGAAAATGTGTGCATTACACGTGTGATTTTGCGCAGAATGTGTTTCTCCCTCAAACAGCTCGTCAAGAAGGACCACTCTACTTCAAGACACCATTCAAGGTCCAGCTGTTCGGCGTATGCTGCGAAGCGATTCCGCGGCAGGTGAATTACCTTCTGGGAGAGGCCGATACCATTGGCGAGGATGGCAAAAGTCTCATAATCCAAGCACCGTCGTGTCCCTGCTCCACCACTACTTCGCCGTTCACGGTTTAGGTGAGGACCAATGCTTTCTCCATGCCGACAACTGCGCCGGGCAGAATAAAAATCGCACTGTGATGGCTTATCTTGCGTGGAGGTGTATCACTGGCCTCCATCAGCGTATCAGCCTGTCCTTCATGATCACCGGACACACACGCTGCCTGGTGGATGGTCTGTTTGGTCTTCTGAAGCAAAAGTATCGCCGATCAGATATCTTCACCTTGCCACAGCTTGCCTCCGTAGTGAACAACAGCACTGCTGCCAACGTTGCTCAACTTGCAGCTGGGTCGACAATTACCTGGTACGAGTGGGACCGCTTCCTGCCCGACTTCTTCCGGCCAATCCCAGCCGTGAGCCAGATGCACCACTTCACCTTCACTGCTGCCACACCAGGCATGGTTGAAGTGCAGAAGGGCATTGGCGGAAACAGTGACTCTGTTGACATGCTGAAGACCACCGTGCAGGCAGTGCAAGATGCAGGCTTACCACCGGTCATTGCACCTGGAGGTATGAGCAGAGCTCGTCGCCAGTACTTGCACAAAGAAATCCGTCCGTTTGTGAAAGAGCAGCTCAGGGATGACCTATGCCCACCAGTCAGTGACTAGACAATTAGAGAGCCGTAACTGTACAGTTCTTATCGTGTGCTCTTCTGTAACTGTATAATATTCACACCATGTTGCCGATGAACACAATCGCGGAAATTGGCTGCTTACGGGCCAAGACTGTGCATGTGTGTGGTCTTAGTCGAAAATGCTGATTATGCCTCTTCTGTGTTGGTCCAAACTAGGCATTAAAGTGCACTCTGTACATCATGAATATGCTTCAAATGCTTCATCAAGAAAATAGTGTCAGCTTATGTACAATGTCTAGAACAGACAATCATTTTTTTCTTTGCATCGCAAAGTGCGATACTTGCCAACAGACCACCTGGCACTAAAACACCTATAACATTGCAACGAAAAGAGATTTTTTGATGCGGTTTTTTGCAAAAGATTTCTGAAACATGTTGGAGTAACACTAGATAGTCAGCTCGAAATCTCAGATTTTAGAGGTTAACCCCCTTTTCGCATGCTCTGGCTTTTAAATTATTACAGTCTGAGCACACTTGCTGGAACTGCATGCTGTGCAACCCCATTGTCGTACCTTGGTTGGTACAGGATTGGTAGCTGAGAATGGGAGCAAAAGCATTTACTTCGAAGTATACTTGCTTCAGTCCTATCAGGCACTAACACAACAAATGCAAGAGCTGGTACAAATGCAAGAGCTGGTACAAATGCATGAAGGCAAGTGGCTCAGCTAAAGCGCATCGTCTTGCTTATGTAGCGGGAGTCATTTCACAGCCTGTCCTTTACCGTAAGGCTTCGGCTACACTCCGTCAAAAATGCTGCGTCAGCGTCTGAATCATGAGTTTTCCATGGCAACTGACGAAAACTCGAGAAATTTGAGCATCTGATGCGAGCACATCGACTGTGTTGCCGCTCACGCTGCAAGCACTTGCATGAAAACTAGTGTCTTTTGAAGAAAAAATAGCGTACTGTACCGTACTCTATCGTAGCGATTTGGTTCGCCACAGAGTGGTTTTGTGAAGTGGGTCAGGCCGCGACGGCAAAAGAAAAAAATGCAGTGTGACTCCACATCAGCGTTCAGGGCTGGGGTTTGACGCTGCGTCCAGCATCGAACTTGACGCAGTGTGACCAGGGCCTAAAGAGGGAACCTTATTCGCCAGTTTTAGCTCGGGATGCTCAAGCACTGGAATATGTGCGACTGAGAACGTTTGCAATTTGACTCAAGTAGGACTGTCTAAACGGTACACGTGGATATAAAACTTTGGTTTCGCAGTGCTTAAGAGCAAATGATTTCCCTACATTTCACGCGAGGCAGAACCTCTCTATTTTCTGGTTTACAGTAGACACAGAAGAACCATAGTGTGTATTGAGCAGAAAAAGACAGTTGCCTCACCGGATAGCTTCCGTGACCACCACTTTGCCGTTGAACTCCTTTACAAACAGCTCCATGGCGATGGCCATGGGTGTGGCCAGGTGCTCACCGATGTGTTGCAGTAGCTGTACAATCTTCAAACTGGCACCTGGCACAGAGCATGCACGCATGCACAAACACGTCACACACACACACACATACACACATGCACGCACGCACGCGCACGCACACACACACACACACACATCTTTGCACCTTTGCCGGGAAAGAAGGCTTGGCTAACCGCAACATATCCGTAAAACTAGAACACTAGTAGTCATCTCCCACCCTTGGTAGGTGTGGGAAATAGCATCAGTGCATGTCGTGGCAATCTAAAAGAGGAGTTAAAACACAACAGCTTCATTTTCGATTACTAGTAGCGTACACCACCCAAAGCTATACCCATATTTACAGAAGCAACAACTAGACACAGGATTAGATGTTGTTGGTATCCATCACTCAAAAGGAAAGAGTACTACAACTGCCTGTGTATAGCATACAGCCATGTACATGCCGCCAGCAAGGTGACGTGGCAATGGCAGCTGCTCATCCAAACAAGAAACTTACCAAGGGCATGGCTATAGTTCTGAATGAAGATGCCAAGAAGATGGAAGATGCTGTCACGCACATCCTTGTCCTTCGTCGATGCTGGGTTCTCCAGAAGCTTGTAGCAGCATTCCGTCACCAGACTTCGGGATGAGCATACAGAATAGCGTAAGAATACAGTTACACATGATGATACATGATGGTCGATGGTCTACCACCTCATGGCACATATATACATCACCCTGGGCAGGCAAATAGTCAGTCAGTTGGGTTTTAATTCGTAAGTCACCACTTTAAACAACACAACAAAAAGTGCAAATGGCAGGAGGAGAGAGAGAGAGAGAGAGAGAGAGAGAGAGAGAGAGAGAGAGAGAGAGAGAGAGAGAGAGAGAGAGAGAGGGAGAGAGAGAGGGAGAGAGAGAGGGGGAGAGAGAGAGAGAGAGAGGGAGAGAGAGAGAGAGAGAGAGAGAGAGAGAGAGAGAGAGAGAGAGAGAGAGAGAGAGAGAGAGAGAGAGAGAGAGAGAGAGAGAGAGGGAGAGAGAGAGAGAGAGGAGAGAGAGAGAGAGAGAGAGAGAGAGAGAGAGAGAGAGAGAGAGAGAGAGAGAGAGAGAGAGAGAGAGAGAGAGAGAGACAGGAGACAGAGAGAGAGAGAGGATACAGAGAGAGTGAGTTTCAACTCACTTCACAAACTCCACTTCAACCACTGGTGTCTCCCACAGCTGTGGTAAATCGAGCTGACAGATCTGCAGCAGCACACGTAGTCCTTCACCACGCTGTGTGTCCCAAGACATCTCGCCTCCAGCTGAAGCCGCAGTCTTCTTCTTGCCCTTTCGACCCTGAAGAGAGACATTGCGACAAAGGCAAATAAATGTACCTTGTACCCAACAACTATCTGCTGTGTACCATCGGCTGTGATTGTAAAGTTCAACATGGCTGGCATGGAACATCCGTCAGCAGCACTGCTCCCCACAGTGGCAACATGAACCAACCTATCAATGCATCCAAAGGCAGTTGGGTACTAGTAGTACATGTACCGACAGGCTGCAGCCAGCACTATAGGGAGAATATGACATCATAGCGATGTCATTGTGGTAAGGTGTGTGCTGCGTACTAGTGCGTACTAGTAGTCCACTAAAAGGTTTCTACAATTATTTTGCAATCAAAATACCTTTGTCGTTGCACCGGTAGTGATAGGTGCTTGGGTAGCCTGCATCTCGAAACACCCAATGAACTGTACAAGCAGGTAGACGGTCATCTGCAAGGAAGCACAGGAAGAAGGATGCCTTGTTTAAGTAATGACACCAGGTATGCAGACAATGCTATCTACAATGTAGCAGACAAATAGACAAGATTAGTGCAACCGGCAAATAAATGTACATGCTAAGGCATAAAATGATACCACACGGGTGTTACAACAGTGTAGCAGTGGGAAATACATTCATCACCTTGAGGATGATTTGCCATTTCTGACGATCACCTGGCGATGAACTCTTTGACAGAATCGAAGTCAACTCTCTTAGCAAATCTGACGATACTGTACCAGGGAAAACAACCAGAACGCGTTGCAAGACACTCAGTCTTCGTAGTCGCCATGACGCAACAAAAAAGAACTACCGCAAACAGCACGAAATCCCGACCTGTCACAGCCCAACGAAGCTGAAACCATGCAGCATAAAGCTGCATAACATTTATTTATACATACCGACACTAGGACTCCTAGTAACAGCACTGGGAGTGCATATCACCTATGTTGCGCAAAAGTACATGAAAAACCACCAACACTTTACACACCAGGTTCTTTTGCAATTTATTCTTTACCCTGCCTGCGGCATGAGTAGCTGCCAATGTACATTGTAGGAAGCAATGCAACATCCAGACCACGCTTCAGCATTCGAGCACTAGCGGGAGGCAGGTAACAAATTAGTGCATGAATTGTCATTGTGGGATGCTGCACAGTGAAGACAAGGTGAAATTGCTGCTACAACGACCCCCTTACCACCAACTATAGCCTTCCAGCCGCGTGCACGAACCTCAGAATTGACAGATGGGAAGTGACTGGGTACAACAAAATAAGCAGGCAGAACAAACACACAGTGCCCTTCTGTACAACTTCTAACACACCTTCGAACACATCAAGGAGCTTCCAACAGCTAGACCTATTATATTGATTGATTTGATTGATTTTTATTTAAGGATTGTCCAAAGGCCGCAGATGGGTGTCGTGTGGAAGACAAGAAATGATTTACAGCATGGAGTAGTACGACATATTCATCACTCCTGATAAAAGATATGCTATTTCTCTGTCACTTTAAAACTTGCCCCTGCATGTGACACGTGATAAGCAGTAGGCGTCATCCAAAAAAGATTAAATCTACGACCCTACATGTAGAAATTCTGCTTGGTAGCTATCATAATGCTGTAGTATTTTTTCCCCACATCTCTACCGAAGATACATGTAGCTATGTGTGTACATGTGCTGTGCATACACATTTCGCAAAGCCAATTCTCGAACCAATGGTTTTACCTGATAAGGCTGAAAAGAGTGTCAAACGATCCAAAAATATTCTCTGGACCACCAGACCTCAGTCCCATCCAAGCATCTATTGCAAAGTAGAGAAGTAAACAGTTCCAGTGTCATTCAGGCCCCTACTGCTATCACAATTACTCAGCTGCTCATACCAGTGACTTTCGTGGCCAAGTATTCAGTGGAAACGAGTTCTCGCACCTTGTACCCGCTTCCATGACCAACAAGGTCATCTCTCACCAAGGGTATGTTGAACGCAACGGCCATGATCACAGAAAAAAGATCAGAACGCCATCACCATTGAGTTTTGGAAAGGTAAAATTTGCTCTGAGTTGAATGCTTGTGCTCCAGCTCTGCTGAGCTGCAAAAGTGCTCGCGCCACAGATTCGAAAAATAGCATGGTTCGCTGCCATGGTGATGTACTTACATACCTTTTGCACAAAAAAGTGATGAAAATCTTGAAAATGCCGTCACGACACGTGATCTGTATTCACACTTCACAGTCTAGTCTAGTCTGTAGAGAGTGTAGTGTAGATATATTATGACTAGACTCGAACTCTACACGTACGTACGAGTACGTCCAAGAGTTCATAACTCTTGGTAGACTCTACGTCATGTACAAACAAACTGCAAAGCCGTGAAGTCTGCATTTTCTCATTTTCTGACCTTGGCTTTGAGTTTGACATGATCGTAGTATGTGAAGTGCACCTAAAAAGAAAGTCCAGGAGTTTGAGTTCGTTTCTCTGCTCTGAAGTTAGTTTGTCTCTCGAGTAGTTCTTTGCATATTTCTGAGTGCAAGGGATTCGGTGCTTTGGCACCACGCACCTGCAGTCAAGATGAACGTCGTACAGGCAGTCCGCCAGTATATTTCCAAGATGGTCCAGGATAGTGGAGCAGGAATGAAAGTGCTGCTGATGGATAAAGAAACGGTGTGTTTCTTACGATCGCACCATTCCTGGCAATATTGATGAGCGTAGAGTTTGATTTAGTATTGATGTGACGTTTGCTTGTACAGACTGGTATCACGAGTATGGTATTCGCTCAGTCAGAAATTCTCCAGAAAGAGGTCTTTCTGTTTGAGAAAATTGACACCCCCAACAGAGAATCCATGAAACATTTGAAAGCGATATGCTTCCTTCGACCGAACAAGGTAACCAAGTTAAGGCCAACGTTACTTCATTGAGAGATATTCTCCATTTACCTCAGCTGTTGCTGACATGTTCACCTTGGGAAATCATGCTGTTCTGCAAGGAAATTTTCAAATGGCCCAAGTTTAGGAAATGATAATCTGTGAAGTGTTGCACATTGAGCGTCGCACTAATTTGACTGGGAGTATCTTCCTACATGTGATATGCTTATTGCGAGGGGGAAAGCATCATATTTCAAGTGGTTCTGAATGAGACGTGTGCCTTTTTTCTTGAAATGCTGGATGGAGGTTTCTCCGGGGGGGGGGGGGGGGGGGGGGCAGGGACGTAGGAGGGGTTTTGGAAGTGGTACGACCGAAGGTCTGTGCGGCCGAAGGCCGTGTTGGAGGGGGTCCGGGGTACGTCCCCGCGGGAAAATTTTGTAAAGAAGACAAAATCCTGCGTTCTGGGAACTTCTGGCGCAGTGCAAGTGTGCAGTCGAGTCCAGTACAGTACTCAGTACGACTTAAGATGCCGTCTCTAGGACTTGTCATCTCCCTTCCGTGCCTCCCGATACACCGTCCTAAGCCGGTACATGTAGTGTGTTTACCCGCGTGTGTTGTAACACTTCTCACACATTACACCAGCTGGCGTTCTCGTCAGCCTGTGTGTCCTCTCCTGAATATGCTGTGTCTTAGCCTTGCCTGACTAGAGGACAGCATCTCCATTCATTTCTAGAAAGAAAAGTGAACAACGACCACTTTCATTCTAGTGACTGCATGACCATGAAGAAGTAGTTCAAACTGCAGTTCCTGATATACCACCGGTGATGGCACCGTGTAAAAATGTGTTACACACCTATACCCGTTCTTACCGCTGAACAAGCGTGACTCCAGAGACCCAACCCTGTATGTCAATGTGACTGCCGAATATTTATATCCCGAACCAGCCCTCTTGCGAGTACACTACTTGTCGGTTCTAGATATATGCCCAGGTTCCTCGCGTCACGTATCAAAGGCTTATACATGCCGCCAGGTTCTGACCAAACAATCTCAAGAAAATGAGACTTCCCCACAGTTTCGGTCTTAGCCTCCATTCCTCACCATACACGCGATCAGAGCGCAGCCAGGTTTAGATAATAATACTTTTATTGAATTATTATGTGATCCAATAAAAGAGGCCGCACATTTACTGTGACGCAGACTTGTCGGGGGTAGTTGGCAAGTCTGTTGGGAGTTCCGTGTCGGTACTCAGGTCCTTCTTGGCACTAGGAGACGCCTTGTCCTTCTTAGGCTTACGTGAGTTTTTACGAGTTTTCTTTCTCGGTGGCTCTTCTGACTCCTCCGTGCGGTGACCGGCATGCCGGCCCAATATCCTGAAGGATATTAATGACAGGAAGTCCAGGTCCTCCTTCAATTTTCGCAAGTGTCGCCCTTGGTCGGGGCGACCCACGCCTTCAAATAAAGCAATCGCCCGTTCCAAGCTCTGCCTGGTTGGAGTCTCCCGCCCCTGGCCTGCTTCTTGCGTAAGGGCGTTGAACTCCTCTAGCATTTCCTGTGCCATTCTGGATAAGACAAAAAAGCCACACCAGAAAAAGAACCGAGGATTAGTTCACATTAAGTGACGGACCCTGGTCACAGCACCAATTGTCATGACCCGACCCCAAGGGTCAGTCAAAAGCCTGCGTTGCGAACAACACCAAATAGGACCGCCACGAAGTGTGAGCAAGACCCAGAATCCCAAGTGCACAATATATGCACGCCATCACTCAACAGCCCACCAAGAGTTCCGTTTCCAAGGACATACCTTGTAGATAGGTCAGAGGTAGAGAGAAGAAAGAGGAGATCAAGATCGAAGCAGTACCGGAGCGAGAGGACGAACGTATAAAAGACAGGGACTTATATTCATAACAATAACTAACAACAACCAATCAGAGCACACATACTGTACTCACTAATCATATTAGACGGCGGGACAAGGGGACAAGTAACGGATAAAGCTAGATTCATAATGATTGAACGTCTCATAACGGCGGGATACAACGTGCAAGAATGGAAGAAGATACTAGTTAATAGACTATGCTGTCCCCGGGGAAAATTGCGGAAAAAGTCGCAAAAAACGCGGGGAAAACGCGGCATAATAAGGCATAATTTGTGGTGAATTTGCGGTAAATATGCGGTGAATAATATTGATGTGCGGCAATTTTCAGTGAGTATGTAGTGAAATCAATCAGTTACAAGTCTCTGGTGTAAGCACTCGTCATATTTGAGTAAAATCCGCCACGATGAAACGTTGCTGACCGAACAGTGCACTGTGTGTACGTGTAGTGTAACAAAAAAGTTCAAAAAACGCGGGAAAATCGCGGAAAACGCGGTCTTTTAAAAAATCGCAAAAAACGCGGCCGCGGAATCGCAATTTTCCCCGGGGACAGACTATGACAGTTGACAAGGCGCGAGATTATGCAGCATCGTAGCAGTTGTATGATTATGTACAATGTAGTATTAAAGTGCGTATAAAGGCTACGTAGTAGTAATGTCTAATGATGTAGTGAGTAGTAGTGATGTAATGAGTAGTAATGATGTAGTGAATAGAAAAGATGCGGTAAGTTACCGTACTGTGCACATGCGGTGCTGGCGCGACTCGTACCCATCAGTCAGCTGAGCGCTTGTCAGCTGGTGCTGGCCCCTCGTCTGCCAGGTTGCTAGGATGGCTGTGCGTCGTCGACCTCGGGTCACGACACTTCATTGAGAGATATTCTCCATTTACCTCAGCTGTTGCTGACATATTCACCTTGGGAAATCATGCTGTTCTGCAAGGAAATTTTCAAATGGCCCAAGTTTAGGAAATGATAATCTGTGAAGTGTTGCACATTGAGCGTCGCACTAATTTGACTGGGAGTATCTTCCTACATGTGATATGCTTATTGCGAGGGGGAAAGCATCATATTTCAAGTGGTTCTGAATGAGACGTGTGCCTTTTTTCTTGAAATGCTGGATGGAGGTTTCTCCGGGGGGGGGGGGGGGGCAGGGGCGTAGGAGGGGTTTTGGAAGTGGTACGACCGAAGGTCTGTGCGGCCGAAGGCCGTGTTGAAGGGGGTCCGGGGGACGTCCCCGCGGGAAAATTTTGTAAAGAAGACAAAATCCTGCGTTCTGGGAACTTCTGGCGCAGTGCAAGTGTGCAGTCGAGTCGAGTACAGTACTCAGTACGACTGAAGATGCATAACAGATCTACGAGTACAAGTCTAGAAAAAGGTCAAAGTCTGATGCGCATATGAGTCGATGTATCCTGATTTTTTTTTATTTAATAACGTGCAAAACCGTAATAATATTACGGTTTTGCACGTTCCGGACGGACCACACTTTTCGAAAAGTGGTACGGCCATGGTCGTACCAGTCGTAGCGGGTGCTACGCCCCTGGGGGGCTTTCACGAGCTGTATACTATTGCTCCATTACATTCCACAATGTGACCAGGCACTTGGGGAGAAGTCAGCGTAGTGTCCTGTGTTGATGTGTTCCTGTGACGCTGGTCCTCGTGTCTAACTCCCCAGTCATGCCGTGTTGTTGAGAGCCTGGACGCGTACGTGCTGACTGGTGCGAGTGTATCGCCCAACCATTCTTATCTGCTGTGCTTGCGTTCTGTGTTACTTTTAGGAAAACCTTGAGTTGCTCTGTCAGGAGTTGAAGAGCCCCAAGTACGGTCTCTACTATATCTGTAAGTTTGCTCCCATTGTGTACTAGTAGTTTGGCTCTATGCGAGATTGCCGTGCAGCAAGGCACTCAGTCTGGTTTTAGTGTAGCGTTTGTTTTGTCGCTGGCTTTGATTTTGGCCGTTGCATGCTGCACCTTGCAGTATCCTGTGATAGCATTCATTGGGAATATTACTTCGGCGTTTTCGTGTTGAAAGTTTTCCGACCATGTCGAGCACCGGGCGAATGGTGACTTGCCTAGTCTTTCGACAGGTTTCTTCGTTTGTAAAACACCTGCCATCGGTGTCCAACGTGTCACTTGCGTAGTACATACCCCGATAAGATGCACGTTTTTTTAGTGCAGACATTTTTCAATGCACCGACTTCCGTAATTGGGGACACGTCTACTCAGCTAGTATGTACAGATTGAGTATGACCTCTTGCTCAGCCTGTCCATTCAAGTGTCAGGCTCGCACACCACGTACTTCCTGCGCTTTGAGGAGCTTGACATGGCACTGTGCGATTAGCAGCATGCCAGGTGTGACCTTACTGCTTGCCTGTGTTTGGCCTTGCAAACAGCGGCCTGTGGCCATTGTACTAAGTACTTTAAATTCACATTGTTCTGGTTCCCAAGGGGTGCGTCTTGTTAGATTTGCACTGTAATAATTGTGAGCATTCCATGACTGTATAAAGTGATAGGATAACACAAATAAAGTGTGAATTTGTGACTACTACGACAGTTTTACAGTTGTGCTCGGCGAAATCCAACCCAGGCCAGAGTGAATATTTGGCGCCCACAACTTGCACGGCCCTTGGAAGTAGCACGAATGTGGCTGGATAATAGTGGATATACACATGTACGAATACGATGATGTAATCGGAACTGACCCAGGGTATCAGCTTTGCACTTTGGATCAGTTTTCACCGAGCTCAACTGTAGTAAACTGTGCTAGTTCCGTTGTGTTTGTGTGATGATAGATCTTTATTCAGTGCATTTTCCTTAGCACTGTGTGTGTATATTTGTACCACTTTCCATTGGGACTGCTCGTTGGCACCTAGTACCATGTTGTTATATGACGATGTCAGTGGCTGATTTGTTGCTTTTAAATGCCGCTGTTGGGAAGGATTAGGCATAGCTGCTCTTCACCCATTCTCAGTGATCCAGTTAAGAATAACGATGCAGTTTTCTGTACCGGTCATCTTTTGACTCCCAGCCATCTTTTTCTTGCCATGACTCACGGAATTATCTTTGTGTGTATCTGTGTCTGTATCGCAGACTTCTCTCACTTTGTTGATCAATCTGATATTCGGCGGCTAGCTGAAGCTGACGACCAGGAGGTTGTGCGTGAGATTCAGGTTCGTGCTCGGGACCACTTTGGACGATTTAATCCGTTGAATTCCTGTCCACTCAGCTCTAGTCTCAGTTCTTCTCTAATGGAGTGTGTATTCTGGGTGTAGTTCGTAGACCTGATGTGCACCATATTGCTTTTCCTGTTTGTTCTTGCAGGAGTTCTTTGGTGACTATTTTGCCATCAATCCCCATGTGTTCTCGTTCAACGTCAATGGCTGCTGCCGGGTAAGACCAGCACCAGGCTACCTATGCACGTGTATTTCATCTGAAGGTACAGCTGCCTTCTTCACTGCACAATGAAATGGTTCTCCCAGCCTTCAGGGTGTATGCTGTGCACCTTGCCTTACTTGCTGTTTCATTCACTCTATTGTAAGTCTTTGCTCCTCTCTCCGGTCACTTGTCCTCTGCTGGCGTTGTGCTCCTCACGTGTGCGCTGAGTGAGCACCACTAAGCAGGCTAAGCTGCTGGTTGAATTGTAGCTTTCTGGTGTATGTGTGAACGGTGTGCAGGCCGGCAACTGGGATAGAAGTATTCAAGCGCGGTGTGTCAGTGGTCTCAGTGCTGTACTGCTCTCCCTCAAGAAGCAGCCAGTTATCCGGTAGGTTACAGATAGCTTTCGTTAGTATTTTCTCTGGCAGTATTCTTTGTTGCAATTGATAGTCTGCTCTACATGTACCTCACTCACATGTAGCAAACTGCATGGTACACATATAGCAACCCTTTTTCATTGCCGCATTTGGACATGTCAAATTTGGCCCGTTTTCGCAAAAAAAAACTATTTATGTTTTTCCAACAAACTGAATTTCAGTTTGTAGGTTGTAGCAAGAGTTCATAACCCCCAAGAGTGTGCAACTCCTGATCAGTCCCTGTATGGAAGCCCGCTCGGCGGAATTCCTTCATTGCGTCATTTTTGGTGCAGTGCGATGAGTCACGCCGATGAATTCTTCTAAAATTTACAGTAAAACCAGGATGCTTCCCCAGGGTAAACTGCCTAAACTGCGATTCTAGTCTGAGTCTGAGCCTCAAGAAGCAAAAGTGAAACAAAGCACACGATCCTAAAGACAAAACTATTTATTTTTTCGATGCAATGGTGACTCTTCATGGCCTTCTTCTTTCACCAGTGCAGTCAGTCTCTTCAAGAACAATTTCTTCCCCAGACCATCGGCATAATTCCGGTGCTTTCCTCGAAGATGTTTTCAAATGGTTGAGGAACTTGAGAGAATACGTCGAAGGAGCATTTTTCGGCTGAGTTGCACAGCTATCAGAATGGTTGTCCTCGACGGCAATGCAATATTTTTAACAGCGTCCTCACTTCTTTCTGTCGCGATGTCCATGGATTCTTGGAGAAAGAGTTTGTTTTTGAGAAAGTACGACTTGTACGTCCGAAATGTCTTAACTTAAAAAAAAGTAGGGGTCAAACGGGTGTACCTTTAACTAACGAACGGGTAATTTTCTTAACGGGCGGGTTAACGAGTACCCTTTAGCAGCCATGTTTTAATTTTTGCGCAATTTTCATATAAACCATGATAGTAATTTATCTGTTCTCAGGTTGCATTTTGATATCACATTGTGATTCGCCAATTGATTTGAGTCTGATAGTTGCAGAGGTAGATCTACTAGGTGCGAAAATGCAACAACAATGCAGGCATGCAGCTTGGAGTTGTAAATAATTGACTCCCGCCTGGAATGCACAATCCCAGCAGTGTTGCTCCGTACTGATCTGATCACCGAAATCCAAACGGGTACCCTTTTACTAACGGTACCTGAGATTAACGGGCGGGTACCCGGAACACCCCTTTGACCCCTAAAAAAAAGCTTCGAAAAGTCGAGGCTACAACCTTGAGTTAGGAGCGGTTCAGGGTATAGTTTCCAGAAATCGCAAAGAACCCAAATTTACCTCGGATGACAAGCTGCGCATGACGTAATGTAGGAATTTCGCCGAGCGCTGGGTCTATGCCCGTTGCACACTCTTGGGGGTTATGAACTCTTGGTTGTAGCTTTATACGTTGCCTTTAAAGTTGTCCTCGTTGCTTGGGAAACTGTTATATTACCGCCTCGCGTACTATTGTATCTGATCTTATTCTGGCCTTCCTTGCTTTCTGTCAAGAAGATGCATCCCCTTTACCTTAACCCATTGTTTGGTAGTTCTGTATTATCTAGATGCTCTCTGTTTTGTGTTTGTCCAACTTTTCTTATGGACAGGTATCAACAAGGATCTGCATTAGCACGAAATCTGGCTGATGATGTGCATGTAAGTTGCATTGTTGAGGTGAAGGTCAACCACTGTACTGTACGTGTCGGGTGTACCAATAGTGAACGGTGACTATGTCAGTGTTGCTTGGTGTTGTCTTCTGGTGTTACTGACCTGTGGATGTGTGTCTGTTTTGGTTGTGTGTTGTTGTACCCAGCAACTGATGAGAAAGGAGGCCAGTTTGTTTGAGTTCCGTAGGCCGGATGTTCCACCGGTGCTGCTTGTTCTTGACCGTCGTGACGATCCAGTCACTCCCTTGCTAAACCAAGTAAGCGGCTACTTGGGCCACCCTACTTGGCTGTATGCCTTGGTGTGTTTGCCACTTCCGTAGCATGTCTTCATTTCATACTGTCATTGCAATTCCATGTAGCTCATCACAAGTCTTTCCTCTCTGATGATCATTTGTTCAATGTCAAATTAATGCTGGTAGAAGACACATTGAGCAGTACAGTGTCAAGATGGAATACTGTATTGGTGTCGATGGTGTTCACTGTTCAGTGACTCAATGCTATCCACGAAAATGCAATACAGAGTAACGTTCTGCTATGGAATGCCATTGATTTGATTGCAGGTGAAGGGTATACCGGTAGCGAATGGATATGGACAGAAATGTCTCTTGGGCAGTTTGAATTTATAGGTGGCGAAATATTCAATAGGATTGTGGAGAACCTCTTTCACTGCCCTCTGCTCTTGCAAACCAAGCCACGGCATTCGGAACAGAAAAAAACCATCTTCCCTTTCTTATCATGACCTTTTGCGGTGTAGTTGATCGTGGTAGCTTGTGTTTGTGTGTGTGTGTCTGTGTCTGTGTCTGTAGTGGACATACCAGGCCATGGTACATGAGGTCCTTGGCATTCGCAACAACCGCGTGGACCTATCTGGAGCACCGGGCATTTCCAAAGAACTTCAGGTGAGCCAACATGAGTTTGGCAGATGCTGTGTGAGTAGGAGAGTTGCGCTGCATCTCTCTCTCTCTCTCTCTCTCTCTCTCTCTGTCGTCCTTCTTACGCGTGTTTAGGCTTGTGGTGGCAATGCCTAGTCCATACCCCGATGAACATGGTCAGTGGCCGTGTTGAAAGGGTGTGCAGAACTGCTTGAAATAGATCAGCCTGGTATACACTGACCACATTGATATTGGGTTCCTTTGGTCTGTAGGAACTTGTTATCACCTCAAATAGTCTGAATCTGATGACCCTGCTGGGAAAGGGGCGCTGGGTACATCTGTAGCTAGCTGACCCCAATCCTACCATCCTACTGACACTAGCTGGTGGTGGTGTTAGTTACCCGTTGTTTTTCGGTATCTCTGCCAGTTTGTTATGTGAGCATTTGTATCTTACTCTTTTTGCGTGTGTAGACCTGTGTTTTCAAGAAAGTAGGGATTCACTGGCCAGAAGAAGAAAAAAACACTTCTAAAAGCTGTATGGTGTAAACCTGGCTAAATTCTGGTCCATTGTTTAGCCTTGCAAGCTGTTGAATGATGTAGCCCCAGTACAAGTTTGCTATAGCTCCTGCTGTAGCATCACTATCATTATGTGTGTCTGTGTGTGTCTGTAATTCTGTAGGAGGTCGTTCTGTCTGCAGAGCAAGATGAGTTCTATCAGAGTGTAAGTACAATGCAATGTTTTCTGTTGCGGCATTTTCTTCTGTTCTTGGAACCCCATTTGACTAATCCACGAGTGGGTCTTGTCATGATGTGCTGAAATGATAGGTATTGCATTGTGTTTGGAAGTCTACAGCTTCCCGTTTGTGTCTTTCCCTCAAACAAGTCTACAGTTCAGTTTACAATATTGACTTTTCAATGCAATCTTGGGATGTAGTGATCCCACGTTTTGCTTCTTTGAAGTATTGTTTGAACTACATGTATTGTATTTACTGGTTTGTGGGAAAGATACAATCGACTGTCACCACCAGGACTCAAACCAGGGACCTTCATGTATTGTGTGAGTAGCGTTCTGTTATTACTTTTGCTGATTCCATGTGTGCATTTGTGCGTATGCGTGGGTGTGAGTGTATCCATGTACATGTGTGTGTGTGGTTTTGCTTTGCTTTGCTTTTCAGAATATGTACCTAAACTTTGGAGAGATTGGTGCCAACATCAAGACCTTGGTTGATCACTTCCAGGTCAAGTCCAAGAACCAGGCCAAAGTCGAAACTATCGCAGATATGAAGGTATGGGATGATGCGTAGTGTGGCTACGGATAACGACACATTGCTTCCTGGCTCTTCCTTTCATGCGTTCGTTCGAAATAGGTGCCTCTGCTTCTGTCAACTGACTTGTCAGTGTTCGCGCATGCCGGAAAGTCAAAAGAACGATGTGTTGCATGTGGTGTTTTGTTTAAGGTTGCCAGTCCTTGGCTAAGATCTTATTTGATCGCTTTCTCTGTGTTTGTGCTTGCTCAATATAGCAATTCATCGAGACCTATCCTCAGTTCAAGCGAATGTCCGGAACTGTGTCCAAGCATGTGGCTGTGGTCAGTGAGCTGTCACGGCTGGTAGCAGAGCACCATATCCTGCAGGTGTCCGAGGTTGAGCAGGAGCTGGCATGTCAATCAGATCACTCCACTGCGCTGCAGGTGAGCCTGTCTTTGTGTAAACTAATTAGTTTCTGTGGATAAAGAGAATGAGTCAATGCTATCTTATACCATACCGTACTAGTTGTCCTGCCTGAATTTACCAGGGAAGATTTCTGGGTAGGGGGGTGGGGGTGGGTGGCTCTTTCTGGGCTAGGAGAGGCTGCCATTTCAGAGCTCCCTGTCTGGAATGTGTGTTATGTAAATACTGCACTCATAGGAATAAATAAATCAACTTCTTCGCTCACCATGTGCTCTAAACTGACTAACACACGCTTGATGCCCTTCCCTGTTTGGCTGTCTTGATGGTAGAACGTCCGCCGGATATTATCAATGGAGAATGTCCGCCCAGTAGATTGCTTACGGCTTGTCTTGCTCTACGCCATCCGGTACGAGCGTCATGGCAGTAACGAAGTGGATGCTCTGGTTGACATGTTAACAAGACGGGGACTGCCAGAGAAGTACATCAAGGTACTGTACAGTAGTTTTGTGCTTTTAAAACTGTTTATGGAGCCGTTGTCCTTTGCTAACGCCTGTATAGAACCACAGCAGTATCTCTGAGGTCTGTTGGTGATACATTTGGGGTAGTGTGCTGTTCTTTCATTTGTAGCGAAGCCTCCCGTTGCACTCCTTGGATTCTTGGCTCGATTTGTCTGTATGTGGAGTTGACTATATTCCCCTCCTTCTACTAGTAATTAATTGCTTGGTTGGTCTCTTTTTGGTGATTTCAGCTTGTGTCAGGCATCGTAAACTATGCAGGAAAGAGCCAGAGGAATGGTGACCTGTTTGGAGGCAGGACTCCGCTTGCTCTGACAAAGAAACTTCTCAAGGGTCTGAAGGTTAGTGCTGCTACTCTCATGCTGTTGGTCATCAATGATCCAGTGGCACCACAGACAACCGTGTACTGCTTTTTGTGTACTCGTATCGTTCCAGTTGTCCTTGGGATGTGCCGACTTTGTATACACTGTTGCATATTGCATCGCTGGTATGGGCAGCGGATCCAGGCCGTGATCGTAACGTTAGGGCGCGTTCAGACTACCGATAAAAAGTGCCCGATTGGGAAAGTTTCCAAGGTGATTTGATCACGTGACGTTACTGGCACGTTACGGGCGGAAAGTTGTACTGTCGCGGCTGCTGCGGCAGTAAAACTTTTCCGGCAGTAACAAGAGTGCTCAGGCTGGGAAAAAGGGAAAATCCCTTCTCAGTGCCACGGTGAGAGCTGCAAAACTTACGTACCGGTAACGTTAGTTAACCCTTTACCGTTTTAGGTATTTGTACAGCAAAAACCGACCGTCATTGTTCATGCCGTAACTTTTTTATTTTTCACTTTTATTATGTACAAAATGGGGTGATTCTGAAAGTAAAAACCCTCAGGAATGCGATGCAACAACTTTCAAGTCCAGAAAACGAACACAGATTTCACTATTTAGCACTAATAATTATTTGGATTTATTGCCGATCGGGCAAACTGTTGCAATATGCAATATATCAGATCCTTGCACTGGAGTGGCTCCCTCAGGTAAGTGGATACCAGGGTCGTTCTCTGGGTAGAATGCAGGAGTGTTACCAGTCACAGCGGTGTCAGCATTGTCCCAAGTATTGCAAATATCAACTAGTGCAGGTTGCACCGCTGGCTGTACATAGTACCTGTGCACCACGACCTCAACCCTGACGACGGCCTATTCCACGGCCGAATCCTCTCTCTCTGCCACGTCCCCTTCCACCATTAGTGGCACTCATCTCAGCGACACTGTCGTCGTCTGTGACATCCATGTCACTCTCACTGGCGCTGCTTTCACTCGCCATGTCATCGTCGCAGTCGTCGTCAGAATCGTGAGGCCAGCTCAAGCAAAAGTCGAAATAATCTGCAGGCAATACCAAAAGTCGCAGGGTACGCACTTTTCCCAAAGCGCATTTTTCAAGTCGCGCTTTTCGCAATTTTTTATATTGCATCACACAAAAAAATTGTCGGCACCCTCTGCGCGTACATCTTGGCTACCAGTAGGGAAAATCCCAGCTCTCTGCGGTGAACCAGTCCAGCGCTGTGCGCATAGAAGTCATCGACCGCGAGCGGTCGAAATTTGTACGTACAAACGGTAAAGGGTTAATCGGTAGTGCGAATGTCCTTCACGGTTTATCGCCATTCACAGTTTGACGGGATTCACGGTAGTCTGAACTCGCCCTTAGGCTTCATAGACCACGAATCATGTAGAACTTTCTAACCTGGGAGTATAGTGCGCACTTTAGATGCGCTATTTCAGGCCCCAAATCGCAGGTGCGCACCACGCTCCGAATATGAGAATGCATGCACTTCGAAAAGTAGTGCAGCATATCAAAGTGTTGCTAAGTCTGCCACCTCTGAGTCCCTGACCCTGCACAAGCCGTACCCATGCATTCCAAGTGTCTTTTTCCCGCTACACTGCAAATGCAAGATGGGTACGAGACCCCATACTGGCCATAGGTAGCACATGCATTACACAAATGTACACATTTTGTGATGATTTTTTTCATTGGTCGCACCAGAATAATACTGCCTGTTATAATCCTCAATTTTCTCAAATCTAGGCTGCACATTATACTCCGGATATACCTTGAATTGCAAGAACATTGTTCGAAAAAAGGGGTGCGCGCTATACTCCGGCAAATACGGTGCATCGTTTTGGGTACTGTGGTCTTGTGCATCTCCCTATATGTTACGGCTCGCTGATGGCCTCGGAGCAAGGATAAGATTGCATAGGTCACTTGATTTTCTCCCTTTTTCTTTTGTCTATTGTGTAACTGACTATCCATGTACATGTACGTTGTATTCTCCCTGTTGTGCAGGGTGTAGAAAACATCTACACACAACACACGCCTCTCCTTTCGGAAACACTCGACAGTCTGGTGAAGAACAAGCTGAAAGATCAGCAGTTCCCCTTCGTGGGCAGTCAAGTCGTGCGAGACAGGTAAGGCGACTCTCTCTCTCTGTTTGTACATGTTTTACAGTACTGATCAGTGAACTAGGAAAGCGGCAGCAGCAGCAACTGCAGTGTTGGTGCTCTACAGCCGTATGCGTTGTAGTCGTATGTGCCATATGTACGAAGTGAATCACGGCAATGCACCGGAGGATGACCACAGTGTATAATGTTTCATTGACCAGCATTAGACATCCACAGTGCGTCGTGTTCAGGCCCAGCGGAACCGGTCCCATTGGTCAGGCCATGGCCGGACGAACTTTTCGGCCAGCAACATGACCATGGTATACCCTCCATATCATACACAAAGTATGAAAGGCTAGGGGATAGGCGCACCAATGAAAAACTGCTTCTGCTGGTCCTGATGTTCATATAGCCCACAGCTGGATGGATCGCTTTGGTCAGCAGAACTGTGCAACTGCTCCGCTTGAGCTCTAAACCACCCAGAGCATGTGAAAGGCATCACATGCCCTTGCTGTGTGCTTCGAGCAGCACCAACTACTTTTAAGGGTAGGACCATTCAGCCGTGGTTGCATGCTTTCCTTCCTGACTTTTCTGACTGTTATCTACGAATTACAGTCGTGTACATTGTACCATGTGGAGGGGACGGCTCCTTTTCCAAACGGTTTGACAGCAATAATAGGGAGGTTTCGCTCTACAGAACTACGTATGAAAATAACTTATGAACTGCACGGAATTTTCATACGTAAAAATCAGAGCTATTGGGTTTTGCTCTACGTGATTTCTCCACGACTGCTCAACATGCGTTGTTACTTTGGAGACGTGTTGGCTGCATGCGCCCACCGCATGCACCATGAACCGAAACCGCGTTTTCAACGATATTTTGCACGTGGTGTACGGTGTGTGTACCTTGTGTTTCGCGCGGCTTGAATGTTGCCATGGACAAATGCGGAAAATGCGAAAAAATATTTCAGAAAGTCCTACGGAGGATCCAACGTAGGAAAGAGCTTTCCTACGGAAATCCGTAGAGAGATTTACGTATGAAAGTTGCCCTCGCTCCCCGGCGCGTACGACATACGGATTTTCATACGTAATTACGTAGAGCGAACCCTCCCTAATGTGTAGACCCAAGGCGATCATCAGTGTGGATTGTTCACTCGAATTATTTTTGTGGAAGGAAGCTGGTGTGTTGAAGTTTATTCTGAGGCCCGAGTCAACCGGAACGGACCGGTGCACGATGCGAGGGTGTATGTGATCTCTTTTTACGACCAATTTTGTTTGTGCCATGACATGAATCAAATGTGCTGTGAATTCCAGTCGTTTGTTTACATGGCCGCAATCCGTACATTCTGGTCATTCTGGTCAACCCAGATCCAGAATTGTGTAAACGTGTAATCGAAAGCGCGCTCATTGTAGTCTCACTGTGATAATAGGGACCTTTCGCATTTGCTACGAATCGAATGCGAAACGAAAGTTTGATTCGGCTCGTAATCGTTTCGTTGAAAATAGATTCAGGTTTCGCAAGTCGTCATGCAAATGTGCATGACAAACTACGAATACGGCCGTACGGGTGTTTACATGCACACGTGCATGGATCATGGAATCAAGGGAAAAAAAGGTGTACCTGGACAAATAAATGTGTACCTGACGGATTCGGAGCGCGCCACGAATGAAGAGGCTTCCATTCGTGCAAACGAGCTCTCCGCAGGGACTCTGACGAATCCTCGAGCCCAGGTGACGAATCAGCATTCGTTTCGTATCCGTACGCGTGGTGCGAAAGGTCCCTAATGGGCCATTCCCACTACGCCCAGAACGTGGCGTACGTGACGTTTTCGTCCGGATAGCCATGACAACATGGAACGTGGCGGGAAAATCGTACCCCTTATACGAAAACGTAGACGACGTATCCAGACCCCTGTACCGAGTTTCGTTCTGTCGTTCCCAGCAGTTTGTGTCCAAAAGAAGCTGTACACACAGCTGTACGAGCAGCGTGTGCTGGCCTGTGTGAATTCACCTGCATGAAAACGACGTCTGCCAGTACGTCGTATTCCAAAACGTGACGCGTATTGTAACGTAGTATCAAGAGTACATAACCCCCCAGAGTGTGCAACGCCTGATCCAGCTCTGCATAGGGTCTTGGTCGAGCGGAATCGGATCTTTGCGTCATAATACCGTACACATCTGAGGGGAACCCGGGGAGTCGCGGGTACTCTTGGATCAAAAACAATGGTGCCCTGCCTCGAGACCGGCCTTGCGCTGGTGTGAAGTGTACGCATGACATCAGAAGATCCGATTCCGCTCGACCAAGACCCTACACAGAGCTGGATCGGCGTTGCACACTCTGGGGGGTTATGTACTCTCGGTAGTATGAATAGCCTATAATATTCCCCCGGCCCCCGCCTCTGCATGGTATTCCTGCTCTGGGCGAAGCCAAACGAACACAATCTCTGCGTTGTTACGTAATCTTTGTCGTCATGAGACGATCGTACGAGAGTGCATTATGCGCATGTTTTTGTTTTCGATATTTCTCAGTTCAAACTAAAACATAATAATTGCTGGCTTTGAGTTTGAAAGAGCGATCGCCAACTAATTATTTGTTGTTTGCCCCATCGAGAAGACATGTTTCTGCGAGGAGTTTCACGACGCGCGTCGCAAAATGCTTGTGGGTGTAGATATCTGTCGAGCACACCGAAGCCTCTCGTTGTCGCTGGGCCGTCAGGCTCTGGCAAAAGTACTCTTCTGAGAAAATTGATGAGCGAGTATCCTGACGAATTTGGCTTTAGTATCTCGCACACTACGCGGGTAGGGAGACTGGGCGAAACAGATGGTGTCGACTATCACTTCACCAGTAGAGAATCTATGGAGGCTGGTATTTCTCGTGGGGAGTTCATCGAGACAGCGGAGTTCTCAGGAAATCTGTATGGAACGTCGATACAGTCTGTCTCCGACGTGACTGAGAAGGGACGGGTGTGCTTGTTGGATATTGATATGCAAGGCGTGAGATCCGTGAAGAAGACCCAACTTGACCCAGCTTACGTGTTGGTAAAAGTCCCATCTGAGGAAGAACTGGAAAGGCGCCTGCGTGCACGTGGCACAGAGACACCTGAGAGTCTAACATTTCGACTGAACGCAGCAAAAGCAGAGCTGGAGTATGCATTACAGCCAGGTGTATTTGATCACGTAGTTATCAATGGCGATCTAAGGACTGCGTATGCCGATTTTGTTGCTGTGATCCAGTCAGTGTATCCACAGCTCGAATTGTCCAAGTCGTGATTTGGTTACGGAATTTCCCTCCGTGTTTTATTTATGATTAATTTTGTTCCTCTATTGACTAGAGTGACCTTCACCTTGATCTGCCAGTGTTGGTGTAGTAGAACAATTACGTGTGTGTGTGTGTGTGCGTGTGCGTGCGTCTGTGTGCGCGTACACGTGGCGAATACAATACTTTGCGAAATATGTACATGGAGTATTATTGCTCAAATCACAGGAATGTAGACACACATGGATCCACGAATAGGTACCCCCCCCCCCCCCCAACAAAAATTTCACAATACAATAGTACATTTCCGTTCTCTATTCGGACGTTAGATGGTACGTCACATGGTTCGATATAAGTAGCACGACCAAGCAACGAAAAGTGTCCAGACCCAAGTCAAGTAGGCATGCAACTCTGTATCTATCGTGTATCGGCCACAGGTAGGCTTCCGCGGAATATGCTTGTATTTTTACCGATATTTCTTTTGAGCATTGCTCAAAATTTCGACCTCTTAGAGCATGTTCGATTGGTAAGGATCGGGATCCAGATCTCAGATCCGTCGGATCCTTCAGAGTCAACTGGACACTTTCTTTCGGTCTTGACTGTTGCCATGTTGACGAAGTAATAAAAAGTCGTACTTTAATACCGCGCCAGTTGTACAAAAAGTCAACAAGCTAGCTAGCTCTATCTCCATCCACGTGGGCGTACCACAATGTGTACAAAAACGATTTTTACTCGCCATATACGCACAAAGGTCACATTTGGATCCTTTGATCCGGTCAACCCTGCTCCCCGAGGTGGGTTGACCGGATCCAAATCCGAAGGATCCGGATCCAGATTCGACCAATCGAATGGGTGCGAATCCAGTGGATCGGGATCCCGATCCTACCAATCGAACATGCCCTTATTCCCGTAATTTCACCAATAATTCTCGCAATAATGCTTTTTTCTTCCCTTTTTTGCAAATACCATACCGCGTACGGGTATTGTTGCCACTTGTACGGGCGAAAAAATCACGGTTCGTGTGAGAGACTCGGCTGGAACCTTTTTTCTTTCTTTTTTTGAAAGACAGGTCGAACAACTGCAGGACCACAAGCTTTTTGGTGCAAATCAGAGTGTTATTAATGAGAAAAAATGAAATTAGGAGGGGGGGGGGGGGCACTGCTAGAATTTTACCGATTATTCCACAAAATTGCCAATAATTCCCGTTTTAAAAATCATGCCGGCATATTCCGCGGAAGCCTAGCCACAGGCATGTGTGCGCATTTATCACTGCTGCTGCAGAACGGGGGTGGGCTGCACTTCAGGCTAGCGATAGTCTTATTTTCAAAATTTCAGCACCTTTGTTCTTATCCTGTGCTCATACATTCACCTGGTGCAGATACACTGTACTTACGACAAGTGCGTACACGTGTCTGTGGCCGGTACATGATGGATACAGAGTTGCATGCCAACCTGACTGGTAGTGCTACTTCAAAATACTACATATCAAACCATGTGACATGCCATCTCGCGTCCGGATAGAAAATGCGAATGGAACTGTACTGTACAGTACTGGCGGGCGCCGAAGAACAAAACAGGCGATAGTATTCTCTATTCTATAGTGCTTGGAGAAATACTTCGATGATGTTGAGCATGCTATAGGGCAGCTCCATTCTTGATATGTTGGCACTCAGTGAACGCCAGCATGAAGCAATGTCTTTTGAATTTGCACGCCCGCAATGCTGGCAACTTGTTCTTGAGAAGTAAATGTACAGACAACATGGTTTTTTCATCAGTTTGTTTTGCTTGTATCTACTGATGTTGCGAGATAGCTTGACAGGCAGAGCTGCATGGAAAATGCTTGGTTGCTTCATCAATGATTACTTCTCTTTTAAAAGGACCGCCTGGTATCTTTTTCGAAAGAAATGTCGTAATTTCTTCTCATACCCCTTCCCCGCTGCGAACACGCGTGTTTGCTGACTATTCACATGGTAACATTCAGTCACGAATTCCACTGATGAGTGTGCTGTGCAAAACCCTCATGACTTCGTTGATGTGTGGTGATGACGGCAGAATTATTTATCCTATTTATTGCTATTTATTCACACGGTGGCTATACTCTATAGATATTTTTCTAAAGCACATGGATGTGTATTTGTGTTGCTTTGGCGAAATTGCTATTATGTATATGCAGGCCACAAGACATCATTGTGTTCATGATTGGTGGTATCACGTATGAAGAGGCATTGGCAGTCTACAATCTGAACAAGACGGTGCCTGGCATCCGAGTCTTGTTGGGCGGCACTCATGTACACAGCACGCAAAGGTGAGTGCTGTGCACAGCATACACTCCACTCTCCCTGCTACTACACAGAAGTACAGTTATAATACAAGTACAGTAGGTATCGGTTATAGCGTGGGTGTTTGAAAAAACGACTTTCTATTCTTATTTCCGATATTTCTTACACACGATAAATCAAGTGTGACATATCATGTGCATGTGCGCAGAGGCAGGAAGATCATAGTACATACAAGGTAGTGCTACTGTGCATGCGGCTGGTCACAGTCACATAGGCTTATCATGTGGCTATGCAACATGAGTTACATGACCACAATAGTCAATAATTGAACCTGCAGCACTACGACCCAACGCGAGTCAGATCAGAACTGCTTTGGACGGATGTTATTACTACAGGCGATATACTTTGTACTGATCTGGCATGTTTCGCTACACAAAGTCCATTCTTAGGACCGATATATTCTTCTGTATGATAAAATTGCTTGTAAGAATAAATGTGCACATGAAATCCATGTTATGATTATGAAAACATGAGAGTTCATTCTTGTAGGCAGTATATTCTTTTACACGACCACGCTATAACCGATACGCACTGTACTTTGTTCTCATTAATTTTTTAGTCTGTCAACCATACTCAAGTTACCATTACTCAGCCGTAGTAATGACCTAGCTGGTGAGCTTGGGCCGGCTAATGTATGTAGATTCGCGTTGTTTATTGTGTGACTATGAGAGGGTGTATGGCCCTTTGGGTGTAGGATGGGAGCAGACCCGTACATACACACACTTGGGTGTGTACTATATGTAGTGATGCGCGGACGCACACACAATTTCGTTCTTGACCAGAATCGGAGGTGCTCCATCCGATGAGAAGGCAGCATTGCCTGTGCCCATGACAAAGTTCGAGGAAGATACGAACTACTACTACTGAGTACTTGACGCAATCTTTATTAGGAAACTTGAAATGGAGATGTGAAACACAAATACAGCCATGTAGATGGAGCAGCAATGCAATACAATGTCCAAAAACTCAAGAATTCATTATCATGGGACAATGTTGGGCAAATGTCTGTGAGGTACTATCACGCTCAGGCTGCCCGCAACCTGCACATCGTCGTGAAGTTCATCCTGTTGCGGCGGTAAGACGATCTTGAACCACGCAAACAGGTGACTGCCCATCGCATAAGGCAGAATGACAGCTTACAACGGAGCTGACCCATGATGACCGATACGTGTAGGTCGACGTTCTTCTCTGCAATCAGGCATGCTAGTGTCTTCAGTGCCATTGAACATTCTCTGCCAATCATGCCCGAGGTAGAAAAAACTAGAGGTGTAAACGTACCTCTGTCCACTGCTGTCACCCGCTCTCCGTACTGGCGCTTCTTCATCCGTTCATGCGTTCGGAGCTGGCTGATGACTTCCTGACGCGACAGCAAGCTTGCCTTTGGGTGTGTAACCCGGATGTCGAAAAAGGCATCTTGCTGTCTCGTCCAGAAGCCACAAGCCCGGATGTCCAGGCGGGCACCTGCCGAGCGGTTGGCTGTCCTCCCTTGGAGCCGCTCACCATCATATGGTAGTAGAGGCGGTTCTACCTCCACATCCCGGACCGCCTCACGCATCACGTCAGCCAACAATTCCCGGATCTCGTTGTGGCGTGCCATGGGGTAGCCCCCTGCCGGACACATCATCGCATGGTCTATTGTGTTTGCAGCACCACATACACAAGTCAGGGGGAGTCCGTCAGGCTGCAGGCCGTAGCGGATGCAGAACGCATCTCGGAAATCTGATTTGTTCAGCACCATCTGCCTTTGGGACGATGGTTCCGCCGTTACCCAAGATGATACGCCCTTTTCCGCGGCATTCTCCACTAACAGCACCTGTGTTGCTGTCAAATCCGGGCGCAATTCGCTAACGAGACGCGTGGCTTGGGTAGCTCTCTCTCTGCGAATACGCCCGGCCTCCTGCCGGCTGAGGGCTATTGCCTCGTTCAGCTGGTCTGTTTGGGTAGTTTCGTTGGTGCTTGTTGGATGTGCCGGTGGTCTTATGCAGGCCGCCACAGGAGCCACAATCTGTCTGGATGCAGAAAACTCTTTCTCGGCCTCCACCGAGGGCACAGGGATTGCCATGCCACCAAACCGCGCTGGTAGCGATAGCAACTATCTCAGTGCCGACTCGTCCGAACACGAATGGCCGCTGAGCGCTGGCAGCAGCTTGGTCGTAATGGCGGCGTCGAGACGGGCCAGAAGATTCGCAGGGCAAGATAGGACGCGCAAGTGGTACCGCCACTTGGACACGAGGCCCTTTACAAACACCTCGTACGCAGCATGCGGCTGAGTGGTGGCCACCTCCGCCAGGCGATCAACCTGCAGCGTCCACTTGTCGATCAAATCTGTGATATACTCCGGCTGAGTACTACTACTACTACTGCTACTACTACTACTACTACTACTACTACTACTACTACTTGGAAGCGTGTTTTTATTATGTTTTTATTGACCACATAAAAATAATGATGATGGAAAGAAAGAACACCGGAAAACATAAGGCTGTATTTGAAAGTAGAAGAGAAAAATAAAGAATAAAAGAAACCTGACCACTACTACTACTACCAAGAGTATATAACCCCCAAGAGTGTGCAACTCCTGATACCCTTTCTATGGGGTACGCCGACGGCAAAAACTCACATCACGTGGTGCAGTGTCGCAGTTGTACGTTCCCAGCCCGTTTTAGCGAGCAGCGGAGTACTAAAAAAAAGCACTCTCTGACAGAAACTCACTGCGCGTATGCAAATCCCCAGCATGATCACGGCAGATTTTCGGATTGCGCGCACGCTATCCTACGTTTGTACGTAGTACAAAGGTATCTGAGACACGTGATGTGAGTTTTCGCCGTCGGAGACCCCATATGCAGAGTTGCACACTCTTGGGGGGGTTATGTACTCTTGCTACTACTACTGCTACTACTACAATGACACTGTGTTTACATTTCAGTACATAATGGGCTTTTGAGTGAGGCTCATTGTGATGTCTTGTCTTATGTTTGTTTGCCGTTCAGCTTCTTGGATGAAGTATCAATTTCTGTTTACGGGCGTTCCGGCCGAGAGCAGACTGTATAGCGATGGTAAGGTCTATACCACACCGGTATGATTTGAGGTTGCTATGTGTCACCCGTACTTGGCTTTGCAGCTGCAGCCAATCACTTTCACATTCTTTACATGTAGCTGCTATGTTGGGTGTACCATATTTTTGCCGTCTCGTCAAGAAACTCCAGGGTTTCCCCTGATCTTTATCACATGCTCACTCTTTAGTTAGTGGTATGCACACCAATGTGCAGATCCAAATTTGATAGTCAAGGTTTTCTTTTCTCTTTTTTTGCTGGCTGGCTATCATGCACTCGATATTGCTTGCTGCTATCTTTTCCGCAAAATTGGCAGGACCAATTTGCTGTCTCCTCCTCTAATCATGTACTTCTGTGTGACCTTGTTGGCACGAAATCTTCCCCCATTCTCATTACTGCACATGACTCCCCATCCATCCTTTAGTTATTTGTTACAGGTTTGCCAAGTGATTTATACTGGTGGCAGTTCTCTCCCCGTTCTTGGCCGTGTACAGCTATTTTGAATTTATCCACCATCTCTATAGTTACTAACATTTTATCTTGTTGTTGCAAATTTTCTGTTGTTTTCTTTCTGTCTTTTTGTTTGCAATACATATTATTTTGATGGGGGCTCACCCTGTCTTCAGTAGTGGTGTTATTTTTCGGTTGAGATTATAGGTTTACCACACTGGTTCCGCACCTTGTAAGCGTGCCTGCATGTGTGTGTATAGTGTGTAGTTACAGAGTATAAGCTCTCCAAGAGTGTACAACTCTGCCTACAGGGTCTCCAACGGCGAAAGCTCACATCACGTGTTCCAAGTACGACTAACTTGTACTACGCGTATGCGTACAGCGAAGGCTAGGGTGCGCACGGTCCTTGTATTTGCCATGGTTATACATGTACTGATGTCAGTGATCATGGTGATGACTCGCGTAAGCTGATTGGGTCTCTGTTAGGAGTGATATTTTTTCAACTCTACTGGCCGCTAAAAACGGGCAACTACACCACGTGATTTGAGCTTTCGCCGTCTGCCGTGAGTGTACCCCATAGAAAGGGTATCCAGAGTTGCACATTTTTGGTAGCTTGAGTACTCTTGGTTACAGGCGTACAGCCATGACCAGTCCAGTGTATGGTTCCCTTGCCACCTTATGATTTGGCCGTGAACGTACTATGTCGGTCTAATGTACCGTGATTATTAATACGCTTCACGATGACTTGAACAAACGAAAACTTGCGGTGGGCTGCCCGGTACATGGTGCATATAGCGCATGTGGAATAATAATATATGCGGGGGGAGGTGTTGTTTTTTTTGGGAGCTTTCTGGGTGCCTTGATCGGACTTCGGCGGAGTCTGACGCGAACCATGAATTTTTTCTTCTTTTTCTGGGTACAGTAGAGACGCGCGCTGTCAAGAACGTAACATTGTCTCCAAGGTTTGTTAGCCTGGGACGTTCGTATTTTTCAGCAATCTAGCTGCGTTCTTAGAAACAATTCAGAAGGCGGACGCCGGATCAAACGTATCCCAAAAGCTACATGCCGGTAATATGGCGTGTTCACAACTTCTCGGGCACGAAACTCTGCTAATACAATGTAGTATAATTGTATTACTGTTAACATGTTATGTAGTCCTGATACATGGCACGTCACATGCATTTGAGGTAATGATTATGTAACTATCTGTTGAGTTACATCCAAGGGTAGTTGGTGTGCCATTGCCCATTGGGCATGATCACGCCAGGAAAAAGGCAAAGAGGCTTTCGTCATAAAATCATCCACTCATTTTAGAGAGGTTCTGCAAAACGAGAATGTGTACGAACTTCTCTACGAGCGCACGTCACATAGTGAGAAACTTCGCACGAACTTTCGCAACTACGTGCACTTGGCGCATGCAAACTACGAAAATGTGCAGAACACAAAGTTCGTGCGAAAAAGAAATCGTGGATCAACGAAACCTATACAGTAATTACGTAAGAGTACGAGGTGATTTGGCTTTTTTTAACACTTGGCATTTTTTAACAAATGTGTAAAATTTGCTTTTCTTCTGGCTGTTTCTCTGCTCCGGATGGCTGTATCGAAACATGGGTGGTGGCAAATGGGAGCCAGTTTATTGTAGATCAACATTGACCAGAAAATTTGGTGCATATAATTTAATTCTCCCTGCCACGTTGGTATAACTAGTGGTGGGTGCTTTGCCATTTTGTGTAAAATGTGTAAAATGAGCCCCTAAATGGACGAGGAGGGCAGTGAATTGCTTCCGCAGGGCCTTTGGACGACGTCAGGCCGTCTTGCCATCACTAGAGACAGTAATGAAGAACAGTAGGTCACGGAATGCACTCTGTGAGCCTAGTGTGAGGACGAAAACATCGCTGCGATGCTATGCTATCTATCCAATTCCACCGTATAACACAGCCACTAGTTGTATGTATGTATGTATGTATGTATAACTCATAATCACAAGGTGATCGTAGAGGCATTAATCAGCGAGAGAATTGTGAATGATGTCTCTGAATCCAACTCTATCGTGTGCTGCATGAGAGAGAGCATGCAAGGGAAGACCCGTCCAACTTTTAATGTTAGAAATCCATGATGTTGCGGGCCTTCCTCTCGGTCGAGATCCAGGAGTTGATCCTTGCAGGAAGGGCTTGGAGAAAACGTCATGTCTCGTAACATGGCCAAACCACATCAACTTAAATTTCTTGACTTCGTTCGCTAGCCGCATCCTTGCTCCGATGATGTCATTGATTTCTTCCAGGATAGATTGGTTGGTACGCCGGTCGTGGTATGTTACTCCTAAGAGTCGGCGGAAGCATTTCATCTCGAAGGATGAAATTCTTCTCATTGATGAGGCAGATAATGTCCAAGATTGGCATCCGTATAAAACAGTCGCTAGCACAATAGACCTAACAAAACGAAATTTAGTAGGCAAAGAAAGTGATGGCGATTTCCAAATGAATTGAAGCTCAATGATCTTTTGCTTCCCTAGTGCTAAGCGTCTTCTTATCTCCACATCGGACTTGCCATCCGACGTGATTACGGCACCTAAGTATTTAAACTGGGATACCTCTTCTATTCGCTCATTGCCTACTTGAATGCACCCCAGATCACCACCGCCCTCCGGCGCTGCCATTGACTTGGTCTTGGAAGCATTGATCTGCATGCCTAGTCTTGTTGCACTCGTATCCACGTGCTCGGTCAGGTCCATCAGCTCCTCCACAGACGATGCGATTAGATCTATATCATCCGCAAAACGTAGGTTGGTCACGCACATGCCGCCGATACATACTGACCCATCAAACTCCTCCAAAGCGTCAGACATGATGTACTCCAGGAATACGTTGAACAGACAAGGCGAGAGTAAACAGCCCTGCCTGACACCCACTGACGTGGTGAACCAGTCGGTGATAGTGGATCCAACAACGATGGCAGCTTCAGTAGTAGCGTAAAGCGCTTCAATCAGGTCCACAATTCTTGCTTCGATGCCATGCGCTCTCATAATCTTGAATAGCGCTTTGTGCCAAACCCTATCAAAGGCCTTACGGAAATCGATGAAGCAATGATACACAGCCTGCTGATGGTCCCGGTACTTTTCAATTAACATTCTGAGGTTGAAGATTTGCTCCACTGTGCTTCTTCCCTTCCGGAACCCTGCTTGCTCGTCCGCCAGCAAACCCTCCACTTGCGGCTGCAGGCGCTTCAGCAAGATCCTCAGTAGCACTTTGCTCGGATGACTGATGAGGCTCACTGTCCTGTAGTTTTGGCACTGCCGAAGGTCTCCAGACTTAGGGATGGGAACAAGAATGGACCTTGTCCATGATGTTGGCCATCTACCATTCGTCCATACGAGGTCACAAATCCTGTGCATAACAGCCACCAACGTATCTCCACCATGTCGCAAAAGCTCGCCAGGAATGTTATCAAACCCCGCTGATTTGTTGTTCTTGAGGGAGTTGATAGCGTATTCGACTTCGGTCCTCAGAATGGGATTGTTGTTGGCATTATCTGATATGGCTGGAGTAACGATTGCGTCAAGGACTTTATCATCTACGTTCAGGTCCACGTTGTACAAAGATGCACCGTACTCACACCACCGCTGAGCTACTTCTTCCTTTTTCGTTAAAGTGGATCCGTCTGCTGCTTTGATCACCTGCATTGCTGATCCTGATTTCTTGCTGCATAGACTCTTCAGAGTTTGGTATGCTCCGTGGGGGTTGTGGTTGGCGATGTCATCTTCAATTGACTTGCATTTATGTTGTAGCCAATTCTCTTTGTCTCGTCGGATTAACCGCTTGGTCTCCCGATTCGCCACACGATACTCTTCCTGTGCCGCAGCAGAACCAAAGCGGCTCCCTCTCAATTGTCGGCGCGTATCACACTGCCTTAGGCATTCATCTGAGATCCATGGCTTTCTGGGCTTCTGGGTGGTTCCTAGGATGGAAGTTGCCGCCTCCGTCAAGATGTTGTTAAACTTATTGACAATATCATCTGCATTCTCCATCTCCAGCAATGGACGGAAACGACCACCAATCTCTGTCTGGAATGTCGATCGTATTTCTTGATTATTAAGTTTATTGATGTTGAATCTCCTCCTGAAGGACGGGGGTTTGAAGCATCGCTTTAGCTTTAACTTGATGCCCATCAGCACAAGGTCATGATCACTCCCCACATCAGCTCCTGGGAACGATCGGGTCTTCCCAGCCAACACACTGCTCTTGAAGCGCTGGCGGACGATGACGAAGTCGATTTGATTATGATACAGGCCGCCAGGAGAATGCCACGTTGTCATGCGGGATGTTTTGTGGTTTCCAAGAGTGTTGGCAATAAATAATCCATGCGCCTGACAGAAATCCAGTAAATTTTCTCCTCGATCATTCCTCACCCCGCAGCCGAAACGTCCAACTGTGTCCTTCCAATTACAGGATGCGTCCTTCCCGATCTTTGCATTAAAATCGCCCTGCAGTATGAGAAAGTCCTTCCTGGGAACACCGTCTACCAGGTCTTCTAACTGCTCATAAAAATCGTCGATGTCCTCTTCTGAACTAGCTGCAGTCGGGGCATAGGCTTGGATGATTGTTACATTAAATGGATGTGCTTTCAAACGCATTGTAATGAATCTGCTGCTAATTGGTGTACACTCCATAACACTTGAAATAACGCTCTTGTGTACTAGGAATCCAACACCTCTTTCGTGGCTTGAATCTTCGCCGCAGAACCAGAATTTGTTTCCCTTCGCTGTTGTTTGTTCTCCAAAGCCAGTCCATCTCGTCTCCGCCAAGCCGACAATATGCCATTGGTACCTATCCAGCTCGTACTCCAGCAACTCCAAACTTCCAGGTCCCCGAAGTGTCCTAACATTCCATGTTCCTGACGAAAAAACGTCCTTTGAAAATTTCAAATTTTCAAAATTCCCAAGGTCCTCCCTGCATCTCTCTCTCGCAACATTTCTTGCTCTCATTCACAAAACGTCTCACCTATAACGTTTCTAGGGCTGAACAAACGAAGCAATTGCCTTGGCGGTGCCCATATCCTCTCCAAGGCCTAACAAACGTGGAGCTAAAAAACTCCCAACCGCTCTGCTCCGCAGTCTGAGTGACAAAAACACGGCTTTCGCAGCATACAATGCAGTTCACTCCTCTGTTGACAGATTAATTTTCATCCACTAGCAATCCTTGAAGTGATATCTATCAACTAACTTCAGAACATTGATGACCGAATATCCCAGTTTCTGATGCCATTTTACAAATGTGTTAAAAAATGACACACCAATTATTTGAATCCTGAGAATACTGTGAAAGTGGGACATGATTCAAGACACTTTCCAAAGTGGGATCATTCCCATTTTTGGACACAACGGGCATGAAGGATAACACTTCCACTTGCAACAATTCATTTGGACGTAGCTTGTCTTGAAGTGTCTGAAAAAACGTCATTTTACAACCATGTTAAAAAAAGCCAAACCACCTCGTACTACAACATTGTTTGTAATTGTAGTGCTGATCGTTACCTACCTCACGAGTACATGTACAGTCAACTTCGCACGACTGCGGATATAACGACAATTCGCGAATAAGGACAGAATTTCCATGCCTAGAGCAAAGTCCCACCCCACTGTAATACATACATGTCTGTCCCTCCAGAAACTTGCGGAGACATTTCGGAAATATCGCGGAAAAAGTTGCGAGGTAAAATGCCACAAATTGCGGGGAATATTGCGGATTTTGTCAAATATTGCGGGATTATTGTGGTAAAATTGCGGAAATTGCGGCCGATTTTGGTACTTGTACTGTAGTGGTGTACGATGTACGAGTCGTACAGCATAAATCATGCATGACAAAGCAGAACGTACGTGTGCTGCGCTGACTGCGTTCAACTGCAAGACAGCTTTCCTCCATCCTAGGACAACACTCGACGCGAGCCTTATTTCGTGACTTGTCAGCCGCTGATTTGCCCAGAAACTTCGACATTCTGGTGTCGATCTCACAAGTAAACTACTGACGAGCTTGAAGAACTAAAGAACATCGAAGAAAGACCCCAATATCGCGGTTGCTTTTCGAAATATCGCGGTGTTCAAGTATCAAGGACAGTTTTCTACAATAACGCGGATGATTTTTCAAATATCGCGGATATCACGGACTTTTGTTCAAATCGCGGAAAACAACGCGGCCGCGGAATCGCAAGTTCCTGGAGGGACAGACATGTATAATGAGACTTCGGGTATAACCATGATAACGACACTTCGCGAATAAGGACGCCTTTTTGATGCCCCGCCGAGTGTCTTTATAAGCGAAGTTGACTGTAGATCTACATGTTGTAGATGTACGGAGATTCAGGGACAATTCCAAAGAGCACCTTGTTGGGAAAGCCCAGACAAAAGTTACGTAAACACACACAACACAAGACTTTTTCTTTGGATTGATGTGGTGGCTTTGAAAAAAGCCGGTTGTGCTTGGGTTTGATGCCCTGCTTGAGACAGAAGCGATCTATTTGGAGCTAGTGTACTTGGTGACAGCCTTGGTACCCTCGCTGACAGCATGCTTGGCCAGTTCACCGGGCAAGAGCAGACGAACAGCGGTCTGGATTTCTCTGCTGGTGATGGTGGACTTCTTGTTGTAATGAGCCAAGCGGCTGGCCTCGGCAGCGATGCGCTCGAAGATGTCGCTGACGAACGAGTTCATGATGCTCATGGCCTTGCTGGACACACCAGTGTCGGGGTGCACCTGCTTCAGGACTTTGTAGATGTAGATGGAGTAGGACTCGCGGCGACGACGGGTGCGCTTCTTCTTTTCGCCTTCGACGGCCTTCTTGCTGGCCTTGCCCGAGGCAGTCTTTCCTTTGGCTGCGACTTTAGCAGGCATGTTGAAGTAAGTTGAGAGAACAAAAAGCTCCAAGCAATCAAACCACAAAGTTGATAAGCTGTTGATGTTGCTTGACCGCGAAATCAATTTATTGAAGATGCACAACAAGTTTGAAGTGTGAACGCGCCAAGGTGACGACCTTGGAGAACACGGTGATTATCAATGTTGCCTTGGTGATGGAGAAGGCGCGCGAACATTCAAACTACATACAGCCGAGGCCTGGTTGATCTACGTAGCTACGTGCACAAAAGGCGTGAGGTCGAATGCGAGTGCGAAAGTTCAATCTTCATTTCGCACATTGGATGTGATTTCACCAGCCCAGGCCGGGCTACTGGCAAAGAAAGTGTTTCTTCGACGATCGGGTCCCCCATAGCCTAGACCATGTGCCCGAGTTCTCTACACATCAATGACAATGATCATGAAACATTGTTTCAGTTTCCTGCAGTTTTCTGATTACTACAGTGTACAGTTAGTTAGTTCAACAAACTCACTGACTGCATGTATCCAAGTCCACTGACGCTGAGCATGGTCAGCTTGGTGTGCACATAACCAGGATGTACATGACTGTAATATTTTGCTACTCCCTACAGTCCATTTCAAAACTATAGACGCGTAGATCTACCTAGGCAAAAACCGTTATGCCAGCATCTATACCACATAAAATCTGTGATCACTTTGTGCATAATTTTTTTCCAAATTGGGCGTCTGTTATCCAATCGACTATCGTTTAGAAACTTTATGAGAGTGGAGCGGACCTGAGCAATATATTAAATATTCCGAAAACTATTCTCAAAAAAGCTTCAGCCAAATTTGAAATAATTTCAAAAACCCTACGGCGTCTATAGTTTTGAAATGGACTGTAGTTATTACTCTCCGCACAGATTCGCTGAAAGCCTGAATGAAAAAGGCTGAGGAAATTTCAAGGTTTCTGCAGTTACACGATTGTATTACTGTCCAGATAAGGGAGTCATGAAATCCTGCAAAAAATGGCAGAGTTTTGCGCAGTACATGGTGGCAATCACAATCAAGTTAGTAGTATAGTTCCAGGGAGACAGAACTGTAGACTGACTGTTACATGTACAGTGCTGGCAACTGAAATCCGACTCCCTTGGCGGCGCGGCAAGGGAGTCGGATTTCAGTTGCCAGCACTGTACATGCACTACAGCCTGTGCAGTGCAGGAAAGCCTGATCATTGTCAACCTGTACACAGACAGTGCACAGTTATGTAGCACTTCCCAGCCAGTGACATAAACACCAAGTTGATCAAGCATATCATGGCTTGCATCAAGACTCCACTACCAGGACTATGCAACCGTGTGGATAGGTCAGTGTGCGGGGTGATGCCTTCACTACGTAACTTGCCTGCAGCATACCCTGTTACGGCTGCATCCATGCACCAAAGTTGACAACCTCTCGCAGTAGCACGCCTGGGTTTCCTCGATTTGTGCGAGTACAGATGCAAACTCGAAGCACCGAGAGGCTCATGGCTTTTCATGAAGTACTATTAGTACCATTTTTATCATTGATTGGTATTATGTAAAAATAATTGTAGAAAACTACTGGTAGATGCATGTTGTGATACTTGTATAATGTATGCACCAGCAATATGCAAGCAGCAATGAATCAGCAAAAACCTAGCCATGCCACCGCACCGCATAAACTTGCTCAAAAGAAGGAACGCAAAGAGAAAAATAACGTTTCTCGCCGACTCTGCCGGGAAAGAGACACCGTGATGCTGCATCATAGATTCTACTGTACTTGAAGTACAACACGGACTGCTTACAAGGAGAAGGCATTCACGGTTCTGCCCTGTCAGATTGAGAACTCAGTCAACAGTAGTGGACAGAGAGTGTCATATATTGGCTTTCAGTTCGGTTAGTTTTCGCACCAAATCTCATTGACTATTTGCTTGCCCGCTGGAAGAAGAACTCACAGAGTGCTCATGCCGTGTATGGAGACATGCATCCAGGTACGCCCACGCAATCTCCTTGACTACCGAGCGATCGGGCACAGTCTGCGCCATGCCGTAGATTGCCGCTGCGCCTGTGCTTTTGGCCATTGGCTCGTTCATGATCTCTGCACAGCACTCTTTCAGGTCACTGATGAATGCTTCGGTAACACCTTCGCGAGTATGTCGCAGTGTGCAGCATATGTGGATGGCAGACGGGAACTGCAGGCTGTTGATGTTCCAGCCACGCTTAGACAATGCTGCTCCAAGACGATAGATATCAAAGTTGTCAGAGCCGAAGGCTACCACCGATACCTGTGGTTGACCATACACAAACAAGCCTGGGATCTGACGTGCTGCCTTCTCTATGTCCCTGGCTACTGTGCATATTCTCTTGGTGCTCTCAACGTAACCGTGGTGACCCATGAACATCATGGCTGCCCAGCAGGCTGCAATTATACCACCGGATCGACTGCCAGCAACGGAAGGGGAGGCATAAATTCCACCCTGCCAATCTGGTGCTACAAAGTACTGCCGGTGACGCAACTCTTCACTAGAATACATTATAATTGATGAGCCTTTCGGTGCAAAACCATACTTATGCGTGTCAACTGAAATGCTTGTGACTCCCGGAACACGAAAGTCGAAGGGTGCAACGGGACCAAATCCGGCTTCTTCCAGGAACGGTACTAGGAATCCACCAAGGCAGGCATCAACGTGCACTCCAATACTATACTGCACACCAAGTGAAGCAATGCTCTCAATGTCATCAATAATACCATGTGGATACTGAGGAGCCGAGCCTACAAGTAGGATGGTGTTCGACGTGATTGCACGGCGCATTGCCTTCATGTTGACCATCCGCGTGTCACTGTCAACTGGAACGTGCACAAGCTTCATGTGAAAGTAGTCGCATGCCTTGTCAAACGCAGAATGTACGCTGATCGGTGCAACAATTTCCGGCTTGGTTATACCACGCTCGTTGGCCAATTGTCTGTACGCCCGGCAAGCCATGATGATGCTTTCTGTACCACCTGATGTTACACACCCACATGCCTCTGCGCCACCGTGGTACAAGTTGACTATCATGCGCACTGCCTCGCCTTCCATCTTACGTACGCTAGGGAAAACGTCTGGATGGAGTGGATTGGACCAGGCGAACAACGAGTACACCTTTACCAGCATGTCATGCAGCTCATCCGAGTCAAAATACACAACACCGGAGACGCGACCCTCACGCCAATCAGTCCCGGCTAGCATCTTCTCCATGCTGTCCACTCGCTCAAGCACTTCAACCGTGGACAGACCCTTCTCAGGCAGAGAGTTCGTGAACACCTCGCCAGGTTTAGGCTGAAAAACGTCATCATCGCCGACCTGTTTCACCACCTTGGCCAATTTTCGTTCTATCATTGGGCCGACAACCGGTGCCACACGAACAGTAGCGAACACACAGTCCTTCGCTCTAACCCACAAGGACTTATCTTGCCGCAGGAACGACCAAAGCTGCGTAACCAACAAAACGATGGCAGTTGTGTAGGCGATCAGTTGCACATCCGACATTTCCGTGTCAAGATTGGATACCAATAGTATAATGTCTGAAAGAACACTTTCGCAGCAAGCTTTCAACAACTCTAGGTCGAGCAGCTTCGCGACCATTTCCAGCAGATCCATAGTGCCTGGTTTTGATAGTCGAACTGGGGAGAAAGGTTTTTTTACATAATCATTATACTCTGTGGTTCTTGACAGTAAAATACACAACTATCTAGTACTGTTACATGTGCTGTAGTTACTTCCGGAAATTCCAGGCAGAATCTTCTCTTCTTCACTCCGCGAGCTACACGTGCACATGTACTACAATGTAGCTGTGGACAGCGGCGGAGCGTTGGAGAGTTCTTCTCGTCCAAGCAGCTGATACTAGTGATAGCAAGAGTTATGTACTCTTGGTGATAGTGATAAGGTGAAGTCCAACTACACTACAATTATAGTAATTATTTTCTTCTTTGGCGAACTGTGCACACCCCGGCTCGGTACCCCCATATATACTCCGGACCAAGGTCCAAGGTGCAAATGCCCATTTTTCGATTCGAATCTCTCTGTCGACATGTCGTACATGTACGCGCGTACACGGACACATGTACGTGTGTCGTCATGACAATGAATGCACGGTGTCACTTCTCGAAAAGTGCTGATTTGTGGACTTTTGCGAAGAGACGGTCAGCCAGCACTACACTCACGAGTCACCATGGTCACAGTCTTGTACTCCCATCCGGCCAGCAGTAGTTCACTATGTCCAAGAGTACATGAAAACCATGTAGTCTTGCTGTGTAGGTGGTGCCTAGTGCAGTGCCAGAGGCGTCCATCAAAACGGTAGCGCCACGTAAGTCGTTCGAAAGTAACAGTTACTTCAATCAAAGCCCTGGTGGGGTTGGCTTTTTCTCTTCAAAGTTCAGGCAGTTTGCTTCCCCGACTGATCCTTTCAACCAATCAAAGTCAATGCCTATTAATTTTTATCAAGTTTTTGTAGTAGCTTTTTTTTTGTAGTTCTCACTCAAAGTAACTCCTTCTCACAATGTCGTTGGAGTTACCCTCGCCGAGAGTAGCACTATTAGCTACGGCAGGCGCTGTAGGGGTCGGTGCGTTGGCCTACTGGCTGTTGAGACGCAGACAAACGCCGGGTCAGAGGAGCAATGGTCCACGGGCTGGTGAAGTGTTGGGTCAGGTCAAGAGCATTGTCCTCTATCCCGTGAAGTCAATTCGTGGCATCGAAGTGAGCTCTGCATACTGTCTTAAGAGAGGTTTCAAGTACGACAGGCGATTTGTCATTGTTGATACCGCATCTGAAAACCCACCTGAGGGCACTCCAGGGAAATTCCTTAATCTCATCTCCACTCCTAAGTTGGCCAAAATACAACCCCGCATCATTGAAGTAGGTGACCGCTTCACTCTTGTTCTTCAAACTGAGGGCTGCGATCCTGTCGAGGTGCCTGAACCAGACACCGAGGGTTGTGAGCGCGTGTCTCTTCATGTTTACCGGACTGAGGGCGAGGCTTTGGATTGCGGCGATACGGTGGCACGGTGGCTATCGGCAATCCTGGGACTGCCGGGAATTCGGCTGTACTACATGTCCGAGGATGTCAGGTGTCGGATGATCGCGGAGGATCCGAAATGGGGGGATCGCGGCCGCCCTGGCCAGGAGACATCGTTTGCCAACTTTGCTCCGTACATGCTCTGCACTGAGCAGTCTCGAGTGGATATCAGTTCCAGAGTTGGACAGGAGTTGGAAATGGCACGCTTCCGTCCCAACATCATTGTCAGCAGTGCTCTGCCAACACCGTACCAGGAAGACAACTGGACTGATATTCAGATATCAAACGTGAGCTTCTACATGATGAAGAAGTGCGGGCGCTGTCCTATGACCACTATACACCCGCAGACTGGAGAGAAGACGGGGCCAGAGCCGCTAAAGACTCTTCGTGAGTTCCGCCTGGAGACTAGCGATGCACGTTACGCCAACTCGCCGATTTTCGGCATTCAGATCGGTGCTGAACAGGAGGGGGCGATACGTGTCGGCGATGACGTTGTTATGCAGTAAGACCCATGCTGCACTACAGTGGTCATGAGTGTGTATTCAGTATACGAATCTTTCTGCAACGGTATCGGCTAGCGGTGCAGGTTTTTTCAATGCTGTGCACTTCTCCAAAGACCCTGCCCTGATGATACTGATTTTGACTGAGACTTGTACAACGGAACTGATCTGACCATTGGAGGGAGACTTACAATGCAATTAGTAATTTGGCAGTATCATTGTCTAAGAATCATTTCAACAGCATAAAATACATATCCCGTGGCATACCGGCAAGTCATCGCTGACCAATTCAATTTTTAATTTACATGTACATGTACGTGATTGTACATTTACTCCAAATATTTCCCCAATTTTATTTTAGGACATTCTATCAGTGGCCGGCCGGGTATGGATAGGAAGTGTGATACAAAGATATGCCTGAAGTGTAGACATGCAATGGATGGCATTACAAATACCTTACCACTGGCCTTTTGGGCACTAGTATTCATTTCTTCTGGTGCAAGCCTACTCCTGTTTTGCTCAGTGATCCGATCGTGTGAGTCAAGTTTGCACCCTGCATCAGTTTACAATCCCAGTGTTCATAGGTCCAGGGCTGCACAGCACCCAGCGTGGCAGTCGTGACTCGCTCGATCGGATTTCATTGAGCAGTGCTGTGGTACTTGGCTTGGGGTCACACACGTCACACAAGTGAGATATGTAGATTATAGGTATGCGAAGCCATCATGGCGGTGTGGTGACCTTGCAAGTAATGCTCACCGTTGACCCGCCGCCAAGAAAGCATACGTGTCGTGTTGAGCATGCGCATGCCCCTGAACTAGTATCTCTTGGGCCGGGTAGGGGTACACCACACTGCTGTTCAATGCTGCAGCTCAGTGAAATTGAATTCTATCAGTATGGGTTGACTAGTTGGCCTGGGGTGCTGGTCCTGACTTGCAACACTGGGCTGTGGACTTGTGTGGTGGGTGCTAAGTAATTTATTAGTTATTTTAAAAACTTATAGGGCTTGAAAGTGATGACGTCAAAAACGGCCAGGGAGTAGTAAGTTGACATCAGATTTCTATTTTGGATCCACTAAGGTGTGACTTTGCTATTGCCTCAGTATGTGGGTGCATAGCAACCCACTCATGTCGTATGCAGGGGTGAATTTTACTTCGCCACCAGTTGTAACCCCGCCCCCAGTAGCCAAATCAGTCAGTTTCACTGGCTACATCACCTTGCTGTGAGTAAGACGGCTTGAAATGTGCTTGGATCCATACAAAAACTGGATCCGTGGATCCAGTTTTTGAATTTTTGAAATTGTTGCTATGCTGTGACGTAGCACTTTCAAGCCCTATTCCGTGAGATTGGATTTCATTGAACCACGCGGGGGGGGGGGGGGGGTACTAGCCGCTGTAGCAGTCTGTATTCGCACCAGATGTAGCTCTCTGCCGTCTGTAATTACACACCGGTTATTGTACATGTATGTCACACATTTTCACTACAGTGTGCATGCCATAGTCCTCAGTTAGTTACCTGCACAGTGCAGCCGCATTGAGTTGATAACCAGTCATTGACTTGTGGGCAATTATTTGTAGTGTTATGTCAACTAACTTATGTGTCATCCCCATTGCCATCATCTTCGCAGAATCTCAGGAATGACGCACAAACAGCAAATGACGTGAATCGTAAACAAGGTGCATGCATTGTGGATGCTAGGCGATGACATACTGTCATTGATGAAGTCTAGGACGGATGTGCTGACATGATCTGACTTTTCTGAGTCACTTGAAGTAGTTGAAGTAACCAGTAGAGTCTACCTACATGACTGTATAACATGGACATGATGCATTGATGGAGGCTACACGTACAGTACAACCGCTGTACATGCATGTATCACCAGATCACTACTGCAGACAGTACTCAGTAGGTCTACCGGCAAGAAATGTAAGCTCCATCGGTATGCCGATCCAAGGCCCTGTTACGTCTACTCAGCTCAGTGAGTTGAGTAGTTGTACTTGTAGATCTACCAAAAAGGCAAAAGTCCATGATTATTTTGAAATCCCCATATGGCCATGCATAATGCGCATGTTCACCATGTCATGTTGGGCCATGCGCCATGGCCTATATATATGGGCAGTGAAAAAAAATAATATTATTATTTCCTGGTTGCCTTGTTTTTATAATCATACTTCATAGTGAAAATAATTCAACTTCGAAGAAGATCCTGCTCCTCACTGACCTCAGTCCCTTCTCTTGCTGTGTCCTAGAGAAGCGAGGTCGTATTATCAAAATCTTGACAACACGGCAGGGGGGGCACAATGGGTGGCATTCGACGAGTGAAGCTTGTGTTCCAGAATGTGACGCAGATGGTGTTCTGTGATGGGCAGGCTCTGACTGCCGTTGTGGAAGTTGAAGTTACTGAGCCCACCAGGGTGCGCAAGGTGTCTGTCAATATTGACGGATCAGCACACTGCCGATGGAAGAGTGGCAATACCACGTATCGTGGTAACATGGCCTATCTCAGCGAGTGTGTGGTCGTTTGGCAGCCAAGTAAGAGGAAATACTAGTGCATGCACAAACGAGCATCGATTCACTGAGAACACAGTACCTTTTTTCCAACACTAGAGATCCCAAGTCTAGAATGCCTTCTCCTTTCGTTTTCTTACGAACAATTCACGTAGTTGAATGGAGAATGCGTGGGACTTCTAATCTGGGCATGTAAACAATGTAGCCACCTCCCATACTGGTCCTGGAGATGTCCTTGATTGGGCATTGTGTGCCCCACTCAGCCCCCAGTGCTCCTGTTGCATGCATGCGCCGTACTGGCTTGTATAGAAGCCCGTGAATAATGAAAGTCTGGAAATTATTAGGATGGACAGTCGTTTTAGCTTTTCTTGTAATTGTGCTAAAACCTGCATTGAAATACCAGGTTTGAATTCGTGCCAGACGAGCACTGACATCGGCTTCAACAGGAATGCACCCGGCACACGACATCACAGCATGCTGGGCCATAGTGATCGTGATATGTCACATAAAACTCAGTGTCGCCACTTGCGAGGAACATGATTTTGCTTTCAAACTCAACAAAGGTTCTTTGTCATGCACCTGCAGTCATTGTTCTACCTGAAGTGAGCCTGTGTTTTGCTTTTGCTTTCTTGGATTCTATTTTCCTCACTCTGGGATACTCATGGACAAGCGAATTGCTGAGTGAAAGGGGCTGGTCACTTTGAAAAAGCAAATCTGCAAGAACACAAGAGGCTTGGCGCTGCAGAGCAGTTGCAGCTGCAGCCATGACAATTTTCATTTCGACGATTTTGTTTTCAGGCAGCAAAAGGCTCTGGCTCGAAAGCAGTGGTGATACATGGATGACCATTATTCCCAATGGCTCTCGCGCGCACCAAGTGTACATGATTGTAGACGTCCAAAAACGACTCCTACTTCAATGCCAGCCAGGAGCGATAAATCAGCGATGTCAGTGGCAACAACCCATGGCGAAATACTCAATGTGTGGCGCACCAGCGAACGTCCATAGCAACATATGATACTACTGTCGTGGACATGGAAATCCAGTCGATTGACTGGGGCCTGCGCCCTCAGCGCGTACAGAACAGTGCACTGTAACATCCGATGCGACCAGCGCGCTGCAGCGCATAGAAATGTCCTGCATGTGTGTACTGCTTACCCACAGCTACATGGCCAGCGCCCTGGGGTCGCTAGACGTTCGACCGGATTTCCATGTCCACGACAGTAGTTGCAATTGCCGTTTGTTAGTCTATCACAAGCTCCATTTCGACATGTATAGTACGAAGAGATAGAGCCGAGTGGTCTGTCTTACTTCGTGTGTCTTCCCCTCTTTTGCTTATATCATGAGCGTCCCAAGTTGGGTGGTTGCTGTTGCATGCTCTTGAAGTGAGCCATGGCTGTCCTGTGCAGTGGTCCTCCGCCTTAATGTTACTGGTTTAGACTCAGATGGAGAGCCACGGATTAAAATTATAAAGTGAGGGAAAAAAGTTTACAAGTCATGCGGTCGTTGAATGTCAGCATCACATCAGTCAGTGTTGTGCTAATTCATGTTCTGACTCACTGGTATCTTACTTATAACTGTTAGTGTTGTGCTAATTCATGTTCGGACTCACTGGTATCTTGCTTATAACTGTTAGTGTTGGACAAACAACGCATGAGTTGTAAACTTTTAGTCCTCTCTTTTCAGTATTACCGGTTGTGTATACCGTACTTGTGCATGCGCAAGACCATAAAGTGCAGGTGGCACCATACGTGTGTACAGTACGCATGCATACATGACGCCTGATCATTGCTCATTCGTTTAATATGCTGTGTAATGTGCAGCTGTGCCTAATGAGATGCTGACTGTGGGTGTTCACCATTGGTCGTTCACATTCCGCTTGCCGCGTGGCCTGCCAAGCTCGTGCAACATTGGCTGCGGTGGCGTGTCTTATGAGGCTGCCGCTGTCGTGGACATTCCCTGGGGCTTTGACGTAGCACATCGTATACCGTTTGGCGTGGTGAAACGCATTGAAGTGAACACAACACAGCTGCGCGTAAGTTGTCAACTTTACAAAGTGCATGCTAGTGTGTGCTCACTCGGCTTGTTCAGGTGGGCTGTGTGCCTGCATACTGACCACTACGATGTCATGTATGATGGTCAGCATCTGCACTGAATGTATCCACGAGACTTGCCTCTGCAGCCTCTGCCCAGGCGTACGTAGCGTACTCGTACTGCCGTGCATCCCATCGTTGATAATTGCAGTGTATGATGGTTGATCAATGCCACGAGTGCCCTCGCTGGTAGTGCTCCTTGCGCATATCTAATGTCCAGTGCATACAAACCTATTTTTGTTACTTCAGCGGTCGATCACGAAGGCAGCTGAGAAAACGCTGTGCTGCTGCTGCTGCTCTCAAGGACCCGTGAAGTTACGTGCCACCATCAATAAACTCGGCTTCTGCAATGGAGACTCTATCGACCTCAAGTTTTCGGCGGAGAATAATACAGATCGTGAGCTGGGCACTTTGCGCGTCCGTCTCCTCAGGGAAGAGATTGCAAAGGTTCGCAATAACACCAAGTAAGTCTGTCTGGCGATGCCTCACTCTGGACACAAGGTTAGTCTGGCATCTGCTTCACTTTGCAGCGCACCGTGCCTGGAGGTCTTCCCTTCTGCTCCAATTAGTACCGTCATCTGATTGCTGGCGCTTGAGTCGGATTTGTTTTTGACTCTTGTGTCTGGACCCGGTCCGTATCGTACGTCACTGTGCACGCATGTGTGTGTGTGCGTGCGTGTGTGTGTGTGTGTGTGTGTGTGTGTGTCTGTGTGTGTGTGTGTGTGTGTGTGTGAGCTTCATAGCTGTGTGGTGTAGACCAGGCTGAATAGTGGCGGTCAATTCTTCAGCCTTGCAAGCTGTTGAATGGTGCAATCCCAGCACAAGCTGCTATGGCTTCTGCTGTAGCATCGCTATCATCGCCTCCGGCAATGGGCGTCCAATGGTGTGTGTGTGTATCTGTGTGCCTTTGTTTTCAGCTCGAGAACGCGTACGTGTCATGTGGCCACCACGCAGGAGGTGCTGGGTGCTCAGAGTAACATCAATGTCAACTCATTCAAGATCCCTGTGCGTGACCTGCCACCAAGTGTTGCAGCTCAAGTTGTCTTTGTCAAGTACACAGTTGAGGTCAGAGCATATCTTCTCTCAAGGCAGTTGTGTGGAAGAAGCTTTCACACCATATGCTAGTCACAAACTTGCTTACATTTCCATCACCAGAAGGACATAAACATTAAAATGTATGTTTTTGTGTGGAGTGGTGTTACATGTACAGTGCTAATGATGCCATTCACAACAACTCCGAAGATGACCTATTGATGTAGCCTCTAAAATCTAAGCATATCAGTGGATCGAATCTCAAAGTGTGTGTGCGTGTGTGTGTGTGTGTGTGTACATGCTGGTCTATTCGGTTGGTGTGAACTGGCAGGTGGCTATAGTTGTACCGTGGGGCATGAACTGTGTGTGCCGCTTCGACGTCGTTATTGGCACGATGGACAGCAGTGATGAAGATCGGCAGAATGTGGAGGAGCTCGTTGGCACACTGCTACGTGAGGCAGGACGCCGGGCTCACATCCAGAGTGCAGCACGCAATGAAGGCCTTGAAGAGGTAACTATAGCGCTCAGGACTTTTGTTAAATCGGGGCTGAGTCTTAGGTCCATATCTTATTCATTTGTATGAGCAACAAGGTTTTTAAGGGTATTGCACTCTTTGTTGTTGACTACTCAGAATTTCTTCGGTATGAACATGTTGAAATGGAGAAGATGGGACATACTAGTATCTGAGACTTTCCCTTGCTGCATTTATCCTTGCTTATCTCTTGGCAATGTGTTGTTCTTTTCATGGCAGCAGTAAATCTGGACTGGAGTACGGTTGTGGACATTGTTCTTGATAACACTAGTGTCTATTCTTTACCCTGTGCTTGTGTGTGTGTGTGTGTGTGTGTGTGTGTGTGTGTGTGTGCGCGCGCGTGTGTGTGCGTGTGTGTATGTGTGTTTTGTGTGGTGTGTGTGTGTGTGTGTGTTTGTGTGTGTGTTTGTGTGTGTGTGTTAGTGTGTGTGTTTGTGTGTGTGTTTGTGTGTGTGTATGTGTGTTTTGTGTGTGTGTGTGTGTGGTGTGTGGTGTGTGTGTGTGTGGTGTGTGTGTGTGTTGTGTGTGTGTGTGTATGTATGGTGTGTGTGTGTATGTGTGTGTGCGTGCATGCGCGTGTGTGTGAGTGTGTGTGTGTGTGTGTGTGTGCGCGCGTGTGCATGTAGGTTCATGAGCCTCCACCAGCTTACACCGACGCAGTTACTTCAAACTCTGAGACGCAACGCTTGGTCTCAGCAATGTATGACTAAGGTGTGACGCGTTATGTTACAATGTCACCCTGTCACAGCCCATGTGAACGTCTGCATTGTATGTTTGCTGCACCGCTAGCGTGTGCGTGTGTGTGTGCGTGTGTGCGTGTGCGTGTGTGTGTGTGTGTGTGTGTGTGTGTGTGTGTGTGTGTGTGTGTGTGTGTTGATGCCCGGATGTGTGTGCATGCTTTATTGTAGATGCCATTTTTGCTGAGCATGTGTACACTGTGCTGTATTCCGTTGGCATGATTGTCATAATTCACTATGCACTGGCCATGGTACTTTTGTGCCCCTCTGGGGTTGTGTATGTGCACTGAAAAAAGGGAAAGAAAAGGTTGCTGATACTGATCCTTTTTCAGTCAAGGCTTTTTCGGTGATTTTTTTCCATCTTTTATCACTTCTTGATTTCCCAAAACTTTAAAATTCTGTAAAATCCTTTTCAACCAGTATATTATGCCCTGTTGCAAACTCCTTTTACGCCATTGGATTTCTATGTATCCGTTGGCTGTGCAAGCCTTACCCTTCTTCAATGTTCACTCCCAAATGTTCTTGTTCTTAACTTCGTTTTCTGTTGACATTTAGATATGCTTGCTGGTCAAGCAAGCCGCACTTTGCACCTGCTATAATATATGCTGCACGTTAGCGCTTTAGCTCCCCTGCTCACTCTCCTAGCATGTGTCACACCAGTGGGTGTGAGCATGACTTCACTCTTTAGAATATATCACCATTTTTCCTAGGCTGTCAAGACTTAAAAGGCTTGTTTTTATGTGTCCTTGAGGTCTGATTGCTGCACCCCAGTGTCTTTATACTGTTTTATAGCCGTGGCCCTTCCTTTCTGCCTGTTTATGCCCCCTCTGTAGCAAGCTCTTTTGTGTGCGTATGTACATTTATGTGAGTCCCGGTTCTGGGCGCACTCGTTTCTCCGTTTTTTAAGCCTCTTCATTTGTTCTGTTTTGCTTGTTCTAGTGCTCTGGCTATCCTGTATTGAACTTGCGTGTGTTGTTGTTGTTTATATGCCATGCTTCACCAAACATTTTTTTGCCGTTGCGTGCCACATGCACACCGTGCCTGCTCGAAATCTGTTTTGTTTTAGGTCATGATAACTTACAGGTACATGTACTGAGGTAGCTTTTCCGCAGCAGCCCTGTTTTACCATGCACATGTGTGTGCGTGTGATTTGTCTGGCTGTGTGCTTGCGTGTGTTTTCTCGCAAAGTTGCTTTTTAAACCAGAGTGTGCGACTCCAGGAGAATCATCCTATGGCGAAGTCTCTTGGTCAGGTCATAGTGCCTTTGCTGCCTCTCATGCCGGTGCACATGGTCATTTTTACCCATCACCAAGGTAATTTCTGCTGCGCATAGATGCTTGTCATACAGAAGGTGAAAAACACCCGCGAACTTCCCGTGTGATGTAGCCCTGAACCTACGGTGTGACCAGGGTCCAGGGAACCCAACACATACCGGTGTCAAGAGTTCATAATTATGAACTCTTGCCGGTGTGTTTTGGGTTCCCTGGTCATACCATACATGTGTAGGACTCCCTGGGCATCGAGTTTTCTATGATTCATAACAACCTAAACACACAAGAACCAAAACGAAACAAAAATTCGCCATGGAATCGGTTTTATGAAGAGTTTTGGTTTTGTCCATCATTAATGTGGACCTGCAGACTCTTATAGTTTTCTGTACCCTTGCATGCCATGGTGGTTGTGAAACTGAATGTGTGCATGTTGATGCGTACTTGAATGGATGTGCAGCAGTAGGGTAAAAACATACATTTAATGTACTTAGTGGAGAGGCACTGGCATTCTCTTTCGGAAAGAAGGTAAAAAAAGTAACTTCTCATGCACAAGCATGCACAAAGGAAGACCTACATGTCCATGTAGAAGGAATGATGGCACCACGTAAGACTCGAGTGGATACTACAGAACTGGCCAAAGAAATCCAACCTCATGAATAGCATTGCCGGGCGCTATGCAGCCCTAGCACTACACATACTGGTCTGCGCCCTCGAACGCGGCGCTACTTTATTCATGAGGTTGGATTTCTCTGGCCAGCACTGCAGTAGAGGGGGTACATCCAATGTCGTGAAGATCATCCGTTCACAAGTGTAAAAAAATAAAACACTGGAAGTGCAGTGTTCTAACTTCTAAGAGGTAAAACAATCTTGTGCTATAGTACATTAGTAGTAAAGGCCAATGATGCAGTGATGACTGACAGGAGAAAAAAAGACTAAGGAAGAGTTGAAACTTGGTAGATGGCAAACAGTGAGCTACAAGTAGTTCAGCAATACAAACAGGAAACTATTAGGTAACATGAATATTGAAACAAATCATGCGAGTTGTTGGTAAAAAGAAAAGAAAAAGAAGGACGTTACTGACATGACATAATGCCAAGTGAAGACTACGACAAGACGTGGAAAACGAGGCAGTCCGGTAAAAGTGCCTGGAGGTGCTGTGACCACTCATGCACACAAAAATATACGACAAGTGATGAAACCGATGCTTAGTTCGTCCCAACAATATCGATGAGAAGTCTGCGGTAATCACCGCTGACTTCACTCTGCAGCCATTTGCCAATGGTCTTGTGGTACTTGTGAAAGAAGGCTTCTTTGATATTCTCCAAGTCAATCTGCAGGAGCACGTACAACACACATACGAACATGTTGCATAAAGTAAAGGTAGGAAATATTTACTGTACTTCCACGCATATAAGCGCATGGGCATATAAGTGAAAATTTGCTACAATTTTTTTTGCTGCGTGAACATGTTCGGGTAGAAGCCCATGCGCTTATACGTGCAATAAAGGTTTGTCTGTGTCCTAAACAACGGTGTTACCACAATGCTTAGCAGTATATTCAGCTCCCGGATGTTTCACCAATAGTGTTCACAGATAAGCGCATGCGCTTATGGGGGTGCTCTTATGTCCGGACATAAGCACATGCGCTTATACGTGCGGAAGTACGGTATGAGAGTATGAACTTCCCACCACATAGGGTGAGAGTGGAGCAGTGGTCCAGTCATTTCGGTTGACGACGAGATTCCAGAGGGTCATTCTGTATAATCCCCAGTCAGCACTTCGGTGGCACATTCATTCAGACTTGTATTTGAAGGATTCTCCGAAACTAAATGTAAATGGATACACATACTTATCATTATGCGAATATGATATTGTTCAAACATGGCGTAAACAAGAGAACACCTCATGCACAGCCCTACTATAGAGCATGTCCTCAGGTCCTTGTCTCTTCTGCTCTGCACAAGATGGCACAACAACAACACATACCTCTGAGCGGCTGACAATGGCGCGGATCAGGCCAGAATCATCGGTGCCCACTCCTTTCATTGCCGTGTAAATGCGTTCAGCAAAGTAGTCCGGCGGGTTACGCATGACCTTGACTGCATGGCACAACAGAGCAATCAGAACCATGCATCAAGTCGAGTCAAGTGCATCGTGTGTATCATTTGCAGCTTCACACAAAGTACTGGCCATGCGGCCACATGGTTGTACATGTACCTGATTTGTCCCTACTGTACAGGCAGAGAATTTCGTCGGTCAATAATTTCGTCCAACTCCAAAGAAAGGGAGTTCGTCCGGTTGAAAATTTCGTCCATGGATCACAAGAGTGCATTGAAAAGCTGGACAAATCAACATTAGTCCGGCATTTAATTTAGTCCAAAAACTCCTTGGACGAAAATGACGAAATTTTAATTCCAGACGTATATTTCTGCTTATAGAGTATTCCAGGCTAGTCAGTAGACTAGCTCAGTAGTCAGTAGAAGTAATAAGTAGCCCACTCTAATACACCTGATACACCGTCAGATAACACACTATGACGGAAAGAAAAAAAAAGTTGCTTTGCCATTCCATGCTATTGAATGAAAAGTGTGAACACTGCATCCAACATCCACCCACAATCAACTAAGTCCATTCAAATAAGATAACACAGTGCCGTTGTATTTCTAAAAGAAATTAGGCTTCCTGTTAACTCCTCTTTTCTCTGGAAAACTCAACACTTGAGTTGAAGTTGAAGTTAAAGAAAGTATCTGGCTTGCAAGTGCATACTAGTACTTCAAATTCTCCGTGAAGTCAAAACTTGAAATAATCCCGTTGGCTTTGAAAATCCGATTTTGGCCAACATGTTTGGGTTAGATCTGCCTCTCTATACACTGTACCACGTAAACCTGTCTGAGCTTGTAAAACCTGGACAAATGTCTAACTCCTTGTAACTTGATTTTTCCAACCTCAAGCATGCCAAGTAACAAAAGTACGGACAGGGTATGCGATACTCAATGCACAGTGCACCAGTGTGGAACGTGCAGTTGTTTCCACTATACACGTATCTCCATACCTGTATGTGTTTGAGACACAAAAACATTAGCTATTAAAGGCTGCTAGTTTGGATGTATGGACTGTAGTATGTTGCAACACGGATCTCGACACTTGAGACCTCATGTCTTTCATACGCTACACTGCCTCCCGTTGCTTCTACTGCTGCTTGTAGGGGGGGGGGGGGGGGGGGGGAGCATGTTGGTGATGTAGAGGTGACGTACAGGTACACGGCCATGGCGCTGTGTACCTGTGTTCTTTGTCGTAAGGCTATCACTTACCAATAGCAATCATGCCGGCTTTCAAGTTGCCGGACATTTCTCGGTCGATACTGTTCAGAATGTCACGCTGGGCAATCTGCAAATAACAGTCCAACACAAACAACACAAACAACACAAGCATTTACACAAGGAAGAGTTAGGCTTAGTGAGAAATGGGAACTTCCCATTCCCAAAGCCAGAAGAGAGAAAGGAAAGGCAGAGTTCACAGTCAAGTTGACATTCAAAAAGCGACGTGTAGCAAGTCGAAGCTTGACTTGTCAGGACTCATGTCAAGTCGTTTCCTTTTGCGAATTTCAATTCACAACCTACATACAATAGAGATTTCCACGTCACCGATCACAAACCTTCACGGGAGATTTCGTACAACGTACCCTGTAACATTTCTCAAGATGCGAAGACTCTACTGTAGCCATGCCTTAGTTATATCCGTACATTCTCACAACATTCTTATTCTGGGCTACACCGATCGACTAGCATAAAATAAGATCCGAATTTTAGGGCCGGGCCCAACTTCAGGTAATCGTGGACCTGGCTTGAAAATTTGGAAAATATTTTTAATTAATCGGGTGTAGACATACCATAGTGTGGGTACAGAGGCAATACCGGTATGCTTTGGTTCTGCAAGAGTGCTCAATGCCTGATTCAGGCAGAGCGGCGTACACAAAGGCACACAATGAAAACCTTGGCAAATTAATTCCGTTGCGAGTTTCATGGCTGAACCAATCATCAGACAACGAAAATGGAATAGGAGGCAGCGCTGGTATATCTAAGTGGAGAGAGCCATCATAGTGTGGGTCGTTTCTATTCCGGACTCCGTGCACTGGTTTAGAACTCCTGAACGTGCATTGTTCTGTCAGATGTCAATACATATGCATGTAAGTTGAAAAGGCATCTGGGTTCTTTCAAAGGATGCACAAATTTGACCTCACATGAAAAGTCAAGTAAAAAAATAAAAAAATTCATATCCCGTAGAGTTGGCACTGAGTCGAATGGTCTTGGTCTGAAGGCTCTACAACAAAGCTTTCTTGAGAAAGAAATCGAAAAAAGAAAAAAAACCCGGGGGCCTGCGCCGTGACACACCCTCATCACGGCCTGCCTACGCCTTCCTTCTCCTTTCTACGATTTTCTTCTTTATTGATAATTCTTCCCGTTAGTAATATGAGTACATAGTTCGTCGTTGTTGTGATAATATGAGGGCACAGTTCATTTTACGACTACAGTATTGCCTCATCCCAGAAAGCTGGTCGCTCGCAACGTTGGCGCTCCCATTTTCCCTGCTGACTTGACTGATTCACGACTGCCTGCCCAGAGCACACAAGAAGTCCATCGAACCATAGACTCGGAAAACCTGCAAGAGAGCCCCATTCTCATCTCGGGGTTTTCAATTTCTTAATTCAACGACAGCTTTGTTCTGTCTATCGGCCCTGCTAGGCTCACCTTTGCATACTCATCAAATGTCGCCTTGAGCTGGGGCGAGCTTCGCACAGCCAGGATTTGATTGAACTGTGACTCATCAGTTCCCCACTTCTTCTCGCCAGCCTGTCAAAATGTGCAAATGCACACGCACGCACGCAAAGTAACAAGCAACCACGTACACACAGTAACTGTTATCGTCATCAAGCACTGGTCAAGCACTGGTCAAGCACTGATCATTCCTTGAAGAAGCTCAGAAGGGATTCTTTTATCAACACACAAATATTCATGTTGTTTGGGATGGGATTCAATATTTCAGCACAGCCGTAGGCCTGACAGTGAACGCAGACTAAGCCGGTCAGAGGGGCAGCTAACAGAAGTGGAATCCTAAGCTGACTGAGTACGAGCCCCCGCACATGGCCTTATCCACATTTGTGCAGGACCTGAAGCCCAGTAGCACATCAGCGACCAGAAGTGTAGAAGCAATGCCTGCTGGCCTGACCTTGCCGCACTAGAGCTAGAGCAGTGGTGACCTAGTGATAGGCACCTTGCTAGTGTGGCTTTGAAGCAAGCTACTGGACCTGCTTCTGCTGAATCTGCTGAATCTTGGTGATCTGGTAACACTCAGTCACTGTTCCAACCCTCCAGTCCAGTTCAACATAGGACAGGTTTATTCTCCAGAAAACAACCAACTTGAAAGCCACTTCTGAAGCATAACCAATAAGAGTAAGGTGCGCAGAGCAGTCAGCAACACAAGCGCCAAGTTTCAGTACCACAGGTGTGTCAGTTAAGTTCTGTACCATGCCATCGCCTGACATGGCTCTATGCTAGTGGCGCCAATAGAAGGTGCCCTAGTCACAGGCCAGCTCAGCGTCTCACAGCTTGACATGGGACAGCAGAGTCACACCACCAGGCTATCGGTCTAGACTCTAGAGTGTGTGTGTGCAACGTCCCCCGTTTAAGATCTCACCTGGTACAGCTTTTGAGCTTCAGCATTGGCTTTGGCCATGTCTACGGCCATGTTCTCATCACGTGAACCCTGAACACGTACGTCAAGACAAACATGAACACAACAAGTCACGAAAATGCTCGAGTTTCCACTTTTTGCTACAATATATTTTAAAAACACAGACACAAACACACACATATGCATACTTGTAACTTGTACTAGTCTTGTTCACTGCCAGAAACTGCCCACGTGGGTCACCCGCGAGAGGAGAGACAGATTCAAAATAAATCTTGGAAAGATGACTCAATCGGCTATCGAACCGCCCAACAGCTGACACCCCTGAAATCCCCAAACTCTGGGCGGACTTGGAAATGATCCCACTTACGGGCTCACCATATACCACACTAAGTGGGTGAGGACAAGGTGCAGAAGAAAGATGGACAGCATCAAGGTATCCATCCTGGGATCCAACTGTTTTCACCCTTGCCCCCAGTGAAAAATACCTTTTTACCACTCCCTGCTTGACACTATTGTAGATGACTAAATCAGATAGGATCTGATATTATTTGCTTCCCTTGCACAATTGATTACACAAGATATCAAGGGAAAGTCTGGTGAAAAATGAGAAGTTTAGGGTCACGGTGAGTAGAATTTAGGACACTAAGTTTGTACTCTTTCAAGCTGTCATTGGTACCGGGTCACGGTTTGACGTGCGTGAAAATGCCTGACCAACACGCCATGATACTATAGTCAGGTGCTAAGCACGCGACATGGAGGCATTGACCAGGCAAATCACCACCACCAGCACAATACAATACCAGCACCAGCACCACCAGCAGCATCAACGTACTAGCACCAGCAGCATCACCGTACTAGCACCACCGTACTAGCACCAGCACCACTGTAGTGAACTTACTTGACACAAGGAGATCAGCAAGCGCTTGTAGTGACCGCTGGTATCACCGATCAGGTCCTTCTCAAGGTCTCTATACTCTATTAGCAGCATCGCAACAAAAGAGCATATCCATGCACACACACGCACACACGCGCGCATGCACACACACACACACACACACACACACACACACACACACACACACACACACACACACACACACACACACACATGAGAGTGTAAGCATACAAGCATACACGCATACACGCATACACACACACACACACACACACACACACACACTCACACAAATACATCTGATTTGTAACATCGCAGGCGACCATTGTCTGCATGACTACACACACACTAACACCGTATTTCAATAACAAAAAGACGCACAGTTTCTTCTCTCGCAATTTTCGGCAAGGTCTTCTAGTCATTCTGAATTATTTCGATACCATTCAAGTTCTCTTCTCTTCACTATTCTGCTCATACATGTCTCATTACAGAGTTTCTGCTGCACGGTAAAACGTACCAAAGTACGTATGGAAACCTTGTCGCGGTTCACACGGATTTTTTATACCGTTCTCTGCGTGAAGCGCGCTTCACACGAACTGGTCTCCGCGTGAAAAGCTGAGATTTTGTGCATGAACTGAGCGCACAGAGTACATGTGGCGGTTAGTTCGAGCATGCTACGCGCAGCAGAACGGGCACAACGTACTGGAAATCCGTCTCAAACTTCACTGCAGTTGACACGGAGTTTGCTGCTGGCGATTTAATTTCGCTGATTTCGCCGGTCAATGCCAATCGGCCAAAATTTGTCGTAGACGTTTGTACTACATTCGTGCACGAAACATCGATCACTTTTTTGGACTCCTGCACGAGCACGGCGAAAGTTTAGTGGAGGTGAAAAGTGTTTTTTTGGAGATCGGCGAAAGTTTTTCACCGGCGAAAATTTGTTGATTTACAGTATTTACTAGAAACCCGCAGGGCCTTTGATTTGATTTCAGCTGGTTTCAGGATGCTGTAAGGCTTTCGGGTATTTGACCTGACGATTTAGATGCCACGGTACACTGCGAGGGAGTAAGGGAATTCACGTACACTTCAAAGTATATTCAAATCCCAGTTTGACAGTGTGCTAGAAATCCGCAGAGAATTCTTGTGCAAGTTCACACACCTACGCTGTAGAACAGCACGCTAAAGCTTACTCTTGCGATAGACGTCTTTGATCTCTTGAATCTGCGCATTGGTTCGGCTGCACATGATCTCAATCAGCACACTGTCCGTAGTGCCAGCACCCTGTGCAACAACAACAATAAAGAATTCAAAATTCAAAATTCAAAAACAACAACAACAACAATAGCCGTTGTGAGATTTATAACAGCAGCAGCGGCAGCACCACCACAACCATCAACAGCAACAACAAAAACATGGACAAGAGCAATGAAGTCATCAATGCGTCCGATCAGTCATAGAATAGGAGGATACCAGTATTACCGTACAGCTATACCTTTGGGCCGGGGTTTTCGGGTTCGGCAGCACATGTATACAACTGCCTTCCTCAGGACTACAAACTTCTTTTCCATTTACATGTACCGTAAAGTACCGTTGATCCGCCCCCACGCCATGTCGCTTCCCAGCTGGGTTTTCGGCAGGGGGCGGGAATTAGATCAAGGCTGTCAAGTGCAGTACGATGTACAACAACGTAGAGGATCAGACTCAATGTGCTGGATTGTGCACATTTTGATCATGGATTGGCAAGTATTGTGTACAGCAGTGCATGCGTCGGTTCAACATCGTATTTCGTTGTATACGCCGAAGTCACAAGGAGAAAATCGACAGGGGGCGGGAATTAGAGAGGGGGCGGATCAACGGTACTTTACGGTACTTGAAGTGCATGTATTCTAAATTTAAACAAGTGAATGTCCAGTACAGTACAGTACAGTACTGTTGGGTGCCGAAGAACGAACACGGTAGAATTTCACCACATAACGGCCTAGGCTGTAGGAGCCCCCCTCCCCCCCCCCCCCCCCCCCCCCCCCTGGTCTTCAGCACCCGGCAGTACTGTACTTCACATACCGGTAGCAGCAATCACACAATACAGACTATGTACATGTACATGCATCACAGCCAGCCAGCGAGTAAAAGTAGCAGCACTGCTACCACTGCTACCACAACAACACCAACACTACCAACAACACCAACCATCTGGCGTAACAGCCGGTGCAACCAAATACAGCAGCAGCAGCAGCTGTAGGAACAGCATGAGGTTTATGATGTAGTAGTACACAGTGTAGTGACTTACCGCTATTGCTCTGTGCAGGCTTTGTGCGTCATATTCAGCTGGTCGCATCATCAGTGCCAGTACAGCATCCTCAAAGTCACCGCTCAGTTCACCCTTCAGTTCTTTGATGAGATCCTATCAAACAGTAGAGTATGTTCGAGACGTGCACACGAGAACGATAGTTCTCTCAATATGGATCAGCACACATGTTCGCATACACAATACTGCCAAATGTGTGTGTGTGTGTGTGTGTGTGTGTGTGTGTGTGTGTGTGTGTGTGTGTGTGTGTGTGTGTGTGTGTGTGTGTGACACAACGGTTTTGTGTACAGTACATGCATGCACATTGAACAATGAGAACACACACACACGCACACACACACACACGCACACACACACACACACACACACACACACACACACACACACACACTACATACATGCATGCGCAGTTGCGCTCACTGAAATCCGAGCCAAAGTGCAAAACTGGCGCTCTGGACCAGTTCCGATTACATCACTGTACTTGTACATGTGTACATCCAGCAGCATTCGTACCACTTCCATGGGGTCCAGGGTCGTGCAAGTCGAGGGCATCAAATGTGCACTTTGGGTCAGTGCACAACTGTACATGCCATGTATTCAATATTCTATCTCTACCTTGCCAAACATAAGCTTGAAGCGCTGGATAATTTCCTGGCGCTGGGCATTGCTGCACTTCACCAGGGAACTAATGATAGCCTTCTCATCGGTACCTGTACGTACAGCCAACACAGTGACACACACACGCGCGCACAAGCACACCCACAGTGACACGCACAACCATTAAGCACACTCAGCCAAGCAGGAGCATACCCCACCTGTACGCCAACACACACCCTCAGCACACACTTCCATGACGTGGGGCTAGTCAGCACAAACTAAGAACTAAGTGTTTGTTCTGATCCGACAATTTGTAACTGTTATGGTGCTCCACAAGTACCACCGGACAATGTTGGAAATGCACTAAGGACGTCTACTTGAACAAAAGAAGCCATGACCAACACGTGGAACTCTGATTATGATAGGGACACAAACCCTGGGCCTTAGTATACGAGGCACCACTTATTCGAACTAAGGTTCCACAGCAAGACCAACACAAAATGCAGGTAGAGTGTCAAAATGGGTCAAATAAGTTTCTTGAGGGCAGAGAAAGTGCAGTGCCCACATCCCACTACTAACGCATTTCTGCAGTTGCAAGGCCAAGCAGCAAGTCTTCAACCAGTTAACTCGTGGCTTTCATGCTTTTGATTGAGCTTTAGTGGTGGATGCTGTGCTTTGCCAAGAGTCTGAAAACACGGGAAGTACATGGTATACCGTGCAGCAAAGGAAGCACTTTGAGGTTGCGTTTGGTTGGGCATTTTTAGAATATAAATGACAACCATTCTGGAACGGGAATCGGCAAGAATCACCTGACCAAACAAACGCTCCAGAATCAACTAGGAATCACTTGACATAACAATTCCATGATGTCGTTGTGGAACGGCGGCTCTCTTCTCTTTTACCCGACTCTAGTTTCCTTGAGAGAGTCAAGGTACTTCTGAGTGCATGATTTGAGGCACTTGAACATGATGCTACATTGTTTGGCTCGTGGCAACCATTATCATTTTTGATTCCGGAATGAGAATGCTCATTCCAGCATGTGAGGTGGAATGATCATTCTCCAAAAAGAATCATTCCCAGCGATTCCCATTCTGGAATGGGACCAACCTAACGCACTTTTTTGACCAACCAAACGGGCGAGAATGATTCCGAGTGATTCCAAGTGATTCCCATTTGGGAATGTGACCAATCAAACGTAACCTAAGTGAGAGGCGAAGCGGTACCGTACGTCATACACAATTTCTACGTCTTAGAAGCGTACGGGCAGTTCAAATTGATTTGAATGCGTGCGCATGGAAGAAAACTCCATCCATGTACCGACAATGCCCGCATATTAGAAGCATAACTGTTATGCATGTCCCATCCGGGAAGTATGTGTGAGTTCCACTGCATTACTAGTAACAGGAGAATGCAAAGTGCATGAGCTGGGCACCAAAGCAGGCAGCACACGGACGTACCAAATCCTTTCATAGCCTTGCGCAGCGCCTGCGCCTCATTCTCAGCATTGAAGCCAGCACAAGGCTTGATTGTAGGCCTTGATGCAGGAGCTTGCTAAAAACAAATGTACAGCCAAGCACCCAACACCACAATACAGACAGCCATTTGTACTTGTAGTAATAGCAAGAGTTATGAACTCTTGGTAATAGTGAAATGCAGCCCTGCGCCCAGAAGGGTGCGGATAGTCAGCACTCCACTGTACATAGAAACACGCTTCAGCTAGGATTGAAAACACGGTCAGTCAGGTCACCAAAAACAAAAGACTTTTTCGGTTTGCCCTTCATGTGGATTATAACCAATACAGCACTGGCTGTGCATCTCCTACAGCATTTTCATAGCCATCACCAGTACAATGCAGCACAGTCAAAACTAGTACTTGGTACTTCCAAGAACTTACAATGGACATGGAGGCCATCTGCTGTGTGGGCAGGGCACTCTGCTGCACACGCACAGAAAGAAACGCAAACACCACAGCAAGCTCAGCACTGCGTGCTTGGGAAAGCATTCATCATACGGATCTGCTGTTAGAATAGTACTCATCACTGATCAGGTACATGCAGATGACATCGTACTCGTACCAGCACATCTCTTCCCGGGAGACCAGCCTGATACAGGTATAGATATTGAATACTGAACCAAAGAGTGTACACGTACGGGTAGGCCTCAGTGCAGTGCAGGAACCAGCTTTGTGACAGCGTTAATGCAGGGTGGTACGGGTAGGCCTCAGTGCAGGAACCAGCTTTGGTGTACTGTAAAACGGCTAATTTTAGCGACGGGGATATTTTAGCGACTTTAGCGAAAGGAGTGTTTTCGCTACAGTTTGACCACGCCAGTTGAAATTTTGCATGTACAGTACAGTACTAGTCATCCTTCTTTTTCAAGTCTGAAACTCAGATCGCTAAAATAGTTCACCGCGAATTGGTCCAGATTCAGGAAAAGCTAAAAAATGCTACTGAGTACCCGCTAAATTGAGCCGTTCGACAGTACCAGTATGTACCTGGGGGGGGGGGGGGGGGGGGGGGGGGTATATTCCACACCCTACAGCATGGCCATTGACTGTCTGTGGTGATATGGTATCTTAGTAGAAAGTACAACCCATCGCCTTGGCGTCAATTTCACTACAGCAGTGTTCTCCTTTCCTACACGGTGGGTACACATACCTTTAACCTTTCGACGCCCATCGCCAGAGGCGATGATAGCGATGCTACAGCAAAAGCCATAGCAACTTGTGCTGGGATTGCACCATTCAACAGCTTGCAAGGCTGAATAATTGACCGTCACTATTCAGCCTGGTCCACACCACACAGCCATTTGAAGTGGATTTTTCTGGCCAGTGAATCTCTACTTTTTGGTCTTTTTTGAAGTTTTTTCTTCTTCTTTTTTTCCCCGCACACATCACACCACATACTCCGGCATGCACACACCATGTACCATGTACCATGTATACGCCCGTCGCAAGAGATTCTGAGAAGCACGCAAATCTGCAAATGCACTGGATGTGCACCCACAGATTTTCTCTTTATAGCAACGATAGCGGATCTGATTCTGATTGAAACAGATCAAGACAAGCGCCAGATAACTGTCTAATCCACACAACTGGCGAAGTCATGTGAATCGACCCCCCAATGCACACCTGGTCTACACCACACGGAGTACATCGGAATAGGACGGCCAAGACAGTTGCCTATGCACACCCTACACTTGCTGGGGTAACCAGTATAGACAGCACGCTGCTTTGATCAAAGCAGACACTAGATGCACTGGTACCTTGAAGTGAAATTGGACACACACACACACACACACACACACACACCACACCACACACACACACACACACACACACTAACCTGCGATGCAGGCTGAGTAGTCGCATAGCCAGCTGGGGGTGGAACTCCAGCAGCTGGTGGCTGTTGCGGATATCCACCAGGGGCAGCTGGTTGAGTTTGAGCATATCCACCCTGAGCTGGAGGAGGCTGCTGGGGATAGCCGCCCTGAGCTGGTGGAGGTTGCTGGGGATAGCCGCCCTGAGCTGGTGGAGGCTGCTGGGGGTATCCCCCCTGGGCGGGTGGAGGCTGCTGGGGGTATCCCCCAGGAGCAGCTGGCTGTGTTTGTGCGTATCCGCCCTGGGCGGGTGGAGGCTGCTGTGGATAGCCACCTTGAGCTGGAGGTGGCTGTTGCGGATAACCGCCCTGGGCAGGAGGAGGCTGTTGCGGATATCCACCCTGGGCAGGAGGAGGCTGTTGCGGATATCCACCCTGAGCTGGAGGTGGCTGGCCATAGCCTGGTTGAGATGGATATCCAGGCGCTCCAGCAGCTGGAGGAGGATAGCTGCCACTACCCACCGCCGGCGGATATCCGCCAGCGGCTGGAGGAGCTAAACACATGCACACGCGCGTGGACGCAAGCGAGTATTTTAGAGTAAAGTGAAGACACATTCATTCCATACTCGTTCAAAGACTCTACAATGCTGCAGTACACCTCGCACAGTAGAATGAACAAGGAACAGAAAACATTGCTTTGACCACCTGCCTGGTAGAGACACAATGGCAGAAGTCCACCAAAATACATCCGTTCTGCAGGACATGTATATGAGGCTCGCAGTCTAAATGCCTTGCTTGCAGCCAAACAAAGGTTATTTATACTATTTAAAATTGGAACTGGGCAATGTATTACATGTACTGTACTAACGTTCCCGATGAAAGGTGTCATTAACAAAAATCTGTGCTCTTCAGCACTTTGAACGCATTGTTAAATAATAGTGTTATACTACCATACCATTCGCACAAAGGCACATGTGCTTACAGGGGAAGAATAGCCTAAAATAGCGATATTTCGCATATAAGCACTTGTGCCTTTGTGCGGGGAAGCACGGTAATTATTTCAGACTGGAATTTCGGTAAACGGGAAAGGAAGGGGGGGGGGGCACTCTACTCTGTAAATAGGGCACTACAATAATACAATGTAGGATGAAGACCTCACCTCCATAGCCAGGCTGTGGTGGATATCCAGCACCACCAGCTGCCGGTGGAGGGTAACCAGCACCACCAGCTGCTGGAGGGTAGCCAGCTCCACCCGGCGGACCACCTAGACACAAGCAATAGCAACATCTATACAAATTACAAATAGTAAACCTGTATCCTCCCAACATTCGCATGTGGAAAATAATTTTTATTCCAATGTGGGTACTGTATGTGATCTTTGGACTGTGCTCTCTCTCCATGCAGGTGCGCGTGCGTTCGGGCATTGAGTGACTGACGGTTGGTGCCCAAAGTCAAGCAATGTTGGATGAGATCATTAGTAATATACACGGTTGGATGATCACCAGGGAGGATCTCCATGGCTGGAAAAAGAGGGGAGAAAGAGGTGTTGGTTGAAGTACCGGTACATGTAGCTGGGGTTGTGAGCAAACACACCTGGCAGATCCTATAATTATCCTTTGGCGTTTGCTGTGCGCATGTGTTGGTGCTTGTGTGCATGCAGCATCATCAGCAAAAGAACAGTACACTCGTACCTCGGTTATCCGGACCCCGAAGGTACGGGCACTTCCGCCTACCGGGCACCCTTTGGGCGAGGTTTAGTGGAAATATTACTACTCTTTTGTCACTTTTTGTGGAAATAGTGACGTCATAAGCCATACTTATGACCTTTCCCCATCAAAATGAATGTGATTCGGAGTAAATACGGACATTTCAAAGTTACGGGCAGTGCTCGGTCCCGGACCGCCCGGATAAGCGAGGTATGAGAGTACTACCAATGACCAAATGAGCGGTACTGGAACGTTCCCAATGACCAACAGCCGACGTACCTAGCATATCGAATCCCATGCCACCACCAGCAGGTGGGTATCCAGGATTTGGTGGATAGGCACCCGGAGCACCTCCCTAACACACACATCGTCATCACAACACAAGCACACATGAATAAATTGACAAGATGAAAAGAAAACGGATGTTTGAAGCATCGTAAGAGAATATTGGGGAATCACTGGACCATTCGTGATCAGGATTTCCAACAGTGTACATGTCCTTGCACAAACTTGTTGACCAGTGTATGCACAAGAGTGGTCACTGCTGTGGAGTATGTGCTCACAGCCACATCTCAAACTGCACACCGCTCGAGTGTCTTCCAGGGATATTATATTATTCCAATCAACTAATAAGCCACAGTCTGTGCAGATCCACTCGCATCATGGAGCAACTACTTTGGCCAAAGACACACTCAGTTGTGGCTCTCCAATGTTCTCCAATGCGCTAGATACCAGTGTGCACTCAGTCTTCACTTCCTCTCATATGCCATAGCATCACCAACTTTAGGGGTTAAACACCGTTCTTTTACCCTCTATTTTTTATCACAGTATGCATAGATATATTGTGTGCGCATGATCCACTAACTGTTCCCTAAAGCGTAGCCCGGACTTGTACTGGAGACTGCACTAACAGCTCCTTGAAAGGGGCAGGGTGTGCCTATAATAGAGATTGTGCTTGTATTGGAGATAAACTCAGATAACACAACAAGAAAGGTGAATCCCTGCAGACAGCAGTAAAGCAACAAAACAAAACAAACAACTTCACTCTAGAGAACAAAGTCCTCACCGCAGGTGGGTATCCTCCCGGTGGGCCAGGTGGGTACGCCATATCTACAGTGCAATAAAATGCATCCACCGCACGTTCACAAGTAGCACAGATCATGTACCACGTCATGCCACATATGCGCACGCGCGCACACACAAACGGGTACACGCATACACGCATGTGACACACACACACACAACCACACGCACACGCACAAAGCCAACACGTTGACACTGATGTCCAGGTCAGAAATAGCATGCAACAGAGACCTCCCGCATTCCACATGGAAATAGAGGAGGAGGCGAAACTCCACTCTGATCAGCCGGCAAAGCGAAGAGAGGCATGCGTTTGGATAAACAAGAATTTCTGCAGACCTCTTACGAATCCTCAAACAAAAATAACACTGAACGAAAACGAATGAGTACATGTATTTTGCATGCTGGTATGGAAGTGCGAAAGGTGTCCAGTTCGTTTAGCTATAGTAGACATCTACTGTTGCGGATATTGAAATCCGTTGAGAAGTCAAGCCTTCAAGGGGCCACGGGGCACTGTCCGAGCAGCCGCGAGCACTACTTGTCCATTTTTATAGTGTTACAGTGCGTGTGCACTGTGCACGCTAAGCGAGTAGGACGCCAGCCCCGGTCATTCCACCGGACTTGTGTGTCCACACCAGTATGTGTGTGTGTAGGGAGTACTTCCTGGTGTACACATATCAGTCATTTGATGAACCAAACTGACAGATACCGGTAGCTGGAGCCACAAACACTTGAAAAAGTAATAAATCGGATGCACTCGTCCATTGCTCCGTCATGTCCGCTTTCCCACAGCGGTATTGATTAACCAAGCCATACATAGCACTCATTTAGAGTCATTTCCCTTCTTTCCCCCCACAGGAGAGCCCCTCGACAGGCTTCCACAGCCTTTGGTCAATCATTCACTGTCAGTATTAACTAATGTAATAAGTACCGTTATCATTTTGATTCCTCATTGGAAGTTAGTTCTCCCAATCCTTTCAAATCATTTCGATTCCTCAACATATATTAGTCTATAGTGTAATACTACAGTGTTCCACATCTGGATTGCTAACAGGTGTGTAGCAAACAGGTGCATGGCCAACACGGGTGCGTGGACCTACTACAATGCACCGATCAGCACAGTCGTGTATTGAGTCTGTACTTCAGTTTATGACATTACTAGTATGTAGTCCACAACCAGCGCATGCACATGCAGGCTCTCATAATGGTATCCTGCATTTTAATTTCTTCTGCAGCACTTCCAGTCCCTGCTGGTAGAGTGCTCCACGCTGATTACAGTCTATATTGGGGGTCCACCCCAACGGCACGTCTTGCTCGTCACCTCTGCCTAAGACAGCAAGGAATTAGGAAAGAACAGGGAAAACGCACCTGCAGGTAAGAACAGCCGCTGTTTCGCACTAAGCACTGCCTTCCAACTTCTTGCACGAATTACCGGACAGAATCAAATGCTGGTTACTGTCTTGCTACAGAATCAAAAGAAAGGAAAATTATTTGGTCAGCTCAGAGGAGAAGAGTGTGGATCGTGGAAGGTTTACCAGGTTTACGTACTCTTGCCAGTCTTGGTAGAAGCAAGTCGTACTGTACTCTGTAGTATGTAAAAGCAGATTGTACGAACACAGTTTCAAAATAATGACACTCGTGGGGTCGTGCACACGGCCACACCGCGTACCGGCACACGCTGCTGTGCCTGTACTGACCCTGTAGTGTACAGTAGACCCTGGACATCGACAGTATGCAGTAGTAGACTACCGGTACGGTACCGGTACTCTGTACAGTCTGTAGCTGTATCGGCTATAGAGGACTTTCCAATGAGTCATACCGTGCGGCCTATGAGGATTCGGGCCAAAGATCATCGAGTTCACCACCGATCACCGGACTTGAAACGGAGCTTGGGTGGCAAAAAAAGAAGACTGCACTGGAAAGAAACAGTGTTTTTCGAAAGAAGTTCCATTTTGCATACTGTAGTTTGAGAATACCAAAGGGCTGCTCGCGATCGGATGTTCCCACACCTGGATCGTCTTTGAGTTGTTATCGTTTTCCCTACGATGGAGAACGACGGAACCAGTGGATGACGGACACACGACTCGAGAACTTCGCTCCTTATGCAAATACTTCGAAGTACACGAATATTGTTCCATCACTTCGTTGGCGAAGAGAAAAGTCATGATCATCCCTGTCACCCCAGTACGTATCGAATTAACTAACTAACTTGTTCAGCTCATTTGTGGCAGCACCAGTAAAGGCGGAAACACGAAGATGATTCCGAACACTATCAACTTACTTAGTTTGTTGGGGTGCAAGGTATAGCTGGAGTTTGATGAGTGATAGTGCTGATGCTGATGGTAATGACTAATGTACCCAGCTCTATTATGCACGTGCCTCTACATGACTGGTGGTGCTAGCTATAGTTTAGTACTGGCCCTGGGTGCAACTCCGGCATTATCTCTTCCATGCGAGTGTGTATTCTTCATGTTCAGCACAATGTGTATTTCCTTTGTCATGGATAAATACTCTGATCGACCTACTTGCGCAATCTTCTTCTGCTTCCCACTTGGTTGCTGCGCTGTGCAGTTCTTCATCTGCTGCGGCACATGCTAGTATACCTCATCTTCTGTCTTTCTGGACAGTTAAGTACATCACGGTATTCAGCTTCTTGATCTTCTTGTGGTGAGGATCATCTTGATCTTACTTCTTGTGTAACTCTTGCAAAGGCAGTAATGGAGGACACTCTACCGGTAATCAGCAACTGCTTATGGAGAATGCCAGGTCGAGGGACGACCAAGAAAAAACAATTGCTGTATTGGATGTGCATTCATCAGCGTGTTTTTAAAATCAGGACAACTAAGTTCGCCACTCAGTACACCAGCTTTTTTGGCTACATAGGAGCAATGATGATGATGGCCGTGTTTGACTTTGTCAGCTTTCGTGCTACCAGCCACCACATGTCAACATTGTCATACTCGTACTGATAAGGAAGAAAAACCCACACACGCACGCACCCGTACACACGTACACACACACATGGATACACTGACAGGCATGCAAAGCAAGAGAGACAGAGAGAGAGTCGGGCAGCGAAAGAGAAGTGAGACTACTTGTAGGTTATGGGTACGGTGCTCCAATTTCTGCCCAGCTGAAGTAAAATCCATGTACACTATTTTCGTGTAGTGTTCATTGACCGTGCCAGCCACTGGTGAGTGACCCAGTGGTGTAGGTGTTGACATTCAGCACACATCACATTTCAGTCTCCAACGTAAATATTAATTCAGTCAAAACAACACTGCACTGCAGCAACATGGGAACATGCTTCTCCCAGGCCCACCATGCAAGTGCAGTGTGTGCCAAGAACAATTCCAGGTAATTCAGCAGCTACCCAAGGATGGACAGGTTCGGCAAAAACACTCCGCGAGTGCCTCACGTTTGCAAACGAATTTTGTTGACAGTTGTTGTTTCTTCCTTCGATTGGGCAAGACACGATAATGTGCCAACCCAGCCAGCAATGAGACACATGCATTTGTATCCATCAGGGCTATTGTAAGACTTTAGAGAGTCCTTTGCATATGTGCTGGGGACATTCACTAAATATTTAGAGAGGCCTGGATACCCAACGCAGGGGATTGGCTGAAAGGTCTTCGTCCATAGGTAAATATGGATCAATGTACTGGGCCCACGGATTCTGTCAATCTTCTCGCGGCAACGCCTCTTCAAGGCTGGAATAAACAGTAGAGTAACTACGGCTAGTAATCCTCGCGACTTACCGAAACTATTCACCACATCAAAGAAAAGCAAAAGTGCTTCACCACTGCGACGGCCTGCAACATCATTTTCAACCGTACACCGAACAACACATTTGATTCTCTTTTTGCCACCCAAGCACATTTTACCGTAGGACACGGACTTGTCTTATGGGTGATCTTTGGGTGGACACCGGGAAGGCGCCAAAAAGGTGATGTAATGGAAAGTCCTCTATAGCGTACCCTTTTGATTTCCGGATTTTATCACTATAACCGATGCATCACTATGCGATACGATCGATTTATTTTTATTTTTTCGATCGACACATGAAAGGCAAGGAAATACTTCCAGCATGGCGTTTTGACAAATGAGCATGCTGCATACTAGTAGTTGACAGAGCCCGCATTTCCATAAAAAATTCTGTTATGTACATGTACATGTATCACTATAAAAATAAGCAACGTGAAGAAAGTAAAAAAATAGGGCCCGTTTGATATTATTGCTACATGTATTATAAAGTTATCACTATATGACAAGCAGGGTCCCAGGTTCGAGTCCTGGTGGGTCTGGCGTTTTTTTCTCTTTTCAGGCAGTTCACTTCCCCGACTGATCATTTGAATTTGAAGTTCTCCCAATCCTTTCCAAATTTAATCACTTTCTTTCACCTCTGGTAGTTTCCAGAAACTGACCGTGGTTGGTCCCCCAGTGGGGGAGGGAAAAAGACCCAAGTGCCATCAGTATGTGTGGCACGTGTTGTGAGCTGCCTTTGGAGTGAAAAACTTGTCAGCGCCTTCTAGGTTCAGCCTGGTCCCATAGCTCAGTGGTTAGAGCATTGCTCATGACAAGCAGGGTCCCAGGTTCGAGTCCTGGTGGGTCTGGCGTTTTTTTCTCTTTTCAGGCAGTTCACTTCCCCGACTGATCATTTGAATTTGAAGTTCTCCCAATCCTTTCCAAATTTATCACTATAGCCGATAATAATGTAATGTGTATGCATGTTTTGATTCTTTGTTGCCATCATAATATCCGATATATCATTACATCCGATAATATTGGTTACAGTGATATTTTTACTGGATAAAATACGCTTTGCTTTTGATATTCCGTACCAATATCGCTGAAGCCGATATATTCTAATATCCGGTCACTCTCGTGATAGCCGATACAGACTGTACTAGTATACTGTGTAGAGATCAGGGAGTCGTACTCAAACTTACCGTAGTAGTCTCTAATAAGCACGGTCCTTTATTTTTTCATGTACTCCTCCACGCCGGCCTCCGCCCCGTGCTATTGATGGAGACGTTCCTTTATTGGAGACTGTTCCATTATTATTTCAACCTCATTTCAGAGGCATGTTGCCATGCTAAATTCATGTCAGGCACACACATTTCAGGGTTTTTTTCGCCGGTACAGATAATGAATTTTTTTACACAGTGTGCTTATAATGGAGACTGAGCACTTTATTTTTTGAATGCCGCCCTAAGGTGTTCTATTATTGGAGACGTGCTATTATTGGAGACTGTGCTTATATTAGAGATAATATGGTAGTTTGAGTACGACTCCCTGGTAGAGATCTACGACTACGAGTACGAGACAGTGCTAGGTCTTCATTATGGCTGTGTTTACATGAAGCGTTTCAACCTGGGTTGAGTTCGACCCGGGTCAGGTTTCAACCCGCCATGTACACAACGTGAATGGCGCGTTTACATGACGCATTGCGCTTGACCCGGGTTGAAATTTCGCCCCGGGTTGATTTCAACCCTCCCCCCAAGGGGAGGGTTGAAATCAACCCGGGTCAAGAAAATCGTACAAACGTACTTCTGTGCGTATCTCGCGCCAGGTTTGACCAGCATGCAGATGCAAATTTCGCGCGAACGGATTCACGTGACCATACAGGACTGTAGAAGTGGTCTTTTGGCGGCATATCAGTATTTGACCCGGGTCAACTGTCTTCATGTAAAAGCTCACCTCTTTTGTCTATCGTACAGACTTTCAACCCGGGCTGAACTCGACCCGGGTTGAAAATTCTCATGTAAACACAGCCTATGTGATTTGTTTTCAATCCTCCGTCATGGCAAATAATTATTATTCAATGAATTGTGTTTTGTTCGCCCGTAAAAGAGGCTTTTAAAATAGGGAGTACCGTACTACAGTTGCCAGCACTGTAGTACATGTAGTATAGTGCAGTGTACACGTAACTAAACAGTACAGCAGCGCATAGCATGCAGTGCAGTGTATTTTTTATAGATCTACCAGACCGGGTGCCCGGTCCAGGAAGCTAGGAAGGGGTAAGGCTGTGTTTACATGAAGCGTTTCAACCCGGGTTGAGTTCGACCCGGGTCAGATTTCAACCCGCCATGTGCACAAAATGAATGGCGCGTTTACATGACGCATTGCGCTTGACCCGGGTTGAAATTTCGCCCCGGGTTGATTTCAACCCTCCCCCCAAGGGGAGGGTTGAAATCAACCCGGGTCAATAAAATCGTACAAACGTATTTCTGTGCGTATCTCGCGCCAGGTTTGAACGGCACTGCAGATGCAAATTTCGCGCGAACGGATTCACGTGACCATACAGGACTGTAGAAGTGGACTTTTGGCGGCATATCAGTATTTGACCCGGGTCAACTGTCTTCATGTAAACGCTCACCTCTTTTGTTTGTCGTACAGACTTTCACCCCGGGCTGAACTCGACCCGGGTTGAAATTTCTCATGTAAACACAGCCTAACTCCCTGGTATGTACGCGTTTACCAGGTGTACACTATACTAGATAGGTTCCGGAGTACGATTTTTACAGTGCCAAAATTCGTAGAGGCGCTACGGATTTTTTATACGTCGTTTTCGAGCAGTGAAATGTTCCGGAGTACGGAACTTATGTGTTTGCCGTCATTGGGTAGGTTACGATCGCAAACACGTCACATTCCCGCGCAATGCCTGTTTATTTTGAAAATTCGTACCGAAATCAAAACTTCCCGCGGAAAATTGATGTTTCTCGTACCAAATTTGTACGCAAAAAATCTTTCTGCACCCGATGACGCAAAATCTCCATACGAAACATGGCCAGTTCGTATGAAAGCCAGTCCACACGGATTCTCCGTGCCGGAAAATCGTGTGGAGCACGCCTGGAAAAAATCCGTAGCGCCCATACGGAGTTTGGCACGGAAAATCGTACCCCGGAACCTCTCTAATGAGTACCGGAGGCAGAGCACAGCACACACATGTATTGTAGAGGCAGATAGCCACCATGCATGCTAGCTCCGGGAGTGCGAGCACGAGTCCGGAGTGGTGAGAGTTTTGCACTAAAACACAACTGGTTTTAGATCCGGCTTTCAACCACCGCCGCCAAAGCTTGTTAGCTGGAGGATGGTATGCCGACCGAGACCCACGGATACACATGACAGCGGACCGGAGCAGCGAAAGACAGCCTGCAGCGCACAGCAACATGGTGTGCATAGGGCATGCTGGAATCAGCCCTGGCAAGCAAGCCACAGAGGCGCTTAAAGAACCTTTCACATTCCGGGGAGGCAGCACCAGAAGTTGACAACACCAGAGGGCTGAATATGCCACGATCCACATTGAGGATTTGCTCTCCGTACTGCAGCTTCTTCTGGCGCTCGTGCTGAAGCAGTAGGGCATCCAGTGGTTGGGCCGAGTAGGACTGGGCGCCGCATCAGGATGGAAGACACGAACGTCAAAGAAAGCATCCTGTGCTCGGGTCCAGAAGCCACGGGCACGGACATCAGCACGGGCATCCTCGGCGGTGTTTGCCGATGCAGCAGTAAAAAAAAAGACAACTCTCCAGAGAGTGGGGCTAGCTGAGGCTCGATTGCCACTGTGTGGCAGACCTCCGTGAGTAGCTCCCCTACCATGTCACAGGCTTCGTTATGGCGGATTGTAGGGAAGCCACCCCGGGGGCAACACATGGCATGAGCAGTGGAGAACAGAACTCCGCAGGCACACTTCGTGGGGATATCGAGGAGAGGCCAGTCATACCGGCGCAATGCAAGGCCGTCCCTGAACTCCTGCTTCGAGAGGTGGAAACCATGTTCCTTGAGAGGAAGAGCAGTGAGCCAGGAAGAGGGGCCTTTGCGGGACAGCTCATCCATACGACGGGCCAAGGGGCGGTCCGCAGCTTCTCGGAGAGCAGCGAAAGAGGCAGCACTAGCTTTCTTGGAGGACTTGGCAGCAGACTGCTCTCTCACGTCGGGCTAGCTGATCCACAAAGTCGCAGGAATGATGCTGCCACTCTCATCGTGCTGGTGCCCTGGGATGATCTCGTCAACCTGGCTGCTCGTGATGACTTGGAAAGCCTGCAGTTGGGAAGTAGCGATTTCTTTGAAGTATGGCAGACCGATTCCACCGAGCCGACAAGGTAGCCGCAGAAGAGAGAGAGGTCATCCGCCGTGAACGTGCGTTTCCCTGGCAGACTGGCCGGAAGGAAGTGCTCCGGCGTGACCGTGTCATCCAGGCGCTGCAGCTGTTCAGCTGAGAACTCCAGTGTACGAAGGAGATATGGCCATCGACCACGCAATCCGTGTGTGAGGGCGGCATACGCCGCATGCGGTTCGGTAGTGGCAATCTCGGACAGTCGCATAAGCTCCTGCTGCCAGTCTTAAACTTTCCCAGCTGTATAGCCAGCGATGAAATCAGGTGTCCCTATAGCGGCACCCAGGTAGCGTGCTCCATCCGTGACCACGTCAACGCCAGTTCCTGCAAAGACCCTGTGGGCCAGGTTGAGCAGGTCCGGCTTGACGAGGAGGAGAGTCTTCGAGGCGTTGACATGGTATTGGTAACCGTAAGGTTTCCCAGTCTCGTCCACATCATCCCATCAGCGTCGAAGGGCCCGTAGCTTGCCTGCAGTACAAAGTCAATGATTGTAATGGTGATTGTACTACTCCCTGTGTACCATGGATTGGTGTACGGTGTACACCAGGGATCCCGGGAGTAGTATTATACCAGGGGGCAACTCCCTGTAATACTAGTACTCCCTGGTGAGTGGTGTAGCGTGCGTGGATCCGATGGATTTACATGTTTACCAAAAATCTGCTGCAAGACGGGTGGCGATTTCGGATACAGTGATGTCACTGATAATGATGTTAGACTACGTATACGTAGATCTACGTCACCCGCAGTGACGTGACATAAATGTCGTGTCGACAATAGGGAGGTTTAGTCCCACGTAATCCGTGGGTACTTTACGTGTGTGTACCACGTGATACTCAGTGACCCACGTACAGACGTTTTCTGATTCACGACATACCGTGTATGGAGGCTCACCCACGTTCCGCCAGAACGTGGGTGAAAATCAGAATGGAGTGCATTGTGCAAGCTGTGAGGGTGCTCAGCTGAAGAAGTTTCCGAAGCACGAAATCAAAATATTGGATGGGCTTCTTGGGCCCGGATAGCTTCGTCTTTGACCAGGTTTGGGCCTTTCGCTTCATGCTTTTGTTTGTTCCGTGTGACTAAACACAACATTGCAACGTGGGTGCCCTTCATCCACTTTACGTGGATCACCCACGTACGCGTTTCCGTTACGTGGGAACTAAACCTCCCTAGTAGTAGTACGTCTGTCAGCATGGTCAGTGCAGTGTGCACATGTGACAGTGTGAATTTTTGTCCCAACAAAATAATGACACCAAGTAAAGGCAGGGCCAGGGCCTAGCCCATCCATAATGACCATATCCAGGGAGTCGTAAAATCGTCGTTGCATGGTGTGGATCAGGGAGTAGTAAAATACCGGTATTTCACTACTCTCCTTTGCATGGATCACCATGCTAGATGCTGGTCACTGCATGTCGTTTTTTTCTGTGGATCTGCATGTGACTGCGACCAGTGTGGGCCGTAGCTAGCTAGCTAGACAAAAAAAAAAGTGTGATACAGTACATGCCTAGCGCCTTGGCAGTGATTTGCTTTGGACAGGCGGACGAGTTGCCTTTCTTTCTGTCTGAAAATTGGTTTGCATTGGAAATATTGGAGACATAAGGAAATCTGTAGACTGTAGTTCGGAGGTACTACTAGGCTAGAGGTAGACCATGGTAGACGTGATGCATTGATGGAGAATGTGCATTGTAGTGGTTTTTGTAGCGATCCTGTAGTCGCACTGGTGCGGTGCTCAGCATTCAACATGCAGGTGTGAATATTGATAGACGAAAAGGAGTAAAATAAATATTCCCAACTAATTTCGCTCGTCAGTCTTGTAGTGTGTATTCGGGTGGAAATGGCTGCTGCACCCTCTGTATTCTTGGTGAGAGCCTTGGAGAAAATCCTGAACGATAAGGATACCAGAAAATCGCAGCATGCTCAGCTGAAGAAAGTTTGTATCCAAGCACTAGGTATGAAACCCCTGATGACAGAATTTAGTTCATAGAAATTGTTCTAACATAATTCCACATACTGTCCAACTTTCTTCTGGCAGATGACGTCAAGCAGAAAGCAAAGAAGGAAGGGTAAGTTCAGTGATTGTGTTATGCTTTTCTGTCTCAGAATCAATTCATGTTTGATTAACTCGTGCTTCCTGTCTGTTGACCAGGGAACGAAAAGATGGCTCGACAGGGAAATCTATTGCTTCTGGAGGAGCTGACGCCTATTTCAAGCCATTTGAACTGGCTTGCAAGTCCAAATCGCCTCGAATTATTAGTACCGCTTTGGATTGCCTGCAGGTAAGTAGCCTGTGTCAGCAATCGTTTGTAATTTTTGTTGTATTATAATATTATAATTGTGCACTTTTGAACAATCATGCTCATTCTCACATTACCACTGGATGGCAGTTGTGGGTTTTTTGGAATCCACTATTGTCTCTATAGACTGGCAACGAATTGTCCATAGCTCTACAGCAAAGTAATTTTGGGGAGCGATACTAGTTACAGTAGTATTCCTGAGCTTTGACAGACAGAGTACATCTGGTGGATCCAGGGTCCAGATACCTTTGTTTGCTTGTATTTGGGCGTATGTTAGGATAGTTGGTTGTTCCTATGTGCCACATGACCAAGTGACCACGGACGAGCAGTATTCTGCATGCAACACGTATGTCCCGTACCTCAGTACACATCCTGTGGGGGGTTTCCATGTAAATGTATGCGGATACAGCCAACAAAGCGAAGACCTGTGAGCGCATGCTCTATCGTTTACTGCCGATTCCAAGTGACCTGAATGAATGACGGATGAAGCAGTGGGCCAACCACACATGTACACTACTTACAATGCGTAGCAGTATCTGTACAGCAAACCGCGAAAGTTGAAATTGACTTTTGGGGGTCGTCCCCGGGATACACGTTGGACAGGTCAGGTCAGGTCACCCCCATCCCAGCCCCATTGCAGCCAGGTTTTTACCCGAACAATGTAGCAAGTGAAGTATGTTTTCAGTTCGTAACCAGACGTTCATTGAAATTTATTTTTCATTGCATCATCCTAATCACATTCTACACCCTGTGTCTGAGTTACAGGGAGGTCACACTTTTGCTATGATTCCTTATGTCAGTCTGCTAAACTGGAAGTCAATGAGATCCGGTGCTTATTTGCCCCTATAAAATAAGAAGCACTTGTTCACAGTGCAATGGCCATTTGATTTTCTTGTCATTTGCCTGTTATGGAAAAGCAAGGTGCCGTGAGAAGCAGGTCACCTGTTTTGCTGACTTGGCAGAGAAAGAAAAACACAGCTGGGAAAGGTTTGTGGGGTAGAGTCGTACAATTGGACCCGGTTGAAATTCACGTATTGGTACATACTCGCACTCTTACATGCATGCACATGCTTAGCAGATCATAATTCAGTCAATCCTGAAGCTAATCCCACAATCGAACCGCTCCCAAGGCGGTGGAAATTCTCAGCTATCGACGCAAGCAACTCTGATATCTCTACAATGAAGTTTGTGTAAACTGCAATCGATCAAACCTTTGCCATTTTAGAACCAATTGTTGCATACTCTTTGGGCATGAAGTTTCACTGTCTCAGGCTGCTCACCACGTAGGGCATCTCTACCAGAGGAGAGGGATGTGCCGTTTTCAACATGGTCTTTCGGGTGGGAGAAAATGGAAGCATGGCAGGACATAAGGTGTTTTGCGACTCGGTCTGTAGTTGCAGCAGTGTTCCAGGAGTGTTGGAGGCAGACAGCAATGAATTCTTTTTATAAGTGTGTGGTCACCACGCTCTATTGTCCAGAGTTTTCCAGCACCCCAAGGCCATCAAAATCGATAGAGATATGATATTGTGGAAGATCAAAGTATGTGTTTTTGTGCAATAATATTTTTGGTGCCAAGTAGATCCTAACTACACTCCCGGGAAGGGAAGAATATACATGTACTTTGAAAACTGAAATACTGTTTTACTTTTGATTCGGTTGACTGTTGACGGTATGAAATGTGTATTTTCCTCGTGGCTGATTGTAGAAACTCATTGCTCCCGGCCACCTGACTGGAAGCTCTCAAGATCCTGACAACCCGCAGAAGCTACTTGTGGATCGCATGGTAGATACTGTTTGCAGTTGTTTCCAGGGACAGAACACGGATGAAGGTGTCCAATTGCAGATCATCAAGGTACTTTACAGACTTTAGTTCATACCCGTTAGTTGTCTGCTATCATCCTTGCTTTACAGATACCTGTGCCCCCCCCCACACACACACACACTGCACGCAAAGAAGTAAAGCTGTCTGTGAGTGCTGAGTCTCTGGATTACACCGAGCACCTGGTGCCATTTCAGTCATGTAATCTGCCTTTGGCCAATTTACAGGATGAAGGAAGCTGGGGACTGTTTGGGCCAACATTTATTTTACATTATTATATTCTCCTCGAAATCTGTGGATGTCTTTGGAAATCATTCTCTGAAATATATCTGGGTGTCACCAGGAGTTTTTACTATTGTTCCAGTGGTCTACAGTTCGCGAATGTTGGAATCTCAGTATGACTAGAAACTGTGAGCACCTCAAATTCTATATTACTAGTGCAGATTCAAAATCAGCATGCTTTTCTCTGTTAGTCTACTGAAACTAACAAATTATTACGAAAATGAAATTCTGATGAAAAGTTGACGGTTTCGCTGCATTAGCTGTCCTGAACTTGACTGCTTGTACACTCTAGTGTACTGCTGGCTAAAGCATAGTGCATACTTCAAAGTGTGTCCTTGGGTTGCTTATTCCACAGATATTGACTACATGGTATTTGAAGTAGGGTTATGCCTCCTCATAGTATGGTGTGTTGGTTCTTTTGTCCATAGCTACAGGCTGTGCTGACCATTGACTTGGGATAATTTATTATGTTTATGTCTCATCATAGTGTGGTGTGTTGGTTCTTTTGTCCATGGCTACAGGCTGTGTTAACCATGGTATCCGTACCAACTTGTCATGTGCACGAAGCATCGCTGATGCAAATCATTCGCACCTGTTTCAGTATTTATTTAGCTTCAAAGAACCAGATCAACCAGACCACTGCCAAGGCAACGCTCACACAAATGCTATCAATCACCTTCCAGAAAATGGAGCAGCACGCTGTGAGTCTATCTCTTGCTCCTTACGTTGGGAAATGGTTGTTAATTTTAGGCTACGTTTGCTAAAAAAAATGCTGGTGATGCTACCGATGCTGCTGGCAGCTTGGTGAAGATGGTGTTACCGTGTTGTCCAGTCATGGTTATCTGTTGATCGCTAAGAGTCTATAACCCCCTTCAAGAGTATGCAACTCTGATCTCTGAGCTACGAGTGCTCTGCGCGGGGTGTTGTCTGTGTCATTTGCATGATTGTAGTGAACTGACGGCTGACTGGAATTTGACATTCTACAATATTATATAGTGTTGGGTACATGTGTGATAACTGTCGGTAGATTCAGCACGCAATGCGCATACATGCAGCATCAATTTCTTAATGAATGGGACGTATGTATCAATTTCCCGCCATTAGGTTTGCGGGGCAAGTCCATTACAACCGTACACTTCTTGATTCCAGCTCTGCATAAAGGGTCGTGGACCTTGTAAGGTCATACTCATAGATGTACTAGAGCGGGTTGAACCTGCCAAGTATGGGGCAACTTGCCCTGCGAAAAGGTGCCGGCCATCTTCGATGCATACCTTCCATTCTCCGAGAAAACATGCTTTGAGTCTTCAATACATGCGAGATGAACATAGTTGCAGTGGCTGAGCTGATCCTGCAGTCTGTGGTTACGTAAAGTGGGTAGCATGCCATACCTGACTCCACATGAAGAGTTACATACTCTGGGAAGGGGTGATGGGGGGGGGGGGGGGGGGGCGTATGAACGCTTGCTATCGCCCTAAACTGGGTGTATTGCCGACTGTATCGATAGTGGTGTGGGTTGTGTCCATTTTGCTTTCGTTTTTGCTTTATAGCAAGGCCGAGAGAAGCTCACATCGTCATCAGCATCAATACCGCTAGAGCAGGCCCATAGCCAAGGTGGCCATGAAGCACGAGGAGATGATGCAGCTTCATTAGCAGAGACTGCATCCAATGCCTCGGGTATGAGATTTATGGTGGATTTCCTTCACGCTTCATGGTCCACTTCCTGGATTGTACTGCTGCACTCTCATCTTACACTACACTTTCACTATACATGTTTAACCCTTTGTGGACGGACTGTACGAGTTTCGATCTAATAAGATCGAAAGTCTGCAGGCGGTAAAATCTTCGTAACTCCATCGTTTCTTGAGCAAATTCCACAATCGAAGGGTCTACGTGGTAGCGGAAACTCCAAGCTGTCCAATGCAACAATCGCCGAAGAGTTACGATGTCGGACGCCAGAGATATCGCACGCCGTATTCTTACCTCGGCAAATTCAAATTTTTGATCGATTATTTCGCCATTTTGGGGGAAAATCCCTTTTTGTGTGCTCTTTGAGCGACTGAGCACATGATAATGACGTAGCCGGCTGAAGGTTGAATCGTCTCAAACAGATTTGAGCGTTCTGCGATGAAGGACAGTGGAATGGCGTTGATGGGACGAATTTGCTTGCATATCAGGCTTGGAGACGATTTTGCTGTGTTACCGCGCCTGATTTGTGGCGGCTGGATAATGGAGATTGGTACCCTGGCGTTGCTCTTGTCAAGAGCTTTCCAATGAGCCCTTGATTGTGAAAATCAAGTGAAGGACATCAAAGTTATGACATGGTAAAGTTGAAAATTGTACTGACATTTTGTAATTCTGGTGCATACTGTGCTAGTAATCCGTCCATAAAGGGTTAAAAGGCCGTGGCAGAATGACGTAGTTTGTACAGCGAGCACCCTACACAGCCACCTGGGTATGGTTGTGTAGGGTGTTGCCTCTGTTGAGCAATGCATTCCTGACCCTAACATACTCACATGCATTACTCATACATTCCGTATTTGGCAATGTACAATGGGTGTAGTGTTTCAGGTACACCTGATATGTGCATATACATAGCGATGATATTGCTAATAGATCACTTTCCTACCCTCTGTTTCTTCTGTTTCTTCCTTTGCAAGCGCGTTTCATTCAACCTTGCACATTTTTGGTTGCTTGCCTTTATGGGTTGTATTAGACACAGAGACAAGAGCTGTAATTGCTGCGACTGCTGCCATGGACGTGCCAACAGAGGAAGATCTGGAGAATGAGCTCGAGGAGGAGACAGGCCCTGAGGACAGTGCCGAGCAAGTGGCAAGGCAACTGGTCAAGGAGGTGGTGGAGAAGGCGGTTGACGAAGTCAACGCCGAGATTCTTGTAGAGTCTGTCAAAGAAGGCCTTGCCCGGGTCAGTAGCAATTTATCTATGTCTCATGTACCGGGTCAACCCATGTACTTTATGTTTCATGTATCATGTCATGTCAACCCATACACTTTATGACTCCTGTTCTGGGCCATCCCGTGCACGTTTGCATGTGTGTCATGCATTGGGTCACGCCTTACTTTTATCCGAAGGCATTTTGATTCTCGCAACACAGCCCAATGCACAGCAACATTCACGACTACTGGGGAAGACTTCTTCTGATTTCTCTGTTCGATTTCTGGGTTGTGTTTACATGTTTACGTAGGCAAAAAGTACTTTGGGTTTGACAAACCTGCAGGTCTGAATGGGAAGGTACTGGCTGTCAGTTCAACAGCTTGCTGTTGAACGCAGACGTTTTGAACGTCAGCAGATATGTAGCTGATATCTGTGTACATTTATCCTTCTTTATGTTGTGCAACAGCAGCAGTCAGCTGACACAGAGACGGCAACTGCCAATGCAAACGGTAAGCAACCTGCTATGGGTTAAGTGTTCAGCTTGGCATTCTCTTCAAAATTCTTGTGCTGCTGATTCAGGTGTCCTGTTCAGTGTACATCTTGCAGGTTTTGTGCAATGTACTACATGTGTTTATAGTTCTGCTTGAAGTCTGCGAGTAAATCTGAATCATCAAGGTGACCACCCACTGATGAGTGGTCTGTAGGCTTGCCTCTGGATCGTGAGGTACTGGGTTTCACGCCTGCACTAATGATAGGGAGTACGTTTGGTGCCTTCGCAAATGTGATTATGCTCACGTGTAATATTTTACCTGCTAGGGCGTGTGCCAACATTCACGGTCAAAATTCTTTAGCCTGCTTCTTGCACGATGTCTGCATCCACCACTGGGCATAGCATTATGGTCGTAGCCAGTTGGAGCGAATTGGCCTCTGCACTTCACGCGATGCTGTTGCAAATCCGACAAGCTTGCAAATTTCCGAAGGCTTGAAGGTGACCTAGTGTCTTCGGGTACTACTTAGGCCTCTGTGCTTCGCCTCTACCTCTACGTGACTTGAAGAAAATATACACACTGGCCTTGGGTGTTGTGTTGGTTGTGAAGTGCATACTGGGTCATTTTGACCAGACTTAGTTCACTGTACTGCACTGCTCTATGCGTATGTCACGTATTACAGTGTAAGCACGTGGCACTCAACTACATTGTAGCTGTATGGCGGTGTCAGCACACTGACTGTTTACATCTGTATTTTCTATCAACGGTGTTGGTCCAGGCGACTTGAAAGCAGCAGATTCGACCATTGCATCATCCCGTGCATCGGCTGGCTCACTTAACATGGAAGTGCTGAGTGACGTTGAAGGTCTCGATGCTATGGAAGGCGTTTTGAAGCCAGGCAAGAAGCTGAAGTTCACGCATATCACACAGAAGGATGCTTTCCTCGTCTTCCGCTCTCTATGCAAGCTCTCAATGAAGAGTGTGGAGAGTGCAGATCCAAAGTAAGTAATGGACTATCTACTTTTTTTGCGTCTTGGCAGTTTCCCTCCTTTATTATATTCTGTGATGTTGGTGTATTATCATCATGGTTACTGCTCGGCCCTGTGTGTTGGTCAGTCAGTCCGTCAGTCGGTCAAATGGTCAGCTAGTCAGTTTTTGGCTTGACTCTGACGTTGCTCCACTGTCTTGAAAATCTGCAGAACTTTCTGTCGAGCTTACTCATGGGCCATTTTTCTTAGTTGTCTGACTCAGTCAGACAAGTGGTTAAACAATTCCTTGTTGCAATTTAAACAACCTCCTGATTATTTTGTTGGTATGTGTAGCTAGGCAAATTCCCATCACCTTCTTTCCGTTGGTGATACCACCTCACCCTCTCCACTAGGCGCTGTATCTGCCACTGTGGCATCTCAGGCATGGTGGTGAAACTTCCTCAGTTGGTTGTTTTTTCTCAACTTAATTGTTCAGCAGGTGGTAACAGGAACGTGTGAATTTTACTTAACTTTTTTATCTTTGTGTACAATTTTGCAGTGCAGCTGACTTTCCCTTGACTACGTTATGTACAGTCAACTTGGCTAATAACGACTGCGGATATAACGACAATTCGCGAATAACGACAGAATTTCCATGCCCAAAGCAAAGTCCCATCCAACTGTAATACATCGAATGAGACTTCGGGTATAACGACACTTCGCGAATAAGGACACTTTTCTGATGCCCCGCCGAGTGTCGTTATAAGCGAAGTTGACTGTACTACCATAATCATACCCCCGACAGTACACACCCTTGCTTTCATACCTGTTTCATTCCTTCATACAGTACCATATACTTGCCTGTGTACATCTGTACATACTTCTCGTGCTGCAGGTCTCCAGAACTGTCCAGCACCGTTCTGTCCTTGGAGCTTCTTCTCGGCATCCTGCAGAACTCCGGGCCTTTCTTCCGCACCAATGAGCTCTTTGTGCGTGCCATCAAGCAGTACCTTTGTGTATCTCTTAGCAAGAACGGAGTTAGCAATGTGCCTCAGGTCTTTGAAGTGTCTCTGTCTATCTTCTTGACGCTGCTGCAGTCTTTCAAGTACCATTTGAAAATGCAAATTGAGGTAAGTTCATGTGATCATTTGGACAGGTATGATCATTCTTGTGAGCTTTCCAGCCTTAGTTGTGTTTATCTTCTTGTATATGTACGATGTATGTTCTTGTGTGTCTGTGCAAGTTTAAGGCGTTTTATGTTGTTCACGGCTTTTTGGCGGCCCTACACCCTTGTATGCCTGCTCTCTGCAACCTGTGTCGCACAGAACTCACAGAAATCAGTGGTATCCACTGAACTGGCACAGCTAAAGTGGATTTTCTTGAAGACAAAAGTGCAATTCGACTACGGAACACAGCAAGCTTCATGCAGGCTCATTACAAACAACATCCCAAAGTTTCCACTAGCACGTTCATTGTCTTCTCTTTAGGTGGTCACAGGCATATGCATATCACGCTGACCGTACCTCGTCACACGTCCATCACTAGTGCATAACTGTAGGATTTACTGTGTTTCTATGTGCGTGAGAATCATCACTTCTATTCTGTGTTTGTTCTCGCTTATCTGCCTACTGCTGCTTATATCACCTGTACAGTGTTTAAAGGTTGTTGTACTGGTTTAGGTTCTTCTGCCTGTGTCCACCTGAAGATAAGCCAATGAAAGTACTAGTGGTGACTTTGGAATGTTGATTGTAAAGAACCTGAAGCTTGTTTCATTCCTTAGCCATGGTATGCTAAGCAGTTTTGGGTGCAAACATCAGCTTGTAGTCTGTATTGTTGAGATTCATGTAGTCTAGTCCAGACTGTCTTGTGTCATGCATCTGCTTGCAGGTGTTCTTCAAGGAGGTTTTCTTGAACATCTTGCAAAGTGCCAACAGCTCGTATCATCATAAATGGCTGGTCATGCAAGCTCTGACAAGAATAAGCGGAGGTGAGTTTTCAGGTAGCATTCTTTTCCCTGTCGCATTGTAACACCAGATATGGCAGTCTTTTAGGCCGGGAGTCCTTTACTTATTATACATGATTGTATTGGTAGAGATGGAGTAACTTTATATTGGTTTGTTTTCTTTTTTTCTCCCCGGCTGTGTTGTTTGCAGACGCTCAGTGCATTGTTGACATCTATCTGAATTATGATTGCGACCTATCGCTAGCCAACATCTTTGAGCGACTTGTACGTGACATTGCCCATGTTGCACAAGGACACAAAGCCATTGCGCTTGGCAACCCAACTCCAGCACAGGAGAAGGCTCTGCAGTTGAAGGTAGTGTACCATGCGCATTCACACACATACACACACACACACGCGCGGGGTATGCTTTCAACTGCCATACATTCTTCATTGCATCTACTGATATGTGTCGGTATATATCTAGGTGCATGCGTTCAGCACTTTTGCCTTTCTGCTTGCAGGGAATCGAGTGCTTTGTTAGCATCCTTCGCTGCATGGTGGAATGGAGCAGAGAGCTGTATGTGCACCCTGGAGCACCTCATGCATCGGCAACAACTGAATCCCAATCTCGTAAGTAACAAGCGCGCGACTGCTGCTGGCTTATAGTACTACTAGTATTAATTTTAAAGTAATGCTTTGTCGTGTCTGGGTGCTTGTGCATGTGTATCTTCTCCACTGCTGTGCCTTTTGTGGTCTCTTTAATCCCAACTAAGATGTTTCCCTGTATAGCTGGGTAGTACCAAGAGTAAATAAGCTCCCAAGAGTGTGCAACTCTGCGTATGGGGTCTCCGACGGCGAAAACTCACATCGCATGTCTCAGGTACTGCGTACAAACGAAGGATAGCGTGCATGCAATCTGAATATCTGCTCTGATCGTGCTGGCGAGTTGCACATGCGCAGTGAGTTTTTGTTAGAGTTCTTTTTGATTACTCCGCTGCTCGCTAAAAACGGGCTGGAAACGTACAACTGCAACACTACACCACGTGATGTGAGTTTTCGCCGTCGGTGTACCCCATAGAAAGGGTATCAGGAGCTGCACACTCTTGGGAGCTGTTGTGCTCTTGCTAGTACATGTATGACCTGGAGGTAAGTGCCAACGAGTGGTTTCGAAATGTGGAAAGATCATTGCTGAAATAATGTAGTACAGGTGTGTCCTTGGTGCAAATAGTATGCTGCAAAGAGATGTTCCATCCTATCCGTTGTGTGGTTGTGTTGTTAACGTTCAGACCGTGGCTCCGTCGATAACATCCAGTCGGCAGTGAGTGGTGGATATGAGCGTGCTAGCCCTAGTCCGTTTCACCCACGCCCGTCATCGACGGTGCATGACGGCACGGACCCCGTCGATGCGGCCACTCCGGTCGAGTCCGGCAGCATTGACAACCCAGAGATGGTTGAGGTACGCAAGAAGCGCAAGGATCTGATGGAGCAGGGCCTCTTGAAGTAAGTTGAGACTTTGTTGCGTCTAGCACCCATGCCATGGATACACTTTGATGCTTATTAGTTTGTTTGTTCGCATACGGGACTGCCCGAGGCTGTGTCTGTGTGCATGCTTGGAGCTGGGATTTCTGAACTACAAATATGCCGTGTTTGCTTTCAATTTGAATTTTTGAATATGGTCGAATTCATTGCTTCCCATGGCTGACGTTTTTCCACTTTCCACTTTTTACAGGTTTACTCAAAATCCCAAGAAAGGAATGAAATTCCTCCAGGAAAATGGCTTAATCGGTCCTGAAGCAAGTGACGTTGCTAAGTTCTTCCATTCTGATGACAGGCTGGATATGGTAAGGTCTTGTGTACCCCATCACTGTATGTGTGGCTTGTGTTTGTGCAATACGTACTTGAGTACACCTCAGTTACCTTTCTGATTCCCTTGTCCCTGTTGATGAACTTGGCAGTTCTTGGACAGGCTCAGCACTAGTGCGTATGGTAAATTACGACTATTGTACGTTGAATGACTTTGAGTGCTCATTTCCGTATGCTAGGGACTAGACACGAATCAACGTAACACTTGACAAGAATGGTTCCTCACAACTCCCGAGTTCCCTGCACTCAGCAATCATCAAGTGCCTGGTTTCGGAGTGCATGAAAATCAGAGTTTGCGTTGAACATTGTTTTGTTCACTATTGTGCTTGGTCATGTGATAATCAGTGTAGGAACAGTAATAACAGCTGCTGCAGCAGTGCTCGATGTCCTGGGCACGGATCCTGGATTGAGACAAACAATACTCAGGGTTAGGCTGTGTTTACTTGAGAAATTTCAACCCGGGTCGAGTTCAGCCCGGGTTGAAAGTCTGTACGATAGACAAAAGAGGTGATCGTTTACATCAAGAGTACATAACCCCCCAGAGTGTGCAACTCCCACATACCCTGTTGTCCCGACAGAATTTCAAGTTGACGTCATTATTTATGACGCAATGCTCCTTGCAGCAGTGATTTACAACATGTGTACGGGTGTCAACGCATCACACGTTTTTCTTTGCAATAATTTGTACAGGATCTATCGGCTTCGGTCAACCACAGGTTCCGGATTCGTCTGATAATCCGTGTACAGTGCGCATTGCATCATCAAAATGACGTCAACTTTAAATTCTGTCGGGACAGCACCCATAGTGGAGTTGCACACTCTGGGGGGTTATGTACTCTTGTTTACATGAAGACAGTTGACCCGGGTCAGATACTGATATGCCGCCAAAAGTCCTCTTCTACAGTCCTGTATGGTCACGTGAATCCGTTCGCGCGAAATTTGCATGTGCAGTGCTGTTCAAACCTGGCGCGAGATACGCACAGAAGTACATTTGTACGATTTTCTTGACCCGGGTTGATTTCAACCCTCCCCTTGGGGGGGGGGGGGGGGTGAAATCAACCCGGGGCGAAATTTCAACCCGGGTCAAGCGCAATGCGTCATGTAAACGCGCCATTCATTTTGTGTACATGGCGGGTTGAAATCTGACCCGGGTTGAAACGCTTCATGTAAACACAGCCTTAGTTGCTGCTCAAAGCTTCATGTCTATAGCAACCTTCGGACAGCTGATGCTATGTTTGTGACTATCATTGTACATGTATGTGTGTGTTGTGTTGTGTTCAACGACACCCACGCAGGTCGCTATTGGAGAGTACCTTGGAGAGAATAATAAGTAAGTGTAACTGGTTTGCCATGTGCAGCACTGATGGAAGCCTTTGTGTGTGTGTGCGTGCGTGCGTGCGTGCGTGCGTGGTGTGTGTGTGTGTGTGGACATATCATAGAATTGCTGTGCTTCATTTCTTGTGTACTGTGTTGAGTATGAATACAAGTATACAGTGCAGTACAGTGCACGGTGTTCTCTCTTTTGTCTTCACCGCTGAGTTGTGCCAATGCTCCCTGCTTGCAACAGCTTTACAACGTACAATGTGAATTCTCCTTGCTATTCCCCGTACAGATTCTGCATCGATGTCATGTACTCTTACTGCGACCAAATGGACTTCAGTGGAATAGACTTTGTGCCAGCTCTCCGCCTCTTCCTCTCAGGCTTCCGCTTGCCCGGAGAATCGCAGAAGATTGATCGACTGATGGAGAAGTATGCTGCTCGATACTGTGAGAACAACGCCAGGTACGGTTTCCCACTTATATTGTTTTTAAAATGAAGTACTCCACCACAGGTGCACAGTTTGTTTGGGCACGCAAAGGACCGGCGTGCTGTTTCTTCAGACATGGTACAGGAAATAGCCATGCAAACTGTAGAATGCCCGGATGCGCTGAACGTCTTCCCAAGGAAGGTTACTGAAACAACAGCAGTACACTGTGCAAGAAAGGGGGATGGTGCTGTACCCTCTGTAGTATTCCCATTGCTTTGTAGCTTTTCTTCTTATTACTTGATACTCGTGTGCTACCCTGATTTGAAGCTGATGTACGGTGACTATGTGTTTTTCTGTTGGCTCTTTGTCTACAGCCTTCAATTGTTTGCTAGTGCCGATACAGCCTATGTGTTGGCGTATTCGATCATCATGCTTGCCACTGATCTTCACAGTACCAAGGTAAATGCAGCAGCTATTGGAGTAATTTTTGTCATAAGCGGGCTCTTCTAAAAGGATAGTTTCATACCATGTACATGTGCTCAATAACACTGTGTCCCGAGAAAATGGACACATTTACGTTCCACTTCTCTACCCTGCATTGCGTTCAGCGCCGTTTTCCTGCATTCCATGACAAGCTTATTGTGGTGCACATCCTCCCTTGCCGAGAAACGTAAAATATTCCGTTTCTAGAGGTGCTGGGCTTACGTTTCTCGTTGTACTCAATTTGTGTGAAGCCCATTTCACTTTTGAGTTATTTTGTGTATACAAATATGACCCGCACTCGTGGGATGGCCAATCTGCCTATCATTGAGGAAATCATCCGTGAAAACTTGGTCAAACCGGCGGTAATGACCACATGTCAAGGAGAGCTTCTCCATCATGTTTGAACAGCACAAAGTCACGCAGAGATACGCAGCCGTTTCAACTGGTCGGAGGAAGTAGCCACATGGCGTCATGGGTGGCAGCATCTCTGATATTTGTGCTTCAGCTGTGTTGGCTTTGTAAATAGTCTTTTTGCTTCTATGCTATGTACAGATCAAGCGTCAAAACAAAATGACCAAAGAGCAGTACATCAAAATGAACCGTGGTATCAACGACCAGAAAGACTTGCCACCGGAGTATCTCGAGGGCATCTATGACGAGATTGCCCGCCAAGCGATCACTCTCCGTCCAACTGGCAAGACTGCGAAAGCGCTGATGGAAGACCGCAGCCACATACAGACCAGCTTCACCAGCGCCACTCACATTGACCATGTGCGGCCCATGTTTAAGGTATGTGCGTAGGTGTGCAGTGATGGTGGCACGTTCTAGCTACGAGTAAGTCCCTGCATATAGTAGTGGCACCGATTGCTGTCTTTGGGCTCTTCGGAGTGTTGCTTGGTGTGTTTTATACTACATGTACTACGGTTCTCATAAGAAGGTTGGTTGCTCACAAAACCAGTTGAAAGACGGCAACCAATCGGTGCCACTACTACCATCAAGTACTGCGAGAGCGCCCCGTCATTGCGTAGCACTGTAAAATCAGTTTTCCTATTTGCCATGCTTGTTTTGACTAATATCAGAGGTGTTTTGCCGATGCATGCTTGGACCCCGTACTATTTGATCTGCTTCTCAGTGTTTGCCACTGTGTTTTTTTAGTGCTTGTATGAATGTTTATTGTTTATCTGTCACTGAATGCCTTGGTGTTGTTACAGCTGGCTTGGACGCCGTTCTTAGCTGCACTCAGCCTGTCGCTGCGAGATGCTGATGATATGCAGATGGTGACGCTGTGTCTGGACGGCTTCCGCTGTGCTATTCGCATTGCCTCCATCTTCAACATGCAGGTGAGTTGTTAGAATAGACAACGTGCAAGCCACGCTCACATTGGTGTATCCATGTGTACATTTTATCCTTGATGAATGCATAGATATCTGTCCATTCGATTTGGGAACTTCGAATGATTGTAATTTGCATCCGTAGCCATTGCTCGGATAGACATACACAGGCTGATTTTGTAGCCCTGAATTTTGAACGTTTGCAACAGAGTCAACTGTGGTTTTGCATCATTTATAACAGCGAAACTAGATGAAATGCTTGACGTCCTCACAAAGCCCTTTGCTTTGTGTGCAGGCTTTTTTGGATTGTTGGAATCCCTGGTGCTGCAGACTGTGTGTGGTCTGAAATGATGACCGAACAGCACTGGCCGGGCATTCTGCCTTTCAGGCCCACCACCCTGCCATGTGTGCCAAACCTTTTTTTAAATTTAAAACTGTGCCACGGGTTGGGCTTCCAAGCCAGCCTGGAGAACATTCTTGATCACAAGTGATGAGCAAGATAGAAATAGGGACAAGGAAGACTTGGTAGGCCACTGCAGAGTGAATCTCTTTTTTTGATGTATCTGTTTTGCACACGCTCTTGATCATCAACCGTGACCGTCGAGGTTACGCACAGAGACACGCTTTCAACTATCTTACGGCCATCGGAAAGCGTAACAATTGCGATCTTTTGTGTGTGTGTGTGTGTGTGTGTGTGTGTGTGTGTGTGTGTGTGTGTGTGTGTGTGTGTGTGTGTGTGCATGATATTGTTTGTTGTCAGCTCGAGCGCAATGCCTTTGTGCAGTCGTTGGCCAAGTTCACACTGCTTACCAACACTGGCCTGTCAGAGATGAAACCGAAGAACATTGAGACGATCAAGACACTGATTGCGGTAGCCCATTCGGAAGGCAACTACCTTCAAGAGTCTTGGCATGAGATTCTCAATGTTGTCTCTCAGCTAGAGCTTGCACAGCTTATCGGTACCGGAGTGAAGACACGCTATATCAGTAGTGGAGCAACGGATGGTGGTGGTGCTGGTGGACCAATGGGCATCAGAGACTCGACAGCTGCTGCCAATGAGCTTCTTGAAGGTGTGTTGTGAACTTGTGTGTATGTGTGTGTGTGCGTGTGTGTGTGCGTGCGTGTGTGTGCGCGTGCGTGTGTGTGCGCGCGCGTGTGCGTGACGCAGATCTTTGCCCTGTGTTGTCAAACTTCCTATTTTATCTGGCTTGTGCTTGCTGGTGCTGATCATACCGGTAACACTTTGCAACTGCTCTCTTTACACTTGCTTTGCTTAGGTGCAAGAGGTAAAATGGATCAGAAGACTCTTGCCACCATTCAGGAGTCCATGGGTGAAACGAGCTCACAGAGTGTGGTGGTGGCTGTGGACAGGTATGTCTGATCAAGTACCTGTTCTCACAGGTTGAGGAAAGATGAAGTACCTGTACCGTACTAATTGTCTCACAGACTTGACCTGTCGAATGGAGTATCCATTTGCAACAGTACCCAGTACATTGACATCAACTAACCTCCGGTCTCTGGTTGAGCAGAACTATTAGTTGACACGATGGGAGAATTCTGTATTTGTGTCTTTTGCTACATTGCAATGTGTACCTACCATCCTGATAGTATAGCCAAGGAAACACTGCTGCAAGATCCCAGTTTCATTGACTTCACACATGACCCTGTCATACGATAATAGTATAATTATTAATATGTGGGATTTTGTGTGTTGGTGTTTTGCAGAATATTCACCAGTTCGTCACTCTTGGACGGTGATGCGATTGGTATGTTCTCTCCTTTATTACTAGCTCTTGCAGTTACATGTTTGTCGCTTTTTAATATGATTTCTCCTGTAGTTGGTCAACACTGGCCTGTCTGGTACAGTGGCATTCTTGTATTGCTATCTTATCTTTTATGCAATTGTTTATGTCATGTGAGGAAGGGAATACGTGAGAAATTGCAGGCTGTGACTTGCTCTCTTCACTTCAGTCGTTGATCCATCTCAGTGTGAGTGCTGGCAGCTCTTTCAGCTGCCACTTCAGCTCATTGGTAGCTTCATGCGGTCACAGTGTGATGATGGTTGTCTGTCCTGTCTGTGCTCTTTGTGTTGCAGTTGACTTTGTTCGAGCACTTTGCTCAGTGTCAGTGGCCGAGTTGGAAAGCAGGGTAGTGCCGCGCATGTTCTGTTTGACCAAGATTGTCGAAATCTCCTACTACAACATGGGCCGTATCCGTTTGGAGTGGTCGCGTATCTGGGCAGTTCTCGGAGAGTACTTCAACAAGGTTAGCTAGCTCCTACAGTCATATGCCACGTCTGCATGCTTGTACTTCTTGCAGTACTGCAGTATGTGCCAGTGTCCGTTGGTACATAGGCAGTGATCGTACACCGATATGTAGCTAGTAATTGTGTGACAGTAGGTACACTGTACCTAGCTCTTGATTGAGGATCAGCTTGACAGATTATTCCTACAAACTACATGTAGATCATAGCTGTGTGTTGTGCTTTTCACCGTGATTTTTGATATGAACAGTTAGGGAGCTCTTCTGTTTCTTCCTGTTTCTTCGTCTGCCGGAAGATCTCCCCTTGAAACTCAGAGCAGCGACCTATCTTTCATGTTAGATGTTAACGATTGCATAGCTGTATGTTCGTGCATTCTGCGAGCACTTACAGTTTCCACTGGATGTGAATTTTCAGAGCTAAGTCCAGAGAACTGGTTTGCTCCATTGCCCACTGCACAGGTGGCAAAAGCTAGATCTCCCTCACACACACACACACTTCAAAGAAGACTGGTACAGTGACTACTGACTATTGTAATGCTTTGTATCGCTTATTTGCATGCTTGTGTTTGCTGCAGGTTGGCTGTAACCCTAACGATGACATAGCCTTCTTCGCCATCGACTCTCTACGCCAGCTCTCCATCAAGTTCTTGGAGAAGGGCGAGTTGGCCAACTTCCGCTTCCAGAAAGACTTTCTCAAGCCGTTTGAATATGTCATGAAGAGAACTGGGTATGTGACGGCAGCAAGTACACTAGCCTTTGTTTCTTTCTTTTTTCAGTGCGCCGTTACGTTCAATGCAATGGATACATGTCGTACTGAAGTGAGCAGACCTTGTTTGCCCTGGGCTTGGTTTCAGAGAGTTTCAGAGTGTTCTACTTCGGACAGTTGCTACGGCTGAGTACCGGTGTGTCTAACTTTGTGCATGTAGCAGATGGGCTTTGCCTATGTATTTTCTGTGTGTGTGTTTGTGCTGTGTGTAGTTCCCTGATGATCCGCGACATGATCGTCAGCTGCACAGAACAAATGGTCAGCAAGCAAGTACACAACATCAAGTCTGGTTGGGTCAACATCTTTGCCGTCTTTCACAAGGCTGCGTCAGATCGCGATGAGAAACTTGTTGAGAAGGCGTTCTTTAGAATAAGTAGGTTGAGTTTTGGCTTTTCAGTACGCTCTGATTGTATATACCTGTATAGTTGAGGTGAGGGTGTCGGATTGTACACCTAGTCACCAGTGAGACTCCTGTTAGACTAGTCCGAGACTTGGAGTGTGTACATGTAATTGTTGATGTGCACTGCGTACTACTGTAAAAGCCTTATAATAGCAAAGTGCTAAATGTAACGAGTTAACGAGGAGAAGTCTGTCGCTAAAATAGAAGGCTATAATACAGAAATTGGCTCTTCATCCCAGTCTATAATGCAGAAATCGATACTTATGCTGTTGCTGGTGAACGTTGAAAATGAGTGAGAATCGTTGCCTTTGGTACACGTAAACCTGTCAATTTTACGAAATCGTTATATTTGCGGCTCGTTAGAATAATGGCTTCTACAGTATTCCTGTTTCTTCCACTCACCACTCCTTGCCTATGTGTCCTTGTCTCTGTTTGGTTGCTCATTTCTGTCCCCGTGTTGCTTGGGAATGTGCGCAGCGAAAATCTTCCGCGACCATTTTGCAGCAACGATCGAGACTTTCCAGGATGCCATCAAGTGCTTATCCGAGTTTGCGTGCAACACTGCCTTCCCCGACACTGGCATGGAAGCCATCCAGTTAATTGACCTCTGTGGGCAGCAGCTGGCTGTACGGCCGGAGCTGTTTGGTGAGGCGAATGAAGAGACTGTGGATGCGCAAGATCGTGTGTGGGTAAAGGGCTGGTTCCCCGTGTTGGTCGAGCTCTCCTATATTGTCAGTCGGTGTAAGCTGGACGTCCGGACACGGTTAGTAGCTGTCTGATGAGACGGAATCTACACTATTGCAGTATTGGTCTGTGCTGCATTGGTCTGTACTGGACCGGATTTTGTTGCATGTGACGTGACTGTACCCATGTTGATAGCCGATCAGCGACCTTAGCGAGTGCGTGGTATTACCTGGTATTGCACGCTCACCTTTTAGAATAATATTGAACGGGCGATATTGAATATTGGCACGTCCAGTAGGGAGATCAAAGTTGCAAAGGCTATAAACGAAATAGTGAACAAGGAGGGCAACAGTTCGCTTGGGATAAATCAAATATTGAGCTTTCCCCCGGGGTGATACCACAGTTGATTATTATTTTGTCAGTACTATGTACCCTGGCTGAGTCTCGTTCAATATTTCGTGCCTACTGCAGCACTGCATCACACTGCACCGTATCAGGGTGTACATGTTGCCCACACTTTTTTTAGTTGTAGTTGCTACATGTGGGTGTGCTATTGTGATGGATGTGTGCATTCTGTGATGTGTTGTTGTCAACCCCAATGTACTAGTACGTGCGCTGAATCTGTACACATGAAGAGGTGTTTTGCTGCTTCTGCACTTGCTGTTGATCCTGTGCACACTGAGTGTTTGTGTTCTTCTCCGTGTCTGTGGTACAGTGCTCTGACGGTGATGTTCAATATCATGAAGAGCTATGGGCATCAGTTCACCATTCACTGGTGGAAAGACTTGTTCTCGGTGGTATTCCGTATCTTCGACAATACCATGCTACCGGAGGCACAGGTATGTTGTGTTCAACAGCTGCCTGTGATCTGTATTCTGCTATAAGTCTTCTGCATCACCTCCTCCATACTGATACATCATCCTATGCATGCCATGACTACATCTGGCAGATCCTGAATCCTCTGTCCAGTGTCCTTGTTGGGTGGTGGTGGTGGTGCAGGTGGTGGTGGGTTGGGGTACTTCTAAAGTTAATATTGGTTTGCTCACTCTGTTCATCCTATGTCATGCATTGTACTTCTTATGCATGCTGGCTAGCTGAGGTGTGTGTGTGTGTGTGTGTGTGTGTGTGTGTGTGTGTGTGTGTGTGTGTGTGTGTGTGTGTGTGTGTCATGAGGTATAAAAGATTTAATGTTTGTGTTGTGCATGGATAATCAGTATTGTCTGAAAATAGTGCCATTCAGCTTTGCCCTGCCGGGGCAGTGCTTTCATTGCTGGTGATTGTGTGACACCGTGTTATCACCATGCTCAATGTCCGGCATGTTAAGCTGGTCCGCTGACAATGCCACTCTTTGTCATTTGCTCTCTACCCCCATTGTCATATCAGTCATTGCCTTCATCTTACTTGTAGATTGTGCCAGTACAGCATCAGCCTCTGTCATATCTTTATCGCCATGTGCTTCTGTTTTGCCTCCTCTCGCCATGTATAATGGATGAACTACTTAGTGTGCTCCTGATATCACCATACCTAACCCAGTCTTTCTCTATCTCTATCTACTTTTTGTGCATTCCCCTATCTTGTTATGCATTTGCTACCATCATTATCTGTGAAGGAGGAAGACTGGAATTTGTCGCCACAGGAGGTTGCATCGGTGGGTGCTGTTTTATTATCTTGGCAGTTTGCTAAGCAATGTTTCTCATAACTCTTAGTCCCTACACCCTTGCCTCGCCTTGTGTAACATTGAGTTTGAAGTGAAAGCTAATTTCCTAATCTTGCTCAGTGCCGAGTGATAATTTATTAATAATATGCACAATGCTTGCAAGCGACAGTGCATCTTGGAGTGTTTGATTTGGCCAATGTTCCGTCCGTCGCCGGTTTTTCAAGCAACAGTATCTGCCCGAATAGCAACCGGATATTTGTATCCATTCTAACATACCAGTCTACTCGGCGAAGGACGTTCAGGTTGGTTGTAACTCCGAATGTTCATGCCGCGAGTCGATCATCAGATAAATGAGTTGTCTGATGATATGTTCTACGCTCTGTTGATGACATTGAGCACTCTCTGCAGCTCGGTGATAAACGGATTTGTAACCATTCCTACACGTAACTCGTTCTCCAGGATACCTAACGAGATTCTGACGCAGTAGAATTTTGTTCTGTTTACACGGCACTCAATACCCGGTTAGCAGGGCTTGCTTGCATTGTAGGCAGCTGCCATCTACAGACAGTACCATTATTCTCAACCTGTGCCTAAAACTGTAATAAAAAGGCTAAAATTAATATCATTCATGTGACTCCTAGTTTGATCTGTGATAACCATTCTTGTGAATAGTGGCGGCAACTTCACTAATATATAAAGAAATCGTTCTTGCTCCCTGCCTGGGAGCTCACGCTTTCCTGACACCTTGACTTGACACTGGCTTATGCATGTCGTCATGCTGATGCTGGTGCTATATGCAGCAACATACTTAGACATATGGAATCCTATTGCATCATAATAAGCGGACTGTACAGTTGTACAGGTTCTACATATAACGAGCAATGTACCTGTTCATCCTCTGAATGATAACACTTCTGCTATCACCGATAGTATCTAACCAATAGCACATGTACATAACTGACGAGAGTGTGCAGCTGCTGACAGCTAGCTGCCGCCACTTGTACTGAGATTTCCTGTACACCGTTTTCCATGGTGCGACCACCCATGCATTCGAGATGCAAGGTTGACTTTACCCATGATCCGGTTGCGTGTATCAGGCAGGTGCATTGCATCACGAAAAATAACGTAATTCCGGAAACGAGTTATGACAGATTTGTGCTGAGTAGCACCCTCTGGAGAGAGGTCTGTACTCTTGATACCTCCTTTTTCCCAAATACTTTTCTTGCAGCGCGTATAACCTGTTGCTCTTTGTGTGTCAAACGACTAGAGTCCTTGGGAAGAGCACCATCTTATTTTAGGGGTCAAACGGGTGTACCTTTAACTAACGAACGGGTAATTTTCTTAACAGGCGGGTTATCGGGTACCCTCTAGCAGCCATGTTTTAGTTTTTGCGCAATTTTCATATAAACCATGATAGTAATCTATCTGTTCTCAGGTTGCATTTTGATATCACATTGTGATTCGCCAACTGATTTGAGTCTGGTAGTTGCAGAGGTAGATCTACTGGGTGCGAAGATGCAACAACAGGCATGCAGCTTGGAGTTGTAAATAATAGACTCCCGCATGGAATACACAATCCCAGCAGTGTTGTTTCGTACTGACTTGATCACCGAAATCCAAACGGTACCTGGGAACACCCCTTTGCCCCCTATCTTATTTACATGAGTATACTTACTGGTGCTGGCACAGACTTGTTAAACTGTTACCGACATTCTTTGAGATAGAGCTGAGGCAATGAATGTGCTGTTACTGGCACTCTTTGAGATAGAGCTTGAGTCAATAATTGTACTGTTGTTCCCCTGATGTTTCACATGAGTATGGTAATCTTCTGGCAGGTTCTTTGTGTATGTGTTGTAAGATTGTGTGTTCTGTTGTGTGTTCTGTTTCTGTGTGCGTTTGCCTGTGCGTAGAAATCTGAATGGATGACAACGACATGTCCACATGCACTGATGGCCATTGTCAACGTGTTCACTCAGTACTTCGATAAACTAGTGCCAGTTCTGCTGGATGATCTGTTTGGCCAGTTCTGCTGGTGTGCCCAGCAAGGTGAGAATTCCAGGCGCTCTCTTTCTCTATCTCTCTCTCTCTCTCTGTCTCTCTCTCTGTCTCTCTCTCTGTCTCTCTCTGTCTCTGTGTGTCTCTGTGTGTCTCTGTGTGTCTCTCTCTCTGTCTGTCTGTCTGTCTCTCTCTCTTTCTGTCTCTCTCTCTCTTTCTGTCTCTCTCTCTCTCTGTCTCTCTCTCCCTCTCTCTGTCTCTCTCTGTCTCTCTCTCTCTCTCTCTCTCTCTCTCTCTCTCTCTCTCTCTCTCTCTCTCTCTCTCTCTCTCTCTCTCTCTCTCTCTCTCTCTCTCTCATTTGTAGTTCATGCATGCTTCCTGGCCTGTGTGTGTAGTCGCGGGTATGTGTGCATGTGTGCCCGTACATTGCATCTACATGGGTACGTTAGTTTGTCTGTGCCACTGGCGACAGTTCATACTGTATGCTCTCTATTACCGTTAAGCACTGCAAAAGAACCCCACCGCCTGGACCCTTTTGTGGTCATATTGTGGAAGTGTGGTGGATGAGTGAGTCCTGTCTGAAGGCTCTATAGCACGTACCTTGTACAAACATTGTATATTGCAGGTGGTACATATCCATTTCACCTTTGAGGAGTAGTGAGGAGACAGAGCAAAGCTCAGGATTCCGTCGTGCAGGCTCCATGTGCTTGAATGTTTTTGTACACCTTGCATTGCAACAACGATGTGCTTGCATGTTCTAGAATCGTATGCCCTGCATTATAACAATGTTGAAAGCAGCAAGTGTGCCCAAGCCACCACACACCAGAACTGCACACTCCACTTGTCATGTACTATTGATGCATATTGTATGTACCTGTTCGTGCAATGTATGTGTGTGTGCACGCGCTCGTGTTTGTGTGTGTGCACGCGCTCGTGTTTGTGTGTGTGTTGCTGCTGCTGATGCTGTTTCTTCTGATACTGCCGCAGAGAATAAAGATTTGGCGGCTGCAGGCCTGGATTGCCTGGAGAGCTTTGTACTGAGCAATGGCGGTGCATTCGATGAGCAGATCTGGGATAAAACAATAGAGTGTGTTGAGAAAATCTTCGAGGACACCGTGCCTCACAAGCTGTTGACATGGCAGCCACACACTACACAGTATATCCCGGTAAGACACCTAGGTAGCATACTCTCTCTCTCTATCTCTCTCTATCTCTCTCTATCTCTCTCTATCTCTATCTCTCTCTCTCTCCCTCTCTCTCTCTCTCTCTCTCTCCCTCTCCCTCTCTCTCGCTCTTTCTCTCTCTCTCTCTCTTCTGATATTGCCCTGTTTTTTAGGAGAGTAGAACGGGAGAATTTACTGAGTGGAAAGTCTGTCAGGAACGAAATGGGTCGTATTCATGTGCAGTATCTCCCCAATTATATATTATAAGTCACACTTGATTATAGGCCGCACCCCGATGTTTCAGTAGTCTGAACCAATAGCTGTGTTTCACTATATTCACACATCAGTAGGAAGTCGTACTCGATAGAAGTCCCAACCCCTTCGCCCTTGAAGAAGTTTATTGTAAAAAGATGCGACTTATATTCGGGGAAACACGGTACTTGAAAGTAGTAAAATCTTCTGCTGACAGAGTTCTCCCTGCAACTAGAGTAACCACGTCATACATGTAGATGCTAGAGCACTGTCAGGGTCCTTCGTGGAGTTAGGAGAATCGCACGTCTAGCTACACTATTGCCGACCGGCCATAGCATGCTTTTTGCTGGACACACGTAGCACATCGTGCACGCTTGCTGGCGCTTGTCGTCCAGGATGGACAGTGATGACGATGCGGTGTTACGATGTGCAGTGTCATGGTGTGTGTGTTATAGTGTAGCAGTGACCAACACATCAACTCAACATGATTACTATTATTATTATGTGCGTGCACCTTGGCGTGCCCTCGCAGTCTGGTCTTATTTGCTTTTTGCTGTTGAACTGCCTAATGGCCAAACTGCTCCTTATTGTTGCCCTTACATCAGTGGGTGATGTTACAACTTGTTTACAACAGTGAGGTATAAATGTACAGCAGAGGGGTCTTTTTATTCCCATTGCTTTAGGCTTGTTGCATTAGGACCTTCAGAGCTTGACTTTTTTCTGATACTTTTATTCTTATTGAGGTGAAGATGTTTTGTATGCGTTCCCTGTTGCCTTCAGCACTCTCCCATTTCCATCCCACGCCGTGCGGACCTTGCCGCACGTGCTTCCGGGTCTGGCTCAGCGGAGATATCTCGGCGCAGTACTGACACAGGGGGAGCACAGGACTCGCCCGCCTCTATTCACCGTGCGATTGGTCAGCAGCCCTTTGTTCAGCCAGCCTCTGTAAACACGGACAGTAAACTGCTGGAGGGCAGCTCGCAAGAAAACAGGCCTGAAGCTGCAGCAGAGGGCGCGGCCCTTCAGGTGCATAGCGAAAGCCTGTCTGTAATGTCTGATGTATCACAACCCGCTGAAGTTGCTGATGATGCATCACAACTGTCGTCGCAGCAGCAGCAAAAGGAGGAGCAGCCGCAGCAATCACAGCCGGAGAATGGCAAATCACTTCGGCCGAAGCAGGAAACTTCACTGCAGCCCCAACAGCAGCAATCTACCATCTCTGATGCTAAGAAGAAAGAAGTACAAGCCAATGGTAAGCTAGTACTTGTTTGTTCCTGGTGTTTTGTTTTGCTGGTCATAAGGGTTAAGTGGCCCAAGACTGAAAATCCCATGTCCTGCATCCATCTTATCCTCGTACCAAGTCAAAGCACAGTCGGAAATCTTTCCTCTACTTGGTACGACTTTAACCTGCTCAATCATGGCCTTAGACTGTTCCACTCTGCCCCGACTATGCCTGCAAGCCAGTGCAACTAGGTTCTGCAACATCCCTCCTTTCACCTGTATTGTGTCAGGTTTGAGACCAGGACGTAGAAGAAGACAAATTCAACTTGGCATCAAATATGTTACGTGTTCTGCTTTCTGGATGTCAATCTGCAGCAGACGAAGCTCAGCGTCGGCTGTTTGCTACATTGACCATCCGATGTCAAGTACAGCGTGCTCTAATTCGCACAGTCGATCACATTCTTTTCTCGTCAGTTACGAGTAAGGAAGAAGACACACGGCTGATACACGCGGCATCACATGAAGTAAGTACATGTACAGCTGTGTTAGTGTGTGTGTGTTACTCTGTGTGTGTGTGTGTGTGTGTGTGTGTTACTCTGTGTGTGTGTGTGTTACTCTGTGTGTTGTGTGTGTGTGTGTGTGTGTTACTCTGTGTGTGTGTGTGTGTGTGTGTGTGTGTGTGTGCGTGTGCGTGAGTGTGTGTGTGTATGCGCTTGGGGTGTGGGTGGGTGGTGCACATGTGTGCTGTGTGTGTGTGTGCCCGCGTGCATGGCATGACATGTGTTCATGTCCTGTGTGTCGTATATATCGTGTGCTGTGTCTTGATGACCAGGTGAGTCATCCACGGACGGGCACACCACAGCCTTCGCCCATGGTGCGCCCAGCACAGTCTGGTACTCGCGTAGAAATGGTGCGTACATCCAGTGGCTCTGCCATGGTACCCCTGCTCAACGCCAAGCAGCTGCTATCCCTGGTCAACATGCTACTGAAGTCACATGACTTTGCCAAGTCATTTAACCAGAATGAGGACTTGAGAACTAAGCTGTGGAAAGCAGGTCAGTTGTTGTTATCTTGCTGCTACTGCTGCTACTGCTAGAGTTATAAGAACTGTTTCATGCTGTGTGTCATGCTATGTGTCATGATGATGATAATTGATCGATTTTGCGCACGATGAGTGCCGCAGCATTCCGAATTCCCTTTCTCTAATACAGGTCTACCCTCGCTAGTAGACAACCTATAATTAATTGTTGTTTCCACGTAGGTTACACTGTATGGTTGTAGTGGCTTTAGTACAAGTATTACCAGAAACCTGTCAAAGCGACCACTCTGATAAGGCGACCACCTGTCCTAGACCACTGCAACTAGTACCTAGGGGTAGTTGTTTCCAGTCAGATGATCCTGGATGGGGCGACCACCTGTGCACGGAGACCACATTTGGACGGTCCTTTGAACGGTCGCCTTAGACAGGTTTCACTGTACATTGGTGCTTGCTGGTGGACTGGTGTTGGTATTTAGGTTGCTGATCCTGTTTTTGTGTGGTGTGCTGTTGCTGTTGTGGTTGTTGATAGGCTTTATGGATCGTCTGAAACCCAATATGTGGTCACAAGAGGTGGCGAGCATTGCGTGTGCGTTGCGCCTTCTGTTCCTCATCTATGAAGCCGAGCGCTTCTCCAGTCATTGGGATGCTGTGGAGCTGCAGCTCATGGAGTAAGGACTGAGGAGGCTGAATTCTGTTTCTGCATGTACCCTGCTGGCCATGGTCACACTGGTCCTGCTGCTGCTGCTGCTGCTGCTGCTGCTGCTATTCCTAAAGGCAGCTTACTGAATAGCATGGCCACGGTGCAGTGTTTTAGTGCTCCCTGACAGCCATGTGTAACCGTCGAATTTTTGTTTTGTATTTTTGACAGCCATGTGTGCATGCGCGCGTCTGTGTGTGGTAGGTGGGTCTTGCACCTGGGTGAGGAGCCAAAATGCCCGTGTAACAAGTGTGTGTATTTGCTAGGGGTGAAACAATTATCCCGAATACCCGACAACTCGCTCGACTTTTTTTAAATAATCATAGTCTGAGTAAGTGTGAGTACTCGTTCATGCACTCTACTCAGTATGTGCAGTTGCTTTTAAAGAAATCGGCAGTTTCAGAGCAGCAGGCAGTAGATCTTAATGTGGGCAGGCTGTGTGCAGTGTGTGGTGAACATTGTTACAGACTTACAGTAGTAGAGAGAACCCAAATGACCCTCCAATCCACATGCTCTAGAAAATGGCTACCAATATGTTCTATCGGGGCTTGTATTATGTGAGCTTCAGGCTCTTCGTAACTTATGTGATTTGTAGGAGATGGAGAGCACTCAAATACAGTCAACTTTGCGTATAACGACACTCGGCGGGGCATCGGAAAAGTGTCCTTATTCGCGAAGTTTCATTATGTGTATTACAGCTAGATGGGGCTTTGCTCTGGGCATGCCAATTCTGTCGTTATTCGTGAATTGTCATTATATCCGCAGTCGTTATTAGCAAAGTTGACTATACTCGAGTATTCGATCGGAGAAAGTACTAGTACTCGAACTCGGGATTTAACTGGAAACGTTCACCCGTGATATTTGCATGTGTCGTTGGATGTATGTGGGTGATGTGTGCATGTAACCCATGCTGCATGTATGCATGGGGTACCTATGTGTAGCTAATGGTCTGTTTCACTTGTGTCTGCGTGTGTGTCTGTGCCTGTGTGTGAGTGTGTGCATACGTGTGTCTGTATGTCTGCGTGTGTGCGTGTGTGCATGTGTGTGTGTGTGTGTGTGTGTGTGCATGTGCGTGTGCGCGTGCACCACTGTGCTGCTTGTATTGTCTTAGCGTATGGCGTACAGCCATTGCATACTTCTGCTTGCTGTCATCACAAAAGCAACGTCATGAATGGTTGGGCGTACTGCTCCTGCTTTTCGATCGCCTTGGAAGCATGCAAAGTGACCGGGTGAGTGTCTGCACGCTGCTCAGCTAACCCGTTACTTCCTTTCGTGCTCCTGTGTAGAGGTGATGTCCTGTCTGTAGCACATACATATACGACACGTACCGTGTACACACATTGTACGTTGTGCAATCTATCCGTACTCAGTTCACCTCGGAGCTCCACACACGAACATGCTAAGTGCGACCTTAGTACACTGAGGTTCTCACACCGTACAAACTTTAATCGTTGCACTCTGCCACACAATTTTCCTTCCCCTGGCTGTAAAATCAAGGTGAGGCGGACGCTCTCATGGTACTTTACAGTATCGTCGCACGACAGCTAGAAAGAAAAGAACAAAACAAGCAATTGCTTACCTGTGGACTGTTGTCTTTCTCAGGAGTGTTTTGGTTTTTTATCTTATGCCAGCTTTTGCACATGCTATTGTGTTTTTTGCACAGTTTGAATGTCACTTGCTGTCCGAGGAGGCGAGTATACTGTTCGACATGTTACCTCTAGAGCTGGATCCGGAGATCCGCTGCACCATGCGTAACTTGTTGAAGGATATGCACCTACGGTTCTGTGCCAAACGGTGATAGTACCCGCACTAGTGCGCTGACAGCTTGTGCAGTGCACTCACGAGACCTGTACCTCTGGCCTATTGGCTTGCTTGGTGTTCAGCCTCTGCTGGTAGCGGTGAAACAAGCCTGTCAAATGTAGCCTTTCTTCTAGATAGTCGGTTTGTCTATTGTGTCCCGTGGCTTGCTGTGCTGGTGTGTGTGTGTGTGTATGTGTGTGTGTGTGTGTGTGTGTGTGTGTGTGTGTGTGTGTGTGTGTGCGCGCATGCGTGCGTGCGTGTGTGCATCAGCAACTTCACACCCTCGAATACACAGTATATGTTAACAGGCGTTCGTGCCATTGTCATTGTCGCTGGTATCGTCTTGTCCGTGTTTAGTTGAATATAACTCACACCATATTGCCTGCTGGGACTCAGTTTTTTCCCAATCTCGTGCTAGCATGAGATGATGGAGTTGCTGCTGGCTGTCAGTGTGAGGTTTGAATAGGATATTTTTTCTGTATGCTGTTTTCTTCATTTCCCTGTTGAAATTTCCATTTCGCTGCTGGCCCGGCGGGTCTTGTATAAGTTTCATGCTGATGAGATTTCTGTCTTCTTTACATTTTCTCTGTAAGCACTGTTGTTTTCATTGCTGCTTGTCTACTTTGTCCTGTTCGCCCATCTTGTAGATAGTATCACTTTATTGTCCGCTCTTTACAGCTACCATCCTCACCGTGTTACTACTGGTTGTTTTGCCTTTTACCCGTGCTAACATGCTCTAGCTGACTTCTCGTTGTCATCTCGGCCTTGGTGGCTATTTGCCTTCCTACGTGTACATTTAACCACCCTTTCCCCTGCCACTGCCATCGCACCATATTGGCAATGCTCTCGTGCCCCAGCATGTGTACGTGCTTCTGTCTGTGCGGGAGAGATTTTGTCCGGTATGCTGCAGCCTGCGTCGCACACTTTATTATATTATATAAGTCTATACATAATTTTATTTCTATGCCTTATTTTTCAACTGAATATTTGCTCAATCTTATTCCTTTCCTTTTTGGCCATGTACATGTAGTTTTGTTTGAAGATATCATCCCATGGAGCATGCAACGCCTAGTAAGACTACGTGGTATGCATGGAGCGGTCAGGCGGGTGCCTCACGGAATGCATTGCTGTGTGTTATGTGACTCACTCATTTCCTTTGTTGCAAGCCTTCTTGCAGCTCTGTGAGCAGCTTAGCTGTGCTGTGCTTTCCCCTAGGTTTGACTCTTCCATGCATTGCCTTTTTTTCGTTTTATTTTTATTATATTCGCCAGTCGTTTTCGATGGCGCCGTGTCACCTGTTCCAACATTGGCTATCGTAGCTGATCTCTGATGGTGTTCTCTGTGTGTGTGGGTGGGTGCATGTGAGTGGGGAGTGAGCCTGGACAAAACTCACAAAAGGGTTTTACTTGTTCGTTCGTGGAATTGGCATTCAAGCAAATATTCGAATATTCGAATATGAAACCTTCCATTCGTTTCTACTCTGTCGAAGGAAATGATCAGAGGCTGTGCAAACCAAGGAGTCGTAAAATACGAGCACAGGCACAAGCCGGTGAGTTGTACATCTTGTAAAATAAATTAAATTAATAAATAAAGCTATGAATAAAATAATCTGCGCACACTCATTACTCAACACACAAGGCAAGGTATGTCTCAAGGTTTTCAAGAAAAAAATCCTGTTGAAAACACATAGACCAGGACACCGCAAGGCTGATTATGCTGATTATGGCGGTTATACTTATAGTGGGCAGTGGTGTATCTGAATCCAAGTTAAGGCGACGATGCAATGTACAATGCAAGTAGGAACTGCACGTCACCTTGCAGAACTATACACGCACAACTTGTGGGATCTGAATATCAAATCAGGTTGGTCAACCAAACTATAGACTGCCGCTCGCATGGTCTAGGAGAGATGGAAATACATGTAGTTCATAGGACTAACTCGCCCCGAGTTTTAAAAGTTTTGGACAAGTATCACTCTGAATAGTCTTCACACTGCAAGGTCGTAATTGTTATTGATAAAGTCAAAGCAGCCAATCTGCTTATTCAGCTCATCCAGTATGCCTGGTGTCCAAGATACATGCTGGCGTGTCAAAGATGGTTTGGCCCACACAATCCTAGCACAGTCCTTGACATATGACTGCGGACACTTGATTCCCAAGTCACCGCATAACTTAGTGATGGTTATCTCCGGGTTTGCTTCCAGGTCCTCACAACGAATGTCGACAGTTTTGTAGCGCTTCCGGATTTCATCAACTGCATTAGCTCGTCGGGCATACAGAGACACACCGTACCCAATTTCCGCAGCATTGTCCAGTTTAGTGTTGTTTAGGATCACTTCACCGTTGACTACCGTTCGAAGATTGGTTTTCCTGAGAGCTTCAGTGGCGATAGTGTCGAGTGGATGCCGCATCACATGAACAAATACCAGAGGAACGTCCAGTGATTTCGACACATCATCAAATATGTTCCCTTGCTTCAGCTGCCGTGGCTTCATGCAGCCCACTAGCCGTGCATTCTCCCCGGCATGCTTGTCGCCAACAAACAAAAGGTTGTCCTCGAAATTCCCTTGCCACTGCCCGTTCACCTTGTAGAAGTAGTTTCTCCTTTTTTTGCTACCAGGGGGCACTTTCTCCCCGGGGCTAACGGATCGCAACTTTCCAGATGCAACTGATTGACTGCGAGTTTGTTGGAAGAGTTGGTCAAATACAAACTTCCTGTCATGTTGCTGCTTATGAGACCAACCATTCCAGCGCCTTGGCAAATCAAACTGATGAGCCATGGCGATATGCGGATGTGCATCAAGCAGGGAACCGACAAGAGTCGAGCAGCTGCGTGGGTGACCAATAAATAGAATCAAACCTTTCACTGATTTTGCCGCTCTTTGCGATACTTGCTCTTGCTGCTGTTGCTTGGACTTGGGCCTTGGCGGACTTTGGATTGGCTTCGGGCGTAGTTGATCAGAAACAGGAGGTATAGGATTGCGCACGCCATTCTTGTGTGGTCCCGCAGGTGCGTGGTTGCCACTCGGCAATTTTGGCTTGCTGTTCACTGTGTGTGTGTCACGCTTGCAGGTTGACAACGGAGCCACTACATCTTCCCAACTAGCAACTCCGGTTCCGGCAACGGTCATCGGGTGCTCCTTTCTCCGACCGGACAGCCACATCCACCAGAGACCCACCTTCCCTTTCCAATCTCCATAACAATCAGAATTCACACCATGCAGATATTCTGGCCCTGTTGCTGCTGCTACTGCTGGTGGTGCTGCTGCTGCTGGTGCAACTCCTGTTTTGCTGAACCTTACCACGTGTGGTAGATGCGACTGAAAGCTGGTTACGGAGAGAATATACGCGACAGTCAGGAAAAGCACCAGCACTGCCGCTGAAGTCTTCACTCCCGCGCTGAGATTCGTGCAGACTTGGTGGCAAGTGTTCATAGTGCTTCACTAGGTAAGTTGCCGATAATACAACATACTGGTAGCACTAGTACAGTAACGAAGCGGAGCTAATGCATACACCATTCAATAATACTAAAATATTATGGCTGAGAATGGTTTGGAGAAATATCTATTGTTGTAATTAATTATTTTCAAACCGCCAGTCGCTTTCGTTCCAAGAGAATCCCAAGTTCGGGTTGGTGTAGCCAATCGGATCCTGGAAAGTCACCGGCCAAACGCGTCAGCCGAGCGCATGCATACCGCGAAGTCCTGGAAAGGTCGAGGTGATGCACTCGGGGATCGGGAGATGCCAGCATCCCCATTTTCAGACTACCGTGTACATAGTCGTGATACCAGTGTCTTTTTAGTGCCAGTGAACATGGTGAAACAGTTCTTTACAGACTGTCATTAGGGGTCGTCGCAAAAGTTTTTTGTCGTCCCTGAAACGAACATGATTCATTTGGGGGGGGGGGGGGGGGGGGGGAGGGGGTGCGAGCCAAAATCGCAAGTCGACCGACACTGTACATATGACATGTACATGCATGCGATTTTCGTCGCTCAGCATAGCAAGCTGTGTTCGTTTCAGAGGGAGGGGAGGGGGTCCAAGTACGAAATGAACGATGTTCGTTTCAGGGACGACAGAAAACTTTTGCAACGACCCCTTACACGATCGATCTACCCTTTCTGCGCGCTGCATCATGACCCCACTGACATGACAAGACTCTAGTCTTGAAGACGGTGCATGCACCGTCGGTGACATACATAGAGTCAGAGTAGAGCCCGCCGCGCTGTCATGTCAGTCGGTGCGCGCGCCAAGCCCTTGTAATCAGGGAGTAGTAAAATACAGGGAGGTGACACGAGCATGTACGGCCAGTTTGACGATTGCCTCAGCACCGTTTTCACCCGGCGGGTGAGACTGGGGTACTATGGGTACCGAAGTGTGTAGACACGCGCGCGGATCAGGATTCTCTCGATCAGGGAGTAGTAAAATACCTACCACCAAAGAGACTCCTACTGCAGCCCGTAGAAACTCAGCGCTGAGAATTTTCCAACAATTGTCTGCCTTCACAAGTTTGGTAGTCGACCAAACTACCACTATGTCAGGATAGAAGTCCAGCAAGAGTGGTATCACTTTGGGAGATATCCCTGCGTGCCGTAGATTTTTCCTGTGTCGATACAAGCTGTTTACGACGACGTAGCCCGCATTTCAATCCTTGACAAACTTAGGAACATTTCATTCCGAAAAGTGAACTCCCGAATCTCTAGCATACCATAATATGAAATGCTCATCATCACAAAGAAGGTAGAAAAGTACTGGTTGATCACAACTGAGGAGAACTTAGTGCCGATCGTGTGGTGTCCTAGAGATTTTTTCGACTTCGAAATCGGTGCACTCGCTTTTCATCTCCAATCGTACACGTATTGTTCTCAAGGAAATCACCTTCGTTCTATTGCTCCATGCCGTCGATCGGGACGAATTTCGGAAGGGTGGTACCTTTCCATATGACGATGACAGAGATGTATCACAAGAGCAAAACAAATGCTGTTCCATGAGATGGATAGACCTTTTCACGGAATTAGTTCTTCAACAAATACTCAAGATTGATTCAGCAGATCATCTTTTTTTGCGAAAGAAAAAAAAACAAGCGCGAGGCACCCATCAAAAATCACGATTAGTGGCGTGTCACCTCCCTGTATTTTACTACTCCCTGCTTGTAATTGTATTTGTGGGCCTTGATCCGCCTGTTTTTTATTTGCAACCGCGGGAAAAATCGCTGTAGCCTGTACATCATGGTACATCATGTACTAGATCTACAAAGACTAAAAATGACAATCGATGTACTGTATTGTAGGGTAGTGTAGCTAGCTGTCGACATGTACATGTATGTGTAGAGGGTAGATCTACCCTGCAGCCTTGCACAGTTGCAGGCTGATAGAACATGTTGATCGGTCTGTTTTCAACACGTAACAGACGTTAGATCCTCCGCCTTGTAGTACTCTTGGGACGCTGTCGCCCGGTGTCGGAGGTGTCAAATGCAACTCCTGATCACATACTGACATAGGGTACCCTGTAAAAAGGCCTTAGACCTAGAGTGCCCTATTCAAAATTTAAATAGTAATAATGATGGGTTTGCTCCCATACTGGAGCTCGCGCTATTCCGCCGACGACTTGACACTTGACTGACTCACGAGTCTGAGTCACGACTGCCATCCAGAGAACACGAGAAGTCCATCGAACCTTCGACTCGGCAAACCTGCAAGAAAGCACCACTCACAGTGTTTCGGGGAATTCACACCTCATCAGTTGAGCTTGAGTACTAGGGCTGAGGAAGATTGTGCCCGAAGAGCACCACTTATTATAGAATATAGTGCTGTCCAGGCAGCGGGCACAAACATCACCAGGGATACACACTTACAGAGACACTCCGTTTCCAGCGCGACATACACCTCGTGAAC